GCTAAAGCCGATAGTTTGACCTAGCCTCGATCTTTCACACGGTAAAATTTTACCCCTCAGGTGGTTTTGAGCTCAAATATCTTCTTACTGGTTTTAGCTACGCTGATGGGTGTTGAACCCTCGTCTTAAGCATAAAATTCCCTACTTCTTGACGTATGGACACCAGTCAGACCGAAATACTTCTTCTCAACGATAGAAAAATATAGCGTTTAGTCAAGATTATACATATTTTCGAATTTGCTCCGAATTCCCATTTTTGGGTCTTATCTCTAATCCTAGGGGCTTTGACACCTTTCAGACAACAAACATTTAGTCATGTGACTGCCCTGGAAATATGACCGAGAGTACAGCAAAAACGGATCACCAGGGATCTCGGTAGGGGAACTGCTTGTGGCTCACCAGCAGTTCCTACTGGGTCATTTTCGTAAGTGCCATAATATTAATACAGGATGGCCTTTTTGTCTCTGTAGCTCTGGCTACCGACCTCTGCTGCTAAATTCGCTTTATTAGGATGTGATAGATAGGAAGTTTAGGATACTCTCTGCTAAAAATTTTTTGGTATGGAAGCTTTCACTACCCCAGCAGGGTCCAGGGGCTCCGCCCCTTGGCGGGGGCTAGGGGGGCGCAGCCCCCGGAAAATTTTTGCGAAATAGGGTGTTTTAGACGACATTTGGCATTAACGAAATTTTTAGGACAGCAATAAACTGGGATTGAAAAGAATCAAGTACTCACATAAATTTGGTAACTTCACAACAGCAATCTGCATTCTTCAATCAGAATATTTCACTGTGTTCCAAAACTGACAGGATGTTCCTCTTTGATTTTTATACAATCGAAAAATTTTCTTCGAAAATTTCCTCAATTAATTTGTCTTTATTCCAAAAAAATATTTCGAAATTTAGGAGTAACTTCTCAAAATTTCGTCTTTTCCTCCCGTTTTTTCCTCCCAAAAAAATTTCCTCCCAGGCTGCCTGGCAAGATGGCGTGTTTCTGGATGTGGGGAGTTAGGGTTCAAGATTTTAGGAATTTATTGTGTCATCAAATATTATTATTTTAGTCTCTAAAGTTTAGTCTCATCGAGACGAGTACGATCCTTTACAAATTATTTCGAAATAACCAATTTTTAAAAATTCCAGGTTAAAAACTGTGAATACTGTTAATTTTGGTGCAGCATTTTTGTGTTTTTCATGCCTCCCGAGTCCCGGTGGATTTAAGCTATTCACATTTTTAAAGGATACCCTAACAGTACCGTATATATACGGTATATACTATATATACACCCTATATAGCACCCTTTACAGCCTTGCAAGGGGTTCACATATTACGTAATCAATGTTTTGGCAATTTTACCACCTCCCCCCAGCTTCAAATTTTGTGAGTTACATCTATTGAACAAAATTTCAACCGACAAACTACTTAATGAACCTTTTAAACCTATTAAACGGCTGTTTAATAATATTGTGAAATATTTTCCCTCATAAGCAACATGTCAAGCTGTCCCTTCCTTGATTGGGTACTTTGTGCCATGTGTGGATCTTAATAATTGGGCGAGTCTTAGGACTCCCGACAAACCATTTTGCGAATCGTTTAAACCTATTAGACGAACGTTTAGATATTTTGAAACATATGCTCTCAGGAACGCAGTGGTTCAATGTAAGGCATGAGCAATATATCTAGGGTATAAAACTTGCAAGACTTCCTGCGATCCGCAGTGTCAGAATTGTTAAACGAGCTCTTTAAAATTTACGATTTATTCGACTGTCAAGACGGTTATTATAGTCGCTAATTTTGCGATTTATCAAGCTGCCGAGACTTCTACTGCTGGGCGCTGGCCGTAAATAAATATTTAATAAATTGCCCAAAGCAGGGGAGCATTATCAAACTAAACCTTTCAGTTACCTGCCTGGCTGCATTATCCATGTTATAGAGATCTATTATGGTATTTTGGCAGATAATCGAGCTGTATAAAGAAGTTTGTTCAACCTATTTGGAAAGTAAGCTCCTTATCTAAGTATCTAGAGCCATAATCCCACTTTCTCCTGATTCATAGATATAAATTATGATTTCCCTTGAATGGGATTTCAAAGAATAGCAAAATGTGCAAATAATTTAGTAGTTAATATTGGTTAATATTGGTTAGTGGTTACAATCGGTTATTATTGGTTACTATTGAGTATTGGTTAATGGTTACTATTGGTTACTATTGGTTACTATTGGTTACTATTGGTTAATATTGGTTACTATTGGTTAATATTGGTCAATATTGGTTAATATTGGTCACTATTGGTTGCCTGTGGAGGCAGGAAAATAATACCCACCCAGTAACTCGATGGGTAAATAATTTTAATGACTTGTGCTATAATTCTTATACAATATAATATATATCCCACAATATGACTTCGACTGAGTGATTCACATAAAGTTGATTCTTCTGATCAACTTGATGTGACAGGAATTATTGCTGGTCGGTCAGAAAGTGGATATTATTTGTCATTTCTTTGATCTTCCTTTGAACACTGGCACGCAATCAATATTTATTTATTTTTTGACAGAATTTATTAATATTTCTTTGAAATTATTGCCAGCAACAGAGAGTGGCAGGTAATGCGACACAGAAATTAATCAATTTTTCCTGGTATTTAAAGAATTCGATCAGATGACTCATTCAGCTGATGCCAAGTAATGAACAAAAGAACGATGCTTGATAGCTAGAGCTCGTCTTTTCAGCTCAGCTGCAATTTGAGACGTCACGGTAGGAGCAGTGAAAAAACTCGCCAACCGTTGTCCCGAAATCTTTTGTGCCTAAGGCACATGAGTCATGGATCGGGGAAAAAAATAGTACAACCATTCAAAAAATCACTCAAGCTACCACCAGATTACTGCACTGTTTTCCAGTGGGGACGGGGGGGGGGGGGGGGGTAAACATACATTTTTAAGTTCTCACAGAGTCACATATTGTGTGATAGAGACGAACAAGTAGAAAAAACCAGATCAAAATCACTAGTTTGGTCTTGTTCTCTTCTTGGTTCCATTGTCCACCACTTTACAATTCACATCATGACACCCAACCACCTCACCATTTTATTTCCCCAGTATCTTCTTTTAAGATGCCTTACCATATATAGGAAGGCAAAGCATTCTCTTACTATTTTGAAAAAAGAGGGAAATTAGGGCCATAAGTAACTGATAACAAGAATAAGCTCAAAGTAGTAGGTTAACTAGGCGCCCCAAGGTTGGATATAGGTTACCTACTGGATTTAAAGCAATACTATGACATACTGTCTCAACTTTTAATTTAATTACTCAACTTCTCAAGCATCGACAGAAGTAAGTTTGCCATGGTTGGAGTCCCAGTAAATCCCCCCCCCCCCCCCCCCCCCCCATGTAACTTATTAACATGGGCCGCTACCCTCCCCCGCCACACCCCTGTGTTGCAATACTATTAAATATTTTTCAGTAATATTTGTTGAGTGAGTATTTAATATCTACTACTACTCGCTCATAATACTCTCTAAATGAAGTAGTTATCCAGCATATCATCCTATCTTAAATAATTTGTAAAATATTTGTTTAACCACCAAGTTATATGGCTAACAAGCTAACCAACCAGTTTAAAAGCAGCAGAGACAGGTTTCAAATTAACCCCTTAACTTTGTCAATCAATGATATTAAATATTAAACTTTCAGCAATGTCGACGAACTTATTGGTCTGAGATGGCAAACTCTAAGAGATGGCAAACTCTAAAACGCTAAGAGAGACACGTGGAGCTGAGAACGCTCTTGACGGATGATACTAAAACCCTGAGAAAAAGAGCACGCCGGGTCAGTCCATTAACGATGGACAAGAATAACTCTCGCAGATACCTTAGCCTACCTACATTGAGATCATCAACATAGGTGATATCTCCTCTCTGTGGGGTGGTCACATCGTGTGACCACCCCACAGAGAGGATATCTTTCTGTCATTCCTCCAGCAAAGCAGCGAGTTTGAGTTCTGAGGAGTGTAGCCCCTGATAAGCGGTTTATCGGGAAGAGATAGCATAAACTGGGTAAGCTGCGATTTTAATTGCTCCCGGTTACATTTACCTGGTACCTGGTTGCCGATGCAATTCATATGGTAAGGCATTGCATTCCAAAAGTTTGGGCCTATGACTGCAAATGAATTATCATACAGTGACTAATTTGCTGCTGAGCTGTGTCTGCGTGTAGATGGAATGACAACAGGGTTTCCAAACTGCGCGTTAATTTCGTTGCTGGTGTGGTGAAGTAGAATCTTCCACACATGAAGTAGAATGAACCGCTTCCTGCAATGCTGTAGTGTACCTAGTTAAGTATAAAAAGGCGTGCTCCGGGACGGTCTAAGCTAAGGAAAGGGATCAGGGAGTTGTAGCTAAAGGCTATCAACCCAACTAGCTATATAGTCAAAGATAGCCGTTGAAGATGGTCCCATTAATAAAGATCAGGTAATCCAGTAATCCTTGCGGTGAAAGCTTTCTGTACGCGTTCAAGCTCCTGGGTGTCACTTATCTTGGAAGGGTGACATAGCGGCAGTAAGCTCCTGGGTGTCACTTATCTTGGAGGGTGGCATAGCGGACAACAAGCTCCTGGATGTCACTTATCTTGGAAGGGTGGCATAGCGAACAACAAGCTCCTGGGTGTCACTTATCTTGGAAGGGTGACATAGCGAACAGTAAGCTCCTGGGTGTCACTTATCTTGGAAGGGTGGCATAGCGAACAACAAGCTCCTGGGTGTCACTTATCTTGGAGGGTGACATAGCGGACAGTAAGCTCCTGGGTGTCACTTATCTTGGATACATTTTTTATCTTGATAAAATTCTGCTTATCTATTAGTATTCAAACTCTTAACTGTATTATAGTTGGTTTACTTATCAAATAAGATCTTATTCAGTGTTTTAAGTTTGCTAACCAGCACAATACTTGCATTGATCTTTAAAGTTCTGTAAATTTGTAATAATCTCATTTAGTTACTGGGTATTCACCTGAGTGAAGTAGTTCTGAACTATTTCCGTGAATGTTCCGGACATGTCGCTCATTGTCCTCTCGAAATCTTTATTTACCTCCTGAAAAATCAAAACAGTAATAAGAAAGTAAAAAGTAAATATTAAAAACAGTAAAGAGAGATAAACAAAAGCTTCAACCTTGATTTATTTCTTGATATCTTTGATTATTTTCTTAACAATTAAACGGTCATAATATGATGAGTTAAAGGATCATGATAATGATCATATTGATTTATTTTGTTATATTTTGGTTTGTAGGGGACACCAAGAGTTTGTGATATTTGAATGACATTGTATATTATGAAATGACGGAGGATTTGGTAGAGTATAACTTTTGCCAAATTTTATTGTGGACAATTTGGAGTGAACAATTTTTCTTAGTTGTCGAATTGATGATGAAACGGTGTTTTACAATACAATATGAAGTAATGTGATGATATATTTTTGTATTACATTGGGTATGAAATATTCAGCGAAAAGAAAACAAAAAGTATAAAATATTTTAGTTTGGAAACTTAAGAGGTATAAATAAGTTTTATAGTTGTAAGAAAATTGTAAGACAATTGAATAAGCAAGACGTATACGTGTAGTTATACTTATAAAATTAGAAACAGTTCTCAACGAATATGACACACAAGTTTTTAAATGATTGATAAACCAGAACAAAAACACTTATTAAACTTAAAATGTTAAATTCGAACGTAATAGTAAGATGCATCAGATCTAAACAGCAACTGAAAAAAGTAAAAACCATTAAAAGTGTGTAATTGCGGCCCACCAGCCACCAACACCCTTAAAATATTAACCATTACATTCTATTATTATTATACAATGATATGCGTTCATTCTAATAATCATCTTCAACGTTCAATCGTTCAACAATCCGCTAAAATATATCTTCAAACTTACACAGCTATGCATGTTCCACCAGACAGCCAGAACCTTCCAAGATTTAGAAGAGGGTTTGTAAAAGGAGGATGGTAATTGGTAAAACTTCCTTTATACTTCCTCAGAGGTCTGCCTGGGGTCACGAGACCCGGAGACCTGGACCTGAGAACTCCAATAGTACCAGCTGAAGGGTAGATTATATCTACGCTCTCGAACCCCTCGACATAACTGCATCGTAGGAAGGGGGAGGAGCAGAAATAATTTCTGTAGTGGAATCCGGGGCAGTCAGATTGGGAATTACAAGTCCTTCTTGGTACGCGTTATTGTATGAAGGAGGTTCTGCTGTGGAGAGTTCAGAAAACATCCTTGAAAAATCTCCTGGCCTATCTCTTTCTCTTTCTCTTTCTATTTCACTTTCTCTTTCTGGGGGTGTCCCTGGGGGTGAACAATGGGGTGATGGCATCATTGCTGCATTCCCATCACGTAATGCAGACGGCAGGGACAGGGTAGGAGAAGCAGGAGAGAGGGAGGAGAATTAGCAGGAGCATGAGAAGGCGGTGAAGGGGGTTTCAAATGTTCCTTTTCAAAGGTACGGTACCAGAACACTAACGTGAATAAAATAGAACCGTCATGAAACGCTTCCCATATGTTCAGATTACATCCAAGTATTTTGAAGGCAAAACCGTACAGTACCGCATGAGGAACAAAGTACATCATCTTGATGAGCATCCAGAGGGGTAAAAAGAGGGTTTTAAAAGGCTCGTCCCCTCTTCTTGTGACTGGTCCTACTGATAGGGTGCCTAACACGAACAGAGCTATGAAGGGTAGGATGAACAGGTAGTCGTTATTTAGAGATGTGTTACTGTAGAATATCTTATTAGTAGGTTCAAACAGATCACATGATTTGTATCCCATTCCAATAGTCGTGTTTACAGGGTACACATAGTTTTGTAACCATGGAAACCAAGGCACTAGTTGGGATTTGCTGTACTGTATTGTACTGTACTGATCACAATTCGCCAGCATTTCATCGTAAGGGAACCTGTGATAAGAGTCAGGAGAACTCCAGTTAAGAGACATATTAACGTAGTACCTAGACCTCCACTGAGATATATTAGCGTGGGTCCAATTCGGAACCTGGGAGTCAGACTCCGAGAGTGCAATCTGCAGATATGAGTTTAAGTTAGTTTTCTGGTTTTTAAGATGGTGTTTCCACTCGGAGTTGGTAGGGCTGTACACGAAGTACCCGGACACACTGGAGAGATATCCTGTATCATAGCACGTTACAGGTATCCGCTGTATCTCTGTTACATTGCAGAAACCACGCTGTAAACCTGACACTTTCCACAACATTGAGCTGAATATGGTACAGGAAAATACAACGAGACCTGAAAAACACAGGATAAAACCAGACTCGACTATGAGACCATTCTTAGTCACCCTGATACTCTTGCTGCAGTCTCTGATTCTGGTTACATTGCACATTTCACCTTTAAGATATCACAATATATTATACTGCATATACTGCGGTTTGTGGTTCGTCACGTTTAATCTCATGCCATGACCTATGGAGTATGGAGCTATGGGATTGGTAACAAGAAGGATAAACACCTCGTCTTGAAGAACAATTTTTGTACAAATTAACAAATTTCAATATTTTACAAGTTCTACAATAACAGCTCAACTTTACAAACAATGTCAAGCAAAATTGTGGGGAAAACAAGAGCAACAGAGCAAAAAGAAGAGCAATACGTTAAAAGATATGGAATGACTCATGATCTTCCTACTCTTTACACAAGTTGTGCAGTATACACTGGTTGTGATGTGAGCGGCCCCAAATGAGCTGTTATAAGATATCATGTATATAGCTACTAGTGTGTATTGTAGGAATGTTTATTGACACTGCACTGTGCACTCACTGCACTGCACTGTGCAATGTGGAATGTGAGGTGTACATTACATTGTAGCTAAAACACATGGACACAGCCAGTACACAGAGACTACACGTTTTTAACTTCTCGGTAAAGCAGTAACAAGTTTTGCAACAAGGAAGTGCATTATAGGGATGATAAGGAGACATTGCATATTCTAAATACCATTCTAAGTTGGTAAGTTGAGAACTCAAGATACAGATCGTCAGTGATAACTAATAGTTATGATTACAGCTCCAAATAATTTACTTATACCTGTGCAATTAAGAAATAAAACGGAAACTAAAGAACATAACCATGACTACAATTAATTAAAATTGATAAGATGAAAATAACCACGGCAACGTAAACTCAACAGTCATTGCCTAGTATGAAGGTACCATCGAAATAGTAATGAAGCATATAAAACTAGATTAGAGTCGCATAATAATCGTGACTTCGTGTGACGTAACGTGAGAGGGATTGTGACGTCACGTTAGATTGTGAAATGTGACGTCACGTAAGACTCACCTCTAGCTGTTCTGCGAGCTGTAATTCGTATCCCATCAGTGTATCCCACACAGTGTTCAGTTCCTCCTGTAGCTCTGAGATTTTGGCATCAATAACTCTAGCATCACTCACTTGACCTAGTTCAGTCAACACCTGGGCAGTGGGAAAGAAATTGAAATGATGTACACTTATGAATATTCCCCGTGATAAACTCACAACTTCGCAGACGTTCAGGATTTTAGGGAATTTCTGTTCCAATTCTGCTAAAAATTATAACATTTGAGAGACACACTTCTGAAATGTAACTCTAACCTTCTTTTTGTAAGCTAGAAACTCGTTAATGCCAGCCACACCCTGCACCTTATCGGCCTCTTTGGCCTTGTTAACAGCAGACTGGAACAGACTCCTCTCACGTGCTCTATTCTGAGCTTCCTTCAGGCCAAAGGTCACCAGCTCCTCACAAATCTTACAGAATTTGGACTTGTAGAGCTCGTATGCTTCTATCATTTGTGGGAGCTGGTTTAGTTTTGGACCGTCAACATCCTCGAGGAAGAGGTCGTCAAAGAGCTGACCACCCATGAGACCGTCAACAAATGCTTCCTGGGAATTAAAAAGCCGTGAAAAGAATTGAAATAAAAAAGAGGTTTTTTTCGTTTGCGAGTTTAAAAAGACTTATTTCTTTGGAGAATATTCCGAATAGCTAGATGAAAGAGTAATATGACACAATTTGTCTCCTTATTCTATGCTTAGTACTATCAAAATCCAAAGTTTGAAGGCAGATTTTAAATAGGCTAGAATCATATATGAATTTTTACCCATACCTCGATCTTAAAGAAACGACGCTAAATTTGAAAATCCCACAAATGTCTCTATTCATAAAGTCTAAAAATTGTTCAATTTTGCCGATGAAAAATAGAATCAACCAAAACAGTCAATGACCTTACCCTGAGTTCCTTTTCCTCAGCGATTCGAGAGATTTCTTTCTCTTGCTTCTTCTGATCGTCTCTCTCGTTGTGCTCGATAACATCTATAGCATCCTGGTACTGAGTTATAGCTTCTTCTCGCTGTGAACAATTAATAATTTACAAAGTGCGGTCAAAATTAGACAATAACTGTTCATATATGTATTTAATATTCAGTCGATGGCAAGGAGTAAGACAGTCAAGTTATTTTTATATTCTGAGTTCAATTATTGACAAAGCTGAAAGCAAACTAAATTATAATCTGAAAAGAACTTACCATATGACCGGAAACAAGTCTGAAGTCGAGATAAGTAATTGAGGGTAGATGGGCCACAACATATGACTTGTAGTCACCTTCCGCAAACGGATTTCCAGCGACATTCAGACAGGACAGTTCACGGAATCTTCTCAGATAGACTACCTAAGGAAGATTTAATTTACATTTCGCATGAAACTGATGTAAGACTCACTATACTAACACACTATGTAAATTGTAATATGTATAGTCTATACTAACATATTGTGTACGTCTAGGATGCTTCCCAGGCCATGCTTGCAGATTTGTCAACGGACGCGCGCAGCTATCGCTAGTTTTTAAATGCTTAAACGCTACTTTCCATAATGGAAAAAACCCGTTTCCATAGTAACGAGTAGACCCTTCCAAATAAATGCGCGCGAGTTTGTTTACCGCTGAATTCACCAACTGTCGTCCGACAAAGACAAATTGACCGCACTCTCGGCTGGCAGTTTGCAAACTTAACAATGATTTAAGTTGTAACTCACGTTATCAATTTGAGAAAGGTTATTGTTTCCGATGCTAAAAACATGCAAGTTCACAAGTTTGTCCATGTTTTCAAGGACAGTGATCTGATTGTTGTAAAGCGTCAAATCCTTCAGCTTGGTAAGTTTTTCCAAGCCCTCGATCTTTTCAATATTGTTGAACGATAAATCTGGAAATACAACTAGAATTATTTATTGTTGAAAACCCTTCATACCAATTATTTACTCAAACCTTGTACTATCGTTAGGAAATTATTTTCCAATCTAAACGATGAATAACCAATATTTGAACAGTCCCATTTACGATAAATGGGCTCACCTAACCATTCCAGATGAATAAGTGAGTCCAGGTTCTGAATCTTCTCAATTATATTGTTATCCAAGTTCAGTTTCACCAGATTGGTAAAGAACCATAAGTTGTCTATCTTTAAAATATCTGAAAATGTTATCTTTTAAAATCTGTACCATTTCAGTATACTAAAATAAGCCAAATTTGGGAAACTAGTCTTCTTGTTCATTTAAAATTCTCAACAGATCATTCAACAATTATTTCCCTAGTTCATCAAAAGAAAAACCACTAACTCTTGAAATCGAGTCGTAAACTTTCCACCTCACTAAAATCCAGACCCTCTTTCTTGGCAATTCTACCAGCCTCGCTGGCTGTTCCTTGCTCCTCAATGCACTGTTTCAGTAAGTCTTCATCGATAACAGTTGGTTCTACTGTATCGTATAGCCTGTTCATATCTCACTAAATGAAATCTAATTTAGTGTCAAGATGCACTTGGTGTCTGTGGTGAAATGGTGATTGTTTCGGAAATGAAACACTTTCATATTCACATAAAACTTATAGGTATTTGAATATGTTTTCTGTTCAATTAAGGAGTCGATTGCATATTATCTAATAACTGAGGGGGAGAAAGGGGGTTTCTAAATAATGATTACACTGGTGTACTTTTAACATAATAGCTATATGTAAAAGTGATTACGGAGGGGGGAGGGGTTTACAAATTTTCCAAAAAGTGATTACGTAATATGTGAACGACCCCATAAAAAAGCACTGAAAATGCAATTGATACACAATACTTAAATATGAAAACATTATATTATCGTATTATGTACAGATCTATATATAAATAAAAACAATTGTAAGCATATTTTTCTTGCTTTCAATTACAACAGGTGGCCATCGAAATAGTGCATGTCCTCAAAACGCCCAAAAGGTATAATTTAACTGTGAAAAACTGGATTAAATCTGCAAATCATTGAACAGCCCGATTATTGAAAAAAACTACCCAAAATTTCTTGAATCCAGGACCATAACACAAGTTTCAACAGTCTCCCTTCAAGTCTCCACATCTCAACACTTAATTTATCCCTCATCTTCCTCATCCTGTCTGACAATTGGGATACCGTCCAACTTCTTCAGTTTCACCAGTTTCTTCTCGATCTCCGCCCTCCAGGTTTGGTCCAGGGAGTGTTTCTCCTCAATCGGGTTGCTCACCATGTTCAGATCCACCAAACACGGCAACTCGGCTAATTTCTGTACTTCCGACCAATCCTTAACTTGGTTATTGGACATGAAGAGTACCTTCAGTTTCTTCAGTACTCCGATTCCTTTCATTTTCTCGATCAAGTTGTAGCTGATCCAGAGTTCTTCGAGCGTGTCCCCCACAGGTTCTAACCCACTGAAACTCTTAACGTTATTTCGACCAAGCGACAGAATCTTCAGAGATTTCAGCCCGTTCAAGTTTGTGATTTTCTCAATAGCGTTAGTAGAAAGCGACAGTTTCTTGCAGTTGTTTAGGGTAGAGAGGGAGGCATCCATCTTCTCAATTGAGGGAATCTGACAAATCAACTTTATCTCCTCCGCTTCGGCAGCTTTTTCTCCCATTTTCGTCTCCCATGCTGCTAGAGCTTCTTTTATTGTTGTTCCTTTGGTGGACATACCTTACTAAAGAACTATTTGTTAGGAATTTTAACGATATTTAATTTAAATCATCAAACATCGATAATCAATAATATGTGTAGCTCATCCAATGAATAACAAAACAGTCGGCTTATTTGCAACGACCATCATTGGCAGTTTCATCCAAACCCCCCTCCCCAAGTTGAGATAATTATCGATATTTGTAACAACAAAAGTGTTACTAGCAATTCAACATCCAAATAGTAGTAGGTTCATAAAATCAAATAATCTTTTAAATCTTATAATAATTGGTCGTAAATATTCATGCCAATAACTAAAAATTTACTCAAGACTTTAAGATAACCTCACACAGAATCATCCCCAAATTTATCACCAAAACAACATTGAACATCCTTCACTGAAGACCTAATGGTATTCAAAATACAGTATCAAAAACACACTTTACTGTTAAAAAAAGGGCTCAAATACAGACAAACAAAATACTAAAATAGTGAGAGATAACAAGATAAGGATAAAGATAATGTTAAGAATGAGAGTGTAGCTGTTTCTCCTCTTGTTCTTCCTGTAAAGCTATCAGAGAGTCGATAGTAGATGATATCTTAGCAGCAGCTCCAGTAGTCCCGTGTAACCTGACAGAATACTTCATGTTAGAAACAGAAATAGAACACCGGTAATACTTCATGTTAGAAACAGAAATAGAACACTGGTAAAGAGAGGAAACCCAGATTATACCTAGAATAGAACCCGCGTATATCCTGGGATGCTCTTCAAGACCCAGTGCAGATCTGGTAGTTTTCTTGAAAAGTAACGTTAATTGATAATGTAGAATAAGTAGCCGTAGTAGAAGGCGGAGGAATAGTTTTACAGTTACCTGTCGTACACGATCATCTCAGCTAGTTTACTGACTACAGCTGTGTTATCTAACAACTTCCCGCTCCTGTGCTGGTATTCTAGTCGCTGTGCTAGGTTATCATTGGTGGTTCTGAAAGGAGTCATAGTTACAGCAGTGTTGTCATGGTCACAAGTAGCTTCATGGTGTGAAATATCTGTCTATAACTTGGCATATTTTGTTAAAGCTTTGTGTGACATTTTAACCAATAGCTATTTGTAATATGAGGTCAAATTTACATCAATAATCGGACTTTCAACAGCATTACAGTAAACCCCCGATTTACCATAGTGCGGCGTTCAGTCTGGGGAAAGGTAAATGGAACGGTAAATCGGGGATTTTGACTTTTATCCCTTCGGATCACATGGTTTCTCTCCGCACAGAATTGGATTCAATTAGTAGCTAGTCACAAACACTCAAGGGATAATTAGGGGAAGTCCGGAAGTAAGGACCCTGACAAGCTTGCTTGAGATCTGGGACCCATTTATAAGCCGTATTTCAAAGGATCACATGATATCAAACTAAAAATGTGAACATTTTTCCAAAATTTTGGGGGAAAGGGCAGACCGAGGTACGGTATATCAGGGTTTTACATGGCTTGAATAGTATCATCGTCCATCGTTCGGGAAATAATTTCTCGTTATTGCATGAGGATGAATGGTTCTATTTGCTCACCTGATATGGAGACATCTGAATGATTATAATTGATCCGACTATTTGCTCACCTGATATGGAGTCGTCTGCATTCTTCCCAGTACTTGTTCATGTCACGTGTTATCTCCTTGACACGTGTTCGTGACTTACTGATTAGTTGACGGTAGGTTTGTCCTTCCAGTGACGGGTAGCTAGAGATCTCCTGATGTTTTAGATGGTAGAAGTAAATCAGAAAATCTACAACTATTTCACGAGAAGTCTCTAAAACTATTTTGGTTGGCGTTCAGCTCGGATACAATAAATATTACGAAAGGGGAGAAATTAAAGGGAAACAGTAGAAAAAGACAAAAAATAAATTAAAGGAAAACAGTAGGAAAAGGAGAGTACATAAAGATAAAGGGAAATAAAATAAACCTTTCTGTTCAGTAGTTTAGAGATACCCACGTCCTTAGCAAGGTTCTGTTCCCTAAGACAATACTCTACCAGAGGGGAGTGTCCGGACAAGTCAAACTTAGTCAGGACAAAGTCTGGTCCGGGCTCCGCCGAGTGGGACTGGATAGAACAAGTGTATTGGCATTAGAAATTAAGATATTAATTAAATGAACCAACGATTAGTAGAATACAAAATGAGGACCATACATAAGTAAATAGCACCAATCTCTGCAAACACCAAAACTTGATGGAACGTCCGGGCAATGTCCGGATGATCCTCCAGCTCTTACCTCGATGTTCCGTTTTCCTTTGAGTCTGGGTAGGGTGTGTAGAGTAGACCTGGGATGACGGGACACACTGGCTGCTCTACCAGCTGCAGGGGACACACTGCCGTGAACACTCAGATCTAGTTGTGCGATACAGTCAGTTTCAGGGTAGTGGGGGTGTATTAAATAGGTTACACTTTGTAACTACATGCTTTGATTAGGGTTGTAATCTCATGCCATGTTGTAAATTTAAGCATGCTTACAGACATCAAATTTGCATGCATGATGCATGCAAGCAATTGGTTTAAAATTATTTGATACATTTCATCTGACCTATTCTATCTGGCGCAAATATATCAACATGCAATTATTCGATTTTTATAAGGTAAAATACCCTAAATTCTAAACTATTCCACCTACTTTTCCTGGAGGTATCATGAGTAACTTGTTTAGACAATCTACTAGAGGACAGGGAGGTGTGGGAGTTGTCCCCCTTGTGGGACTGTTTATCCGTTTGTTTGTCACGTGCCAGACCAGGTGACAGTTTGCCGGAGGTAGAAGGGAATGTTAGGATGCTGTCCACCGAGGACTTGTCGCGCACTGATACTTGTTACTATGGTTACCAATATCACTAATTAATCAAACAAGCCAAAACACGTGCATAATCAAACACCGTGCTAATAATTTAAGTAGGACGTATCGTAAACCAACTAAATTGTAAGTTTAAACCTAAATAAGGCTCCGACATGCTGTTCATGCTGAATCATCTTCCACAGAAATTAAGTAATTAAGTAATTAACTTGTTAATTAGTGAAGTGAGAACACTACTCACCCTTCTGTTTTTGGTTGTTAGCATCCTTATCTATACTATCTTTCCTCATATTGGGAGGCTCCAGTTTACTGTAGTCCCAATATAACCAGTGTCGTATACTCGGCTTAGTTCCTGTCATCCATAGGTTCACTGTCTCCAACACATCCTGTCTGGGGTTGTCATGGTAGCAACTTAGAGTTGTCATAGTAGCAACTTAGAATTATTGTGGTGACAAGCTGTTGTCATGGTAGCAGTGAATGAATATGAAGAAAACTAAACGCCTCATATCAGCACTAAATATTTAGTGTTTACTTGAAGGGAGTGTCGTATCTTCTCCAAGACACAGGGAAAGCGTGGCAGTACGCAGCGTAGATAGCCTGTGCTATAGCGTTAGGGTACTGTAGTAACAACTTCTCTCTGTTTATCAGCCTGGTGGGAAGGGGCAGTTCAAACACAAGGAAATATTTTGTATCGAGAAAATTTGTTTGTTTTTAATGAAGAAAGCTGTGTTGTTCACAGCTCAGATAATGTAGAATTTAGGACAACTGTTTTTTAGAAGTGGTGATGATGTCATTATTCTTGATATAGCTATCTTTACTGTGATGTCGGGTAAATATTTCTGCCAGGAGCTTTAGCAATTGAAATTGTAATTTGCTACCGGTGTCTGGGCTGAGCCAGTAATAATGTTTCCAACTAGTATAGGGTCGCACCAAGCCATTTATCAAGAATTTGCTAAATACTGTTATCAATTATGCCCAATTACATAGTGCCTTAAGATAAACAGAAAGTGCATACTGGTCTCATCATTACATTGTCCAGACACAAGCTTCCTTTGTACATATATATTTTTCTGCAAGCCCTATTTTAATGGACATTGTAAACCACTGGTCGTCATAGCATCACTTTATTATCAGCATATTTCTAATTCTCCTGATTATTTTGGGTCACATTATCTCAACCATCTAGCAGGCAATAATATAAGACACAGAAAGATGACCTCCACAGTGACTAGGTGATATTAAGAGGCAGTGAAACTAGCGGGCTGCGATGATGGCATCATTAATTATATTGGCTCTGTTACAACGCTTCGTGTTAATATAAAAACATGAATAGGATCTGCTATGTAATCTAACACTGAACAGTGAACTTACCTGAAAGTACCGTTCAGAAGCATGGTGTATGTTCTTGCTACTCTTCCGAACAGAAGTGATGTTTTCTCACGCAGTTCCCGCTCATAAACAAAGCTAAGTGACTCCGGGGGAGGCTTCTGGAACCTGGTGACATTTTCTAATTAACATTTAATTAATATTTACCGTTCTGCTACGTGTTGTTAGGTTTCGCTTTCTTGTTTTTCCTATTTATCATGCGTCAGAGCATGTTGTTATCCATTATCTCGCGATAATCTCGCTTATAATTTGTAATTAGTTGAGAATTTGGACTCGTTCTTTTTGACGGAAACCTAAATTAGAAAAATTCACGTCATCAACCACTTGTTAAGTTTTCCAGTATTTAGTGCCCTTGTAACTGGATGAATGATAGCTGATGTCGTCCTGTCATTGCTTACAGTCTTACTCCTGCGTCAAGACTCGTTTGAAATGGTCGCCTTTGGCGTTTTTGATGGTCGTTTAAAAAAAGCTTCATCACGAGTAGTAAGACTCTTACTTTTCGTTTCTTTTTTTTTATTTTGGTTTTCAGTTGTTTACTGTTTAATAATTTCACATTTTAAGAAATGCTAACAACATATTTTAACATTTTTAGTTTTTTCGTTTGCTCATCCACGTACTCTGTTACTTTGCTAACGAACATAATTTTATTCATGTAATCGAGAGATAAGAACTCTTTAAATTTTCAGCCGTTATATTATGCCCCGATACGAATTCTAGAAGGTTACTTTGATTTGTATATAAATAATTACAACACTTGGTATCTGATGAACTCTGGAGATCTCTAAGAGGAACACACCTGTCTTGTACACCTTTAAAACTGGACCAACGGGGTTTACTAACCTGATCATTGAGGTATAGTTATAGTAGTTAGTTAGAATTATTGAGGTATGAATTATTTGTTTTTTCAAACTCCATTTTATCGAAATGTTTTTTTTTTCCAAAATTGATATTGAACTTATCCCGATCCCCGTACATAAAATATATGTATCAGCAACAGAACTATTCGTAATGTATAACTGCTATGGATCCTGAGACTACAGGATGGATACTGGAAAGTTATTAAGATGAATGTTTCTGAACATTTTGGAAACGGTAAATGTCCCAATTTTTTCATTTTTTAAAGAGAGGCTGGGCCTGGGTGGCCCACGAGAGGATAGCATGTGAATGCTGTCCAAATCAGCAGGCAATATTATTCAATAAATATTATTTTCCTATTCATAAATTCAATACCGAACCCAAATCTTTCAAGCTTGTATAACGATACTGATATTGGTATTTGATAAGACCAGGTGATGGTTATTGGTTAATAATAATAATATCCCATTATACGATTGATTATCGTGACAAGTTTTATAGATTGTAGATGGCTCGAGCAGATTGTCCGAAAGAAGAAAACAATTTTACCTTGACCAATAGTAATACCATATGTTGGAAATTATACGTGATTCGGAATCAGCGTCAAAAATTCGTTGATTTAATTTTAAGACAATTAGCTAATTAGGGGGGGGGGGGGGGGGTCATGAGTAATTTTGAGAATTTTGGAATCTGAGAAAGTGAGAATTTGACCATTTTCGCCAGGAATACTCAAAAATATCTCAAAAATCATTTTTGAATCTGTATAATTCAGATTTCTCATTTTCTCAAAAATTGTTCACTCAAAAATTACTTTTGAATCTGAGAAATTCAGCATGGATTTCTCGTTTTCTCATAAATTGTCCACTCAAAAATAGCGATATACCAAATCATTCTTCATATCAGTGCAATGTGATCCAATGGAGATGAGAATACATTTTTGATAATGAGTTTTTCGCCTCTCCTGGAAACCTTTCTCAAAAATACTGCCTCCAGTCTCCACACCATATATTCAAAAATGAGAATTTGGCCATTTTCGTCGGGATTCTCACAGTGGCGTCACGTTGCCTGTTGTTGCGCCCCCCCCCCCCCCCCCCCCCCCGCACACGGGGTCAGCGGGGCCCATGTTACGCCACTGGATTCTCAAAAATACTCATGATCCCCTAATTATACACCAATATGGATTAAATTACATACAAGAGAGCAATATATTGTACCGGTATATTATGTTTGCGTATTCACTATGTTGTTGTTTCTATCCCCTTAAACAGAGCTAATTTATAGTATTTCGTTCTGTGCGACACTGGATCTCGGCTTAAGGGTCTTCGTCGCCGCACATAGGACAAGCACTGCTGCTTGATTTGCGAATGGTGTGGAGGTGTTTTTTAAGCCATAATGTCCCGTGATGAGGTGCACTGCAGTTCTGTAATTATGTCTGTTGTGGCTGAGTGTAGTGTTAAGATTTTTGATGATGTTGACGTGTTTGCGGCTGAGTGTCAGTTTGGTGTGTCTGGGACCATCAGTTAACCAGGTGCCCTGATTTTTCGTGACCGTTATCATCTAATAAACAGAAAATGCTACATAATTAGGCACGGGATGAAACATGATACCCATGAACTACATTTTAAAAACCGTGTCACAATATGTTGCAGCTTAAAGTTGTCTTTCCATTTATTGTTTGACTGTTTCGTTAACATCAACATCTTATTCTTACTGTTCTTTTAAAACAGTTCGGGTGGTCTAAATAGCTAATACGCTAATAGCTTATTATAATCCATAACTCCATAAGAACATTTCCATTGTTAGATTGTTTAATTCGACCAGTTACAATTACTGTTAATGTTATTTAAGATTATGCTGAAAACGATAATTCATTACTCATCAACAGTCAACACCACAAAATCATATTTTTATAGGAGAGTTCGACTATTGTTATGACAAAGAATGAAACGCAGTATGAAAAATATCTACGGAACGGAAAGGATGTTTTTGATACGTACTGCACAGCCGAAGATAAACGGCCCTCATTGTTTCCCAGAGTACCTCAACATAAGTATATAGACCTATACCCAGACCAAGATCTGCCCGGGACCGGCAGTTTTGAGAACGACCGTAACCAGCAATTTAACTATGAGGCTGAGGTAAAAGTGTACAGGGCTTTGGAGAAACTGGACAAAAACATTATCGTATTATCTAGTTTTGAATATACTCATTTACAATACCATCTGGGTGATTTAAGTCATGACAAAAGAAAGTGTCAAAAGTGTAAGAAGATGGCAGCTAACAGAGAAGGCGAGTGCGACTTTGTTGTGATAGCTCCAAACTGCTTTGTCGTCATCGAGGTCAAGAACATGAGCCATATTGATCCTGACATCACTGACAAAGATAAACAGTTTCAAGCTGAAGCATTAACCAACACATTCAAGAAATCACTCCAACAAAGAAAGAAAATGGCAGAACTGATAAAAAGATTCAGTAAACCGAAACGCCTAACAGTTCTTCACTTCACTGCTTACCCTAATTTTGAAAAAAGATTCAAGAACGATTTCCAAATAAGTGGAAATAATAAATCCACGATCATTTTCAAAGAAGATATTGATGACTTCAGTAAATGGTGGGAAGATAATGTAAGTGATTTAGTCATGAATTTGAGTCCAGAGTTCCGCACCAAGCAAGAAGAAGTTAGAAACTTATTTCTCGCTATGTGGTGCACAGAGAAAAAGAAAGCTTGTGATAAATCGAAGTGCAGTTTGGGCAGATGCATCTTAAACATTGACGAGCAATTGCGATCAGGAAGATTCACCTTCAGGACGAACAACCCTGAAGTTGTCCCAACACCGCCGCTTTACAGAAAATTCTTAGGAGTTGACAACTTGACTATGCAACAATATGAATTGATTAATTCCACTGAGACGTTTCAGTGGATCAACGGCCCTGCCGGAGCAGGCAAAACTGTTGTATTGATGGCAAAGATACTACAACTAGTATTGTCGGATGGAAACAACAAAGCTGTCCTGTTCAACTTTACAAAACTGATTGAAGATGTTGAACCCTCAAGACGCCAGGAAAAGACACTCGAGAAGGCGGGTGTAAAGCATATAATCATATGTGCCACTGACCAGGATACCTTATTTACACGGTCACGACCCCATATCCTGGAAATTCACGCTAGAGCGGAAAAACTTGATGATGACGAATGGGAAAAAAGCTTGGATAATGCACCGTCAGAACTTTATTGTGAAGTATTAAAAAATCTCGTGGATCACCAAGTGGTTATAGTTGTGCTTCCATATAGTGAAAAGCATCTCGATGCTTTTGACCAAGGATGTTCCTCTGCTGAGTTGTTGAAAAAACTGGTGACTTCATTACAAGGAATCAACATATTTATCGACGATTTTCAAGTGGTGATGAATTGGGATGGAGTGGAAGGATGTAAAGATAAAGGATACGTATTCATTGAATCACTCGTTGAACTGTCAAAAACTCAGCATGTCTGGGTAGCATGTGATATGGTCCAATGTAACTACAATGCCAGTAAAGAAAGCACTCACGATGGAGATAGCCTAATAGCAAGATTATTTAACGAAAGAATTTCTTCCCAGCATCTTACAACCATGTCGAAAACCTTGAGAAACACTTACTTATCAGGCACCTTGACAGTAATTCGTGAACATATTGTTGGACTGATGAACACCAAAACAAAGTTTGTGAACAAAGTTTTCCCTTCACAGTCCCCCGGTCATTACATACATGGACCTCAAACAGTCATACATTTTTTAGAAACCGGTCACGAACTGATCCCAGACATTTTCGCTAAGGAATTGGATAATTTATGCGGTGATAATATACTAGATAAAAATGCCGTGGGAGTTGTTCGTATTAAAGATATTTTGTTCGCAGACCTCGCCAATGATATGTTACAGTCAACAGACATTGAACCTAAGGAATTGAAGTCATCGTATTCTGCAGAGTGGCCAGCAGTTATTGCACTCCTTACTTGGGGGAAGAGCATTATACTAGGTGAATCAGGGGAAGATGATGTGGGCAGAGAGCACTCTGAAGACTTAGAGAATTTATACTTAGCAATTTCAAGAGCGAGAGTAAAGTGTACAGTAATTATGTACCCTTATGGTGGTGTAAAAGACATTAGTGTTTGTCGTCACTTGAAGACTTTATTGAAGAAGCTTGAAGACTGTGCTGATATTAGGAGATATAGAAATGACAAGTTAAAGGGAAAAGAAAAGGAGTAAAAAATCATAATATTATGTAAAATATGACTTTATTAGGCCCCATGTAGCCTCCAGGCTCGACAAACCCCGACAAACACCGACACACCCCGACAAACCCTGACAAACCCTGACAAACCCCGACAAACCCCGACAAACCCCGACACACCCCTGACAAACCCCGACAAACCCCGACGTGTCGAGATATGTCGTATCATGTCGGGCCCACCGGCTACATGAGGCCTTTTATTTTGTTTCAAATTAGGAAAATTTCCCTATTCAGTAAAATCGTTAGATAACCAATTAAAATAAATGTGGGACACTATGAATCATTATGTAACAACAATCATTTTTGTCTTTAATAATTAATGGATATTACAGATTTGGCAAATATTTGGAGTTGTTTTTTAGTATCAATGAAATTTCAAATTCTTCAAGTCTAAAAAGTATACGCAACTGATCCACTGGTGTTTCAAATTGACTTACTTTTTGAGGAAGAACCACCAGAAGAGGTCGTGAAGAATGTCTTGACTTTCTTCAGAAAAGAAGAAATCCTTCCACTCCCTCATCAGGCCCGGCTGTAATATCAAAATTAAAGACAGCAGTATAGGAAGCAGTTAAAGTGCTGAAAGATGAATCTCAGAGTCTCTGTGATCTCTGAGTCAGGGATCACTAAAGTCTCGTTAGCTGGGAGGTGATCACCCAATCATTAACATTAAACCCCATTCCACCACTTCTACAGTTATTTTCGGAAATTCCTTCGTGTAACACTAACTGTAAATGAGTATTTATTAGCACATACCTTCTCAGTGATTCTGATGGAGGATGTTACAATTCTCATAATGGACTGAGTCTCTACTTTCTGGGGCAGATCACAGGGGGTGTCAAAGAAACCCGGGTATTCTTCCATCTCCACAAATATCAGCTTCTTTAGTCCTGTGTCCTGCGGAGTGTACATGCTAACATATTGGGGGGGGGGAGGAGGGGGGAGGATTTAGTCCTGTGTCCTGCGGAGTGAACATGCTAACATATTGGGGGGGGGGGCGGTTTTCTAGTCTTGTGTTCATTGTTCATTACAACATAATAAACTTACCTAGCATGAGCACTGATTCGATCCAGCAGTAAGGGTTCAGATAAAATAGTTTACTAAGTTTCTACTTTCTAAACGTTCGCAATTCTGCAATTACACCCTTAAAAGGCTTCGCGGTTTCTCATTGTCTCAGTAATTCAGTAACTTAAGCCATGAAATATTAAACTTATTAAACTTTTGATGAAGTAAATCTTGTTTCTAAGTACCACCAAAAGGAAATTAGCTTGTTTAAACTTTTAATAATACCGCCGTTCCTTTGCTAATATAATATAACCGGAAAATGTGTGATCTTCTTCAGTCATGATTTTTAGTGAAACACTCAAAAGTTAAATAATTGTTAAGGTTATTAACCTGTTGTTGTTCCTCCTGCTCTATCTTAGATTCACTCCTAGTTAGTAACGTAGTAACTAGGTTTTGTTACTTAGTAACCTGATCACTTCGTCACTAAGTAACTTAAGTTACCAACCTGTTGTTGTTCCTCCTGCTCTATCTTAGATTTACTCCTAGTTTGCTGAGGTGCAAAGTCTAACTTTGGTTCCTTGTGTTGGTCTATCAACATTCTGCATACATCCCTCATGTTCCCAATCTGGTATTGAGCTGAAATTAATCATATTAGTCTAACTAATTTTCATTTATTTGTTTCGCACAAGACAAACGCCATCTTAGGGCGCGAGGAGAGTTAGGACTCCTCGGACTACATCAATGTAATTCCTTCAGTAATTTTATCTCTTTGTTTTAACTTTTATTTTTAATTATATATTAAAATAACTAGCAGGGTACCCGTCCTCCGGACGACAATAATTATTTACTATCGCTGACACCACGTTTTCGCTTTCTAAATTTATTGGGTCAAATTTAAAGACAGCATTTTCAAATATTAGAATTGCAATTAAAGTTATAATCAAATTTACACAACATTACGATAGAAATAGTAAATAGTTAAAAAATGCTTCGAATATGTGCAGGACATCTGTCAAAACTGTTAACAAAGTGCCGTAATACTAATAAGGACTAACTCTAAGAATCAAAACACATAGCATATAAATTATAAGTTGATGTGTTTAAAGTATGGCATATTGGTATGGTGGGTTATAAAATATAGATACCTACTTAGAATAATGTACAATTATTTACAGGGTACAAATTTTTGAGAAGTATAAAACCATTTAAGAGTAAAAGGAGAACAGGTTGGTCATGGTAGTGTTAAAAGTAATAAATGCAAACAGTTCTATACTTCTTTTCGTAAAGTTAAATTTAAAAAATGTCAGTAAATCCAATTCCAAACCAAATTCATAAAACAAAGTCGCTGTTAACATATTATCTGTCCAGTACTTCTGGGTAAACAACATTATCCGTCAACCCAATGTCCAATGACAATACTCTAAGCGCGTCTTTCTCCCCAACCCTGCTTTGCGCCACATAATATTGGCCGTGGGAGAAAAATGGCCGGTCCAAAAAGATCCCAACTTTTTTTAGCGTTTGTCCTTGGGCCTTATTGGACGTGATCGCAAAGCAGGGTCTTAGAGGGAATTGCCGTCTAGTCATGTCGAAGGGAAATGTTCCATCCGTTGGTTTTATAGGGATGCGAGGAATAAATAGTTTGTTTCCCTTGTAAGATCCTCCAGCAACCACGGCTTCTATGATATTATCATGCAATACAGTAACGATGTATTTGGTGCCGTTACAATGACCTTGCTGAGGCTGCAGGTTCCGAAGAAGCATAACAGGGCAACCGACTTTCATTTTCAACTGATGGGGTGGCATTCCACTTGGTGACAAAGTGTTCAGATACTCTTGTGGAATGTCAAAGCTGTCTTCGGAGCTCACTTTGTCGTGGGACTTGTAGAGTCTCTCTTCGCCCGGAAACGTCGCCATGACTTTGTTGTTAATCAAGTCAACAGTTTTGTTTGTAGGGCAGATCAGGCTTCTACTTGCAGTCCAGCTGTGATCTGTATACTGAGTTTCAAGGTCTTCGAACACCCAGTTAATAAGAGCATCTAAGTCACCCTTGAAAATCAACTCATCCGGGATTGTTACCCTGAACTGGCCACCTTGAGGATGAATTGGAAGCAGGCCATCACCGCAAGATAAAAGATAATCAGTAAATTCTTTGTCTTCGCTGTTCTGGAAAACACGCATGTTAATGTCAAGTTTGAAAACGGTTGCATGTTTCCACAGATAAGAACTCTTGAGACATGAATTCACTATCTGTCCTCGGCTTCCTTTCACTACAACAGGGAGGCTCTGTCTCCAATCAGTAGCCCACACCATTGTTATCCCACCAAACAGTTTGTTGTTTCCTCTGACAAACTGAAGTGATCTGTCAAGTGTCTCAAAGATCATTTTGTTGCCCATGCTTACTTCATCAATAATAAGCACAGCTGTTTCTTGTAACAACTTGCCAGTAGCGTCCCGTTTTGAAAAGTTGGCCATAGAATCTTCAGTCAGCTTAAGCGGAATTTTACAACGACTGTGCAGAGTTCGGCCGTTGTTTAGCAGAGTGGCTGCTATCCCTGAAAGTGCAGTTGCCAGGGCTATCTTTCCTTGAGCTCGAACAGTGTCGAGGATAAGGTTGATGGTGTACGTTTTACCCGTACCACCGGATGCCTGAAGTGCAAAAACCTTGCCAGAGTTGTTAGCAACAGAATCCATAACAGCAGAGTAAAATAGATGCTGCTTATTATTGAGTGACTCTACACGCCCTTGTAAGGAGTGAGCAAGAGCCTCTCGATCATAAGATGTTTCATCCCTGACAACCCTTGGTACGTTAGACCTTGGCAAAAGGTCTTCCCTCACAGCGGGAAGAAGGAAATCTTTCACTAAGTCTAATTCATCCTGTTCGAATCTTTCTTTCAGATAGAGGAGCGCTTGGTTGAACATAAGCTCAGTTGGAGCTTCAGCATTTTCAGCTCTCATAAAGTCCTCAACCAACTTCTCGCGATGGCGTTGCCAAAATAGGGGAGGGTCTGCTGGCCGACAGTAGATAAGGAGATTCGCAAAAACGTCCCTAAGTTGATTGCCAAACTGAACTGTGCTTGCCTCCTCCATCACACAGTCCAACTCTTCATCTGTTTCCAGCAGCCCAAGTTTACGGCAAGCTTCTTGAAAGGTTGGACAAACGTGGCCATTTATCGTTCTCAAGTTTTCAAAAGAAGTTGCCCCAGATTTGTTGTAGAGCAACATTCTTAAGAAGAAGAGTTCAGATTGCTTAGCATTGCAGGAAAAGACTGGAATACGTCCAACAGTAACTCCAGTTTTTCTCTTCCGCCAGCGTTTGTCCTTCTCAATCCAAGTGTATTTGTCTGGGAAGTCTGGATAGAGTACTTCCCTGGCCTCTGGATCCTCTGCGTTCTGATTGAAATATGCCAAAAGTTTTGTAACACGTGGACCACGGTTTATGGCTTCCTCTTCCTCACCTTCAGCAAACAACTGCATCTGCTCCCCCTTCAGATGACAGTCAAGTTTCATTACTGCTGGACTTCTATGAAAGAGGTCAAACCCATAGAGTCTCCAGTAAGCCTCGGAAGCTGAGAGGTAACGGGCGTTGGAATAGGTCTCAACTTCATCCTCTTGCTCAAATGCCGCAACTACTCGGTCTGGACCCTTGTTTATGTATTTGAACAGGTATTTCACACACCTCGTTGAATATACTACTTCCACGTTTATATGCGCCTCGTAAATTAACGATAAGAGTGGACTATAAGGTACAACCCAAGAATTGTCCAGCAGGAAGAAGTTCGGATTGCTTTCGCTTCCCATATTCACCCTATGAACTTGTCCTCCATCTTCTGGTGATCGACGACGATAAACAGGAGGGCTGTGTTGGGTTAGCATTGTATCTGCTGACAGATTCTTCGGGAATTTCTTGGAGCATTTCTTATCAGCACCTTCACCAACCATACACGGTGAGTTCCTGTTAATGTTTCCGCAAGGTCCATGTATATTGTTGGTGGTTATAATCTTGTGCAGCCGAGGGTTAGTCAGGAGATCTGGAATCTCTGCGCAAACTATCTTATCAACATCCTCTGGTGTGCGAGGTTTGTACTCATCTGTGAGAATTACAACAATGTGAATATGAGGCAATCCCCTTTTCTGAAATTCTACTGTGGCAGTATAGCCCCGTATATCTCCAAAAACTTTGTTTAAGCAAATGTCTTTGAGTAAAGCATTCAATTTCAATTTGAAAACTCTAGCACAAAGATCTGGCCGATCAGTGTATGATTCTCCTGGATCCAATGCTTCCTGTATTTCTTTCCACTTTGGGTTACAGGTAAACGTTACAAACAGATCTGGCTTCCCTAACTTTCTAACAATACCCATTGAGTCTTGGAATCGTTCTCGATAGTACCTTGGCGAACCGTAGAAAGAAGGAGGTAATATAATGCGCTTTCCTGCATTGTTCAGATCATTGTCCGCCTGAGCGTCTATGAGCCCATTATATTTTTCTGCCTTGATTGTTTTCTGGTTATGCCGCACCCAATCTAAGCGGCTACCTTCAATCTTAGCCCACATATCGCACACAAACTGCTGCGTCAAACGTCTGTATTTCATTACTGAGTTCCAGTCGTCCCTAACCTGCATCCGATAGCAGTAGAAATCAGAAGCCGTTAAGGTCCTATTGTCAGATCTTTTCATACCCAACTGAAAGCCGTCATCACCTTTTGGAAACATAATAACATAATGTAATGGATCATATGACCGATGAACTGGACTGATCCTTCTTACCGCACCTCCCCTCTCGTGCAAAATAACATCCATGTTCGCAGTGATTTCCCCCGGCAAAAGTACACCAACTTCTGAAGCTGTTGGCAGGTTGTATGTTCGTGCGTGGGCATCAGATGGCCGTCGTCGTTCATCGGCATGCAAAACTAATTTAACATCAGGTGAAATGCGCATTAGTTCCAGTCCAGACTTCAATGAGCAGATGTACGGATTGCAATCATGTAATGTATTTTGAATAATCTCAACTGTCTGCTGATCCAGAGAGCTCATGATTTCCATCCTGTTTCCAGTTTCGTGGTCAGTATCGTGGAAATACAGTTGAGCAAATTTCGGGCTTTCACCATCTTGTGGCAATAAGCTGCCAATTCTGTGGTACATTTTGCCGCGAACGGTAAATGTCGGGCTGAACCCCTGATGTTTGATTTCTTGCCCACAACCGAGTGATGCTAAAGCAAAAAGATTATTGTATGCTCGAGCATTTTTGAGGAAATGGGATCCGTTAACATCGAATAATAACTGAATCTGCTCTGGAATTGGTGGTAAGCGTGGCAATTTCACTTTGCCTCCGCTGCAACATGTGTTCTTGTTTTCATTGTTCCAGAAGTATGCATTACAGTGGTTGCATGTAAAATCCCTGATCGACCCTTCAAAGGTGTTACAAAACTCCTCCGGTAGTTCTGTTTCGTCGAACTCGTCGACAGGTATTTTTGAAGCTAGATTGAACCAAGCTCTCCCAGTTCGCCCTCTAAACTGCATTCTGTTCAGTCCTCTTGTGGCGTGTGACGGATACCCCCGACGTTGGCGTCTTCGTCCTCTTGTTCCCCTGGACCGCAGGTTTCTCGATAAGTTTCTCGGGGTTCTAGATGGGCTTGGACTCCGTTTGGATTTTCGACCAAACCCACCTCTCGTTCTCTGGCGACCTAAAATTTGAATAGTTTTAAAATTTTCGTATTTGAAATGACTATTTACATATTTGCAGCATGCATCAAAAATAAACTATGTTTTAATGACAATCAAGTATTAGTAAATATAAATTCGTAAAATGACCTCTTAAAGCATTCGGGGATCTATCAACTGCAACTGGGACATCTCGTCGACAACGTTTTGAAGGGTGCTTACTGTTATCACTACCATCATCAGAGAGAAGTAGATTAGTAGTTTCACTGTCATCTGAAATAATTATCTCTAATAATTAACGTATTATCAAAATATGATAATTTCAATCCTAATTTATAGTAACCTGCAAGTATATCGTTTACATTACACAGTATTACAGACCTGCTATAGAATTCGGGCGTTCTTGCTGAGCAGGATGATCAACATTTAAAGTTAGATCCACTGATTGAACGTTGCTTCTCCGAATTCGTTTGCAGGAAGGCTCACAATTTTCCGCTGAAGGAAAACCCGTTACAGGCTACACTAAATAAATTATGGCTAATGCCTTCCTTAGTTTCTTAAATTTTGAAAATATTAAATATGTTATGTACTATATATTATATAATTGAAACTAACGTGAAACTGTAAGCTGCTCCGGGAATGCTGGACCAGGTTGTTGACTGTCGTGGAAACTGTTAGCGGTACCCATTCTCCTGACATGATCGCGGTTGTCTGAATACAGACACAACCTATCGAGTCGGTCTTCGAAAGACTCGTTAGCAAGTCGGATAACCTGTTTTTTCGTTAACTGCTCCAACCGACAATCCCTTTCCTCCTGAGACTCATTCATAACTCGGATGGCTTGACCGATTGATAACTGCTCCAACCGACGGTCTCGCTCCTCCTGAGACTCATTCATAACTCGGATGGCTTGACCGATTGATAACTGCTCCAACCGACGGTCTCGCTCCTCCTGAGACTCGTTCAGAATCTTTTCTTGCCTCTTCCTTCTGTCTCTACTTAAACGTTTTTCTCGTTGCATCTCGGACTGTGCAAGAATATCCCGCTTTCTTTTAACAGGCCTTTTGTCTGAAAAATACTTTTATATATATATGCATATGTAAAGTGTATACTTAAAGACTAAGAAATTTAGAAAAAATTTAAACAGTTATGTTTTTGCGAAAATTCAAAATATTTCCTATGTCGATGTTTATTTATTAACCTGATAATAAAGCTCCGATAGAATTTGCCGCTGTGGAACCCCTGGGACGACCCCTAGGACGACCCCTAGGACGACCCCTAGGACGACCCCTAGGACGACCCCTAGGACGACCCCTAGGACGACCCCTAGGACGGCCTCTTGTGCGCTCTCTAGTTTCATTGATTTGTTGGGGAGCTTCATCAGATTCAGTATAAACCGGACCTATGGTGGATTTATTTAGTCGCACTGTACAAATATTATTAAAATGAGAATGACGACCCAGTCTATGTCTTACATAATGACTAAAATTCTCAACAATAAATATATTTTCTTACTTGGTGCCGAACGAATAGTTCCTCGGGAGTGGCCTCTTCTACGAAATGTTCCTCTAACAGTGACAGGACTTAAGGTGTTGGGAAAGTCAAACTCTCGTCCTGAACAGTTTGTATGTTCACATTTTATTAGTCAACGTCTAAGCTTCAGCTTAAAGACAAAATTAAAGTATAGTTGAAGATATCAAAAATATTGCTCACCTTCCTCGTTCCGGGGCAGAGGTGTGCTAGATGAGCACGGTATAGGTAGGTCTTCCTCCTCTAAGATAAGAGTAGTAGGTCTTTCAGTATCATTTCTCTTCCGCTTCATAATTGCATTTACTACGCGATACATTATTTTTGAATTATTTATATCATACAAAGTGCGAAATTAAACTTTTGGCAGCGCTTCCGCCAGTGGCAGCAGCATCTGCCAGTTCTAAATCGTATTTTTGTTTCAATTGGCCCCCATGTGCAAAAAACAGCACACTACTTTGGAGTCGAAACAATAGTGTGCTGCAGTGAGTGCATAGAATTACATGCATTGATAATCTTATCAGCAATGTATAAAAAGATAAGTTTCGACAATTAGTGACGGCATTTTTAGTAGTAGTAGCTGTAGTTTGTAAATAGGGATTGGTTTTTATACTTGTATTTGCTAATTAGTGCAGATAATATTGTCTTAATATCGAATGGTGTCAAGACTTCAAGAGTTAGAGACTAAACAAATTGTTACCTACCTATTTAATTCGCGTTTTTGACACCACTTGGGGGTCCAAATTTTTGGCATTAAAATCATTATTCCTTGGCCAATTTTTTATTTTTTCATACTGATTTGGAGGCCATTTAAGCATTTGACCCAGCTAAAAAAGTTTCAGTTGTATATCTTTTACGGTTTTTGCGGAAAGTCGCGTTAAAGTTGATGCCGTGGTGTCAGTAAAATGGCACAGATATATATATATATATCGTCTCGCTTTATATATAGTAAGATAACAATCAAAATATGGTACTTAAATTGGCCTCACACAACGTATCGTTTTGGTGTGCACAATTTATCGTCAAAAACTAGAAAAAGTTAACAATCTTATGTAGTATCATATTGCACATTAACACAACCAAGCATTTTGTACCTATCAGGAAGCCTCAAGGCTTAACCCGGTATACCACATACCTGTATTTTTCATGATTTCCAGAGCAACAACGCAACAAATCAGTTTTTTGAGAACAACTATAAAAGTAAGCATTTTAGGACAGATATTACTATGTCTAATGTCACGTGTTATTGAAGGTATTATCTATCAGCTCTAGAATGTGGCTGGGTTGGTGAGGAAATTGACATCCCAACAGTAAATAAAATTCCGACGTTGACTGTTTGGTTCTTTTTCAACCAACGGGTTTGCTAATACTAACAAACAAATTAAGTTTATAAATACGAATCATGTTACGAAACATTTTGAAGTCAAGTTGCCCTAAAAGCTAGACTATGAGACACTAAACTACGAGAGACGGCAGATTTAATAAACAAGTATGTACGAGACAGAAGACGCTGCAGTTAGAATGTATTAGGAACATGTGGTGGGTGTACAGAGTGACAATAACGACTAGGAGCCAGGAGGAGGAGACTGCTTCATGTAGCATGATGGCTTATTGTCTCCTTCAACTGAGTACCTATTCATAGAACAAGTACTCAGCTGAAGAAGTATTCAATAGTTGACCCCAAAGTCGATCAACTTGCACCTCACATGCACTTCTATTAACCATCAGGTGAACCTGACAGATGAGCTCACGTGCACAATTTAAAAGTATTTGCGCGCGGTTTTAGAACTGCATGCAATCGGGCCTGACCGATAAGTTTCTTCTCTGCTATTGGTGCAATAATCAGAATTTCACTGCACTTTTGACGAAATGGTGTATCTGTTGTGCGTGTCATAAATCGTAATTAACAATTGTGATGTTGCTAGTTTACTGATGTTGCGAGTTTACTTTTAACTTCACTTCCAATTCTTTATTGGCCTGCAATTTATTGCAATTAAACCGCAATCTGATTAATCAGTTGGACAATAAAATGTTATCCAATAAACAGTTGTTTGGACTTGTTTTTGTTTGACATAACGTGATTTTCTGTCACAACTTATAATTATATTCCGTTGGTAATTATCCAAATCCGTCGAATATCTTGTAATTCCATTGGCAAAATACTAGAGAAAAAAAAACCTAAACTTGAAGTGAAAGTGAAAGCGAAAGCTAAGAACTCACGTGTAGCCTTGGCGAGTTCCCTCTCCTCTGCCTCCTCTTTCTGTATCTTTGCTAATATGACATCCTCCCGATCATCATTAACCCACAATGGTGCTATCTTACGTTCTAGTAAGTTCCACACTGACGGCTTTACCACCTGCTTTTTAACCTCCATTAAGAGATCACGCGATTCACATTAACCAATCAGAGGATAGGGGTTGTGGCACGTGGTTCAGGTTGACCAATTAGGTGGTTGCTGGGTTACGGGGGCCTCCACGATATTGCTCGGTTGGATCATAAAATCTCTATAATGGGGTAGAGTAGTTAGCGGTGATGATATTTTAAAACTTTGTTTAAAACTTGATTGCTACAAAAAGACGTCTTTGAGAAAATTGAAATAATCTCAGCTCAGTGGTATATTGAAGCATTAAATACTTCTATACTTACAATGTTGCAGCTTTAATTATTCACTTAAATGCCACGAATTTTTCTCTGTCAGAGTTTCAAATATTTCAAGAACTTTTAAGCCCGATAATCTTGCAATTTTGTGATTTGTGTCGGGTATTCCATTCCGAACGCAAAGGATAAAATATCTAAGTCCTATCTCTCATTAGCTCATTATAAAGATATCCGAGTATCTAAATGATTTAAAACAAGTTCTGTTGAAAACTTGATTATCCAAAGCAGTAGTCACAATAATATATTCGTTGTGGGCCGTTTTCCTGTCATTGATAGTATTACAGCGGATGTGTTCATTAGGGTCGTTTAAATTTCATCCTGCAACACAAATAGAGTATAGACTGCTTCAGCACTGTATGATACTTTCTTACTTCCTTCTTTCCTTAGTTTGTGTATGTTTACGTTTAGTTACTTTTCCGCTACTCGTGCACTAAGATTCCTTTTGGTTTTCACATTTCCACTGCTTGTTTAATCGTTAATTGTCAATTTTTAATGTGGTTTACAATCACTTGTTGATGATACAGTTAAGTTTTAGATTCTTTCAATAGTTCTACGATATAATAATTGGTTTCATTTTGATCGATGTGACTGGCTATTGGTTCAAAACTTTTATCGCTTTTTAGTCACGCAGAATTCTGCATAACGGCTCAATTCTCATATATTAATTAGGCAAAACTGAAGAACTCATATTATATAAGATATGTAAATTATAATAAATTGTCAATTGAATGATAATTACACAGCCGAGAAAGCATTACTGTATCACATACTGTAATGTATCGCAAATTTAAATACATAAACTGCCAAAATTATAGTTACGATTATATTTTCTAGGAGAAGAGTTCTTCTGTTAGTAGGATCACAAATCTAAACATTTGTATCATTTTGCCATCCAGAACTGAGCACTGAACATGAACGGCGTAGCTATTCTGATATGATAAGTTTATTACTAGAATTGTATACCCACTTACCAGTTGCAACATTTAATTAAATAATTAACTGTTCAATAGGTATAGAATTAATAAATCACTTTCCATGACGACATTTATATATATTTTTGTCTTGCAATTACTGGAATATGCGTGTTTTCTCGCAGTGTTGTTAGTTGCTCAAATGATTTTCGTTAAGTTTATTGCTATTAATATTTTAATTTCTTTAGCGGAAAGTGATGTTGTTCTCAGTTCAGGTGAGTTAAGCATTACAGTCAGGTAGGTTCCTTTACAAATGAGACCTTATTTAATATGTCTCACCTGACACTATCTATTATTTATTGTTTCTTCAACAAAGGCACTTGTCACTGGTGATTTGATAATAATTAAAGCTCCTTTACTTGGTGAAAACTATCAGTAACCAAATGTTTTAAAGAGGTTTAATTTGTTAGTAATTTTTAACATTTCAGCTGTTTTAAGTTATGCCCTGAATGGTACAGACATATTCCCGCCTTCAAATCTCCTGAATAGGAACACCTCTGACTTATCTTCTCTTCTTCTAAATAACGCCTTCTTCAATGGAAATGATACAGTTCGTTCCCACGGACGCGGAAGAGGGACCAACAAGAGACCAGGGTCACCAGAGTTACCAGGGTTACCAGAGTTACCAGGGTTACAAGAGATAGTACCCTCTACAACCCGCCAGATAAACCCTGCATACCACACAGCTGGACCAGGACCCGCTTTTGACAATGATATGAGGGTGGCAGCGGAGGTAGTCCTCAGTAAGTGGGATGGAAGTGCTCACGGGGATGAGCTATGGTGGCAGGCTGAGTTTGGTGGGGTGGTCTATATCGCTACTGTGAGTTTTAATATTTTTGATACCGATCTTTTTTACAAGAAAACCTTCTGTACTATGATTCGAAACTTCATTCAAATAAAGAAATCAGAAAATGAATAAAAGATTTGACTACTTAAAGCATGATAATCCTCATCTGAATCTTCTGTTTTTCCGATAACAAGGCCACTTATCCTTATCAGTTGACCCTACATTCCTACTACTACACCAGCTGGTTCAACAAAACGTGGGGTTGTGTACAGAACAAGAAGACGTACAAGTTCTGTAAAGATGAGATGTCCTTTGTTGATGTGGATCTGTACCAAGGGTCAAGTTTTGTTAAGAGATGTGGTACACTCGTGCAAGGACATGGACTCAGACAGCAGGATCAGGTTTACAGGTATAGGACATTGGTTATAGATTGGAGTATGATTTTGTAAACATTTACTGATTTGGTTTTCTCCTACGCTAGCACACTCAGCGGGTTTATAAGATGCGAATGTTCCACGAGCGTTTTATTTTCATAGACCTGGTCAGTAAGGAAGTTTGTTTATGGGAGAGAGCTGTCAATAAACCTGTAGTATTATATAATAAGCATTCAACTGTGACCATTTCAACTGTGACCATTTCCTCATTATCCCCCAGATTTACTTGCGATGGATATGGGGACAGGATATCTTTATCAAAGAAACACTCTAAAACCATGCTGCTGCTTCATGAGATAGTTATAACTGGAATTCAAGGTATTTGCTGAAGTCAGATTATTCTTACAAAAACTTTTTTGAACATTTCAAGCATTATGTTTAAACTGTGAAGCATGATACGTTTAAAACTTTACAAAACCCACGAGTTTATGCTGGACTCGCGGTTTCAACTTTGCATTGTCTCGCATTTTTCTTCAGAGTAGGAGTGATAAAGTTCATGCAGTAAAATAATCAGATAATTTTTCTAGAGGGATACAAATATTTGCAGCGCCCAAAATAAATTCACACAGCATTTGAGAGATCCGGAGACCCGATGTTGATTATAGTGAAGCACATGAAGCATTATGGAACGTAGTGTCAGGGAACTGTATCCTTTGCAAGCACATTCACGCAACATCATGATATCACAGACTACAAGAACAACAACAATAATAACGACAATAATAACGACAATAATGACGACAATAATAACGACAATAATAACGACAATAATAACAACAATAATAACGACAACAAGAATTGCGCCGGTTAGCGGACGCTAGATTTCCATCGCCCGTAATTAATTACAATTAACAATCGTTTCATATTGGTTAAATTACCAAATTTCTTTGGGGCGTTACAGTGAACAAAATGGAGGGGTTGCCGTTGTCAATTATTTGAATCGAAAGTTAAACGACCGGACACCGTAGCGCAGCCTGTGCGGTGATATGCATGATGCAGTTAAAAGGACATCTGTCCGACAGCGACTCTTGTCCGACTCAATATGTTACCAGAAAAAAAAGACATCTGTCCGAAATTGTGATCTAATTGCAATACGACACATTTCCATTTTCCAATTAGAGACATGATCTGAACTGAGATATGACCTGAGCTGAACTCTACCATAGTTTATTTTCATTTGATGTCAAAAATTGGACAATAGTTTAAATGTTATATAAATAACTGATCTCCATACCGCTCTCCTGTGTGTAATGTAGGCTGTGATGTGATTGGCAGCTTGTTACAGCTTGTTAGTGTACGGCTAGCATGATCCTGTCCTCAAATAGTCAATCACGTATCGATGGATCAGATCTCAATGGATCAAATCAGCATTATATTAGGACTGTGGGAGCAACGTCACAAGATTACACGTGAGCTTGTGAAATACGAACGTGATCTGAAATTGCAAATGTGATCCGAAAGTTGGACAGATGTCGCCAAAAACGACTCCTATCTGACAGCGACTCTTGTCCGAAACCGGTAATTCGACTGTCGGACAGATGTCACCCAATCAAATCTGTGGTAGTTAATACAATGTGAATCATAATAAAATGTATCGTTCATTTCGTCTAAATATAATGAATCAATCTATGGGCAATCATGTTCAACATGATAGTCATAACATCATAATTTATACAACAACATAACGGATTACTAATATCGGGTTGCACCAAGCACCCACAACAAAATGAGAAGTTTGTATCGCATGAAGTTAACGAAAGCTTAAACGACAAATATCAATGCGAATCAAAATGTATAATAGCGAAAAGAGATATACATGCGCGCCGTACACGATTTATTAGCTCGATTCTTGGTATAGAGTGCACCTTGACATAAAAGCATTGTAAAATGCGCGCGCGACCATCAGAAGATAATTTGTAAAGGAGCACGTGTTTGCGGAGGTTAATGCATGTTTTGCTTTGTGACACGACGAAAAACCTATACCCACTATACCCATTCTCAAATCCTACCACTTCTAACCATCTATTGCCTTTTTAGGCGATGGAAAAAATAACGACAACAACAAAACAATATGACACATCCCGGACTTAAACATTACAATATAGAACCAACAAATTGGAAGACATTTCAAGTTATATTTATATTCCACTACCATTACTTCTGAAAGCCACAATCCGTAGCTCACATTTTTGAATATCACTTCAGAATCACCTTTAACTCTAATTGGCGCTGTCTTGGACCAGCCTAAAAGTACCGGCGGAAATAAGTCGGATGCTAAGGACTGCCTCTCTGGAAACAGTACATATGCCCAGCTTGCTGCAAGTCACAATTGGTTGACTGTTACACTCGAGAAGCAATCCAAGATTACCAAGGTAGGTTTAATAAAAATGTATTATAATTTAATGACATGAAATACCATCTCGGCACTTGGAAAGTCTCGGATACTTATCCAGTATCTATAGTCTATAAAGTCTATAAAGTCTATAAAGTCTATAAAGTCTATAAAGTCTATAAAGTCTATAAAGTCTATAAAGTCTATAAAGTCTATAAAGTCTATAAAGTCTATAAAGTCTATTTAAAGTCTATAAAGTCTATAAAGTCTATAAATTCTATAAAGTCTATAAAGTCTATAAAGTCTATAAAGTATATTTAAAGTCTATAAAGTCTGTAAAGTATATAAAGTCTATAAAGTCTATAAGTCTCTGTTCTTACAAATATCTATCCCAGATAGAGCTGTATGCCCCAGATGATGAGAGCGAATTAACGACGATTAAAGATGCGGTTATATATGTGGGACAGTCCTACTGTGGGGTTGCAGATGGAAAACTAAAGAACCAGTCCATGACACGCTATGTGATCAACTGTCGAACGGTAAGAGTAATGTGTTTAAAGTTTATTGTCAATAACAGCTGAGATGAGGGGCTCGCTGACGGTATATGTGACTGTTTGGTGCTACAAACTGACTGGTTAATAGATGTCAGGTGTCAGAACAATCATTACCTTCTAAATAGCAGATTATACTTCAAGAGATGATGATAAATTCACAAAATATTCGCATAATATTCAATATTCATGAATAATAGCCAATCTTCAAGTGTTAATTGTTAATACAACTGACAACTATTTTAAATTCTTTATTAAGAACGATGGTTTACTGGGACATGCAGTGAAAATACAATCATCCAGCAAGAACATGAAAGTGGCCAGAGTTTTGGTCTTTGGAATTGAAGAGGAGGGTTAGTTACAATGGTTACGTTACCTTGGTTACCATAGTTACATTCTATTAACTTATTGTCAGAGGCTTACATCCATGATAACTTGATATTTTGTTTATTAGTATTAATCTTCTTTTAATTCTGGGCCTCCTGAGTCCTGATATCCATATTGATATTTCAGTCGCCCCAACAATCCCAAATATGGAAGAAAGAGAGTTTATCCCAACCCAAGCACCTGTCCAAACCAAGACACCGTTTAGGGTCCCGGATATGGAACCTGAAATAGAGGAGCGAGCAGACGGTAAAACTTAATTATGCTATTGTTATGGTGGTAGTGTGCTCTTCTTCATAGTTCTTAAGATGATGCATATCGACTTTTCGTGGAAATTGAGCCCACTATTCACGTTCGTTTTTCATGTCTCTAACCTGAAAATATGTTCTGCAAACGCTAATAAACATTAAATTCAGGAGTTAAAATTGCAGTGATCACAATCGAAGAGCCTATCCCCATTAAAGTTCTACAAGATATTGGGAATCTCCCAAATGCAACTAAAACTCCTCTTGGCTTCCTTGCCTTTGCTGGTGAGACTTATATCTGATCGTAAATATGATCATAAATATTATCATTGCTTTGTAAAAATGGTTACTATGGTTACTGGTTATTGCTTTGTAAAACTCTTAATTAAATTAAATACCGGGAGCATCTAGAGAAAATAAACCCACGTAATTTCAAATCATAAAATTCCAAAATAACTATAAAGAGTAGTGTACAAGTTTGCTCATAAGGTCAAGTTCGGAGACAACCTGTACATAAAATCAGTCACTAATTACACTCATTTCACTGCCATAAACGGTAAAATTAATTATAATTCCTCTGAAAGTCCAAGGGGTACAGGCTCTTCAGATATTATACTCCAAACCTTTCTATAATGATATCTGGGTTCAAAATTTAAATAACTCAACCTTGGTGGAGACAGTGGCCACCTGAAAATTACAAAAATAAAGGAGCTGTAAATCACTTATGAAAAAAATATTAACTCCAAATTTCACAATTTAAAGTTACGTAAGACAGGTGGGTACTCAAAAAGTGCCGGTTGAGCAGGTTTGTCTGCTCAACACAGGTGGAGCAGCTCACTGACTACATGAGCTAATATAAGTGACTAGAACTAACCCACTCATGCTTTTTAATTGCTCCAAAGTCCTAATATTTAATATTATGGGTTATACCAATCATATTTCATAGAATAGGATCCTCAGAATCGGCTCAACCGAGGTGGAGACAGCATAACATGCAGTTCAAAATCTGTTATTTTGTAGTTTAGGAGCTGTAGAGTGACTGTGGCAGTCCATTTGCAATACCAATGATTCTAAATCATCTACCAACTCATATTACAAGGCATCCTTGCTGAAAAGTACACTCAACATAGGTGGAGACTCAAATTTGGCAAATTTGGGTGTAAATTTGACCTCAAAAGTCAAGGTTCTCCACCGCGGTTGAGTGGTTGATAGCTAGTTTGATGAGTTGTATACATGGTCAAGTTCGGAGACAACCTGTACATTTTTTACTTTTTTAGAAGTGTGTGGTGGAGCCAGCTCAACACAGACTGAAACTCCTTGATTATATGGCTGACAAGACATTTTTCAGGACTTTCTCTGAGTAACAAAAAAAAATTAAAAGGTTGAACGGTTGAGCAGATACAGGTGGTATTAAACAAACCCTTAAAAGGTGGAGATTTAAGGTGGAGACTGGCTCTGGTTGAAGAAACTTTTGATTAAGGTGGAAAAGGTTATTGGTAACATAAACTACATCAAATTTGCAATCTGATAGTTTTATCAATATTTTATTTAAGTGCTCAACCGAGGTGGAGAAATTAAATGCACTTTTCAAAGCTGCTCAACCGGGGGTTGAGAAAGGTTTAGAGAGTTCTAGGTTAGCTAGAAAGTTGCGTCTCGGCCTTTTCTACTTCCCGTTAAATTTTGTTTTTTCCATTGACGCTCAACAGGGTGGAGATCTTTCATTAAGAAACAGTAAAAAGCCTGTCAAACATGCCTAAATTCATTGGTTTTATCACTAATTCTAATCTGCTCTGTTAACTGCTACTGAAGGGGATCATAAAACTGTTACCCCTTCTGTCTTAAAGCAAAGTGTTCTAGCAAATGAAAAAATTATCAAAGTTGTGAAAAGGTACTCAACAAGGTGGAGAAATTGTTGATTAAACATTAAAACATTAAAAAATGCATTAAAACTGGCCCCACCGGGTTGAGTTGAGCTTTGGCAGTTGATTTTTGGAAGAAATAACATTGGGTGACCCTTTAGCATGTATACAACTCATCAAACTAGCCATCAACCACTCAACCGCGGTGGAGAACCTTGACTTCTGAGGTCAAATTTACGCCCAAATTTGCCAAATTTGAGTCTCCACCTATGTTGAGTGTACTTTTCAGCAAGGATGCCTTGTAATATGAGTTGGTAGATGATTTAGAATCATTGGTATTGCAAATGGACTGTCACAGTCACTCTACAGCTCCTAAACTACAGAATAACAGATTTTGAACTGCATGTTATGCTGTCTCCACCTCGGTTGAGCCGATTCTGAGGATCCTATTCTATGAAATATGATTGGTATAACCCATAATATTAAATATTAGGACTTTGGAGCAATTAAAAAGCATGAGAGGGTTAGTTCTAGTCACTTATATTAGCTCATGTAGTCAGTGAGCTGCTCCACCTGTGTTGAGCAGACAAACCTGCTCAACCGGCACTTTTTGAGTACCCACCTGTCTTACGTAACTTTCAATTGTGAAATTTGGAGTAAATATTTTTTTCATAAGTGATTTACAGCTCCTTTATTTTTGTAATTTTCAGGTGGCCACTGTCTCCACCAAGGTTGAGTTATTTAAATTTTGAACCCAGATATCATTATAGAAAGGTTTGGAGTATAATATCTGAAGAGCCTGTACCCCTTGGACTTTCAGAGGAATTATAATTAATTTTACCGTTTATGGCAGTGAAATGAGTGTAATTAGTGACTGATTTTATGTACAGGTTGTCTCCGAACTTGACCACATGCTAAAGGGTCACCCAAAGTTATTTCTTCCAGAAATCAACTGCCAAAGCTCAACTCAACCCGGTGTGGCCAGTTTTAATGCATTTTTTAATGTTTTAATGTTTAATCATCAATTTCTCCACCTTGTTGAGTACCTTTTCACAACTTTGATAGTTTTTTCATTTGCTAGAACACTTTGCTTTAAGACAGAAGGGGTAACAGTTTTATGATCCCCTACAGTAGCAGTTAACAGAGCAGATTAGAATTAGTGATAAAACCAATGAATTTAGGCATGTTTGACAGGCTTTTTACTGTTTCTTAATGAAAGATCTCCACCCTGTTGAGCGTCAATGGAAAAAACAAAATCTTACGGGAAGTAGAAAAGGCCGAGACGCAACTTTCTAGCTAACCTAGAACTCTCTAAACCTTTCTCCACCCCCGGTTGAGCAGCTTTGAAAAGTGCATTTAATTTCTCCACCTCGGTTGAGCACTTAAATAAAATATTGATAAAACCATCAGATTGCAAATTTGATGTAGTTTGTGTTACCAATAACCTTTTCCACCTTAATCAAAAGTTTCTTCAACCAGAGCCAGTCTCCACCTTAAATCTCCACCTTTTAAGGGTTTGTTTAATACCACCTGTATCTGCTCAACCGTTCAACCTTTTAATTTTTTTTTTTACTCAGAGAAAGTCCTGAAAAATGTCTTGTCAGCCATATAATCAGGGAGTTTCAGTCTGTGTTGAGCTGGCTCCACCACACACTTCTAAAAAAGTAAAAAATGTACAGGTTGTCTCCGAACTTGACCATAACATGTTATCGTCCAAAAGGTTATGTGGATAATACCATGGATGAGAAAGCCGAGGAGGCACCTTCAAGAGATAGAGAGAGAACAAAGAAAAGAGCAAAGTTTGATCAGAATGATTTAGAAAAAGCAACTCAATCATTTCTACGCTTCAATGGCCATGTTGAGGATGGTAGGTTATGAAACTGACGCCAGATTTACATTAATTGGTTACCGTGCACTTAAATGTTAGCTCATTTACGAGATTACGTCATCTCACGTGATGGCGTCATCTCACGTGATTGTATTTTATTAGGTGAAATTACGGAAGAGATGGTAGGGTTCATGCAAAAGGACAGGTGTGGGAATGCTGACCTGGTATTTGATGAGAACGGAGAAAAGTGTACAAATCAAACAAGCACTCTTATCATACCAGCCGAACAAAAGACATTAGTTGCGTTTATGATGCCAGGTAAACACAACTGATAACATTTCAGTGACTCCGGTTACTATGGTTACTATGGTTACTGGTCATGTATGACAGTGTTGTGTTTAGTTTGTTAGTTTCTATCTTCATTTCATTTCTAGGAGTGAACTGGTAACTTGGGAATCTCCCAAATTTCGAAATTTTGTGACACAGTTGATTAGAGAATTATCAAAACTATAGTGTATTGTGCGATATCGATTAATTGAATCCTTGGCTGACGAAGTTATTAGAATTATCTTATTCCAAAATAATAATGCTGATCTCCATAGGGGCAAAGGAGAGTGCTTCGTTAGTGGCTGAATCTGAATCTTACTATCTGGAAGTAGACATTAAGTTCAATGACGTTAGAAACGGAAGAAGCCGGTCAGTTTTCCTCGGTTTTAACTATGATACCAAAACTGCAAACGGAGACGATACCCCTCTAGAGATAGTTGCGTTGAGACTCATGAGTGGGAAACTATGTGCTCAGTTCCTTACTTTATTTTATGGTAAGTAATAAGTATATTTATCAATCTGCCTGGACTATTTTAAGGTTAGGTTTGGCCTTTGTGAGATATTGATTATCCTTATAAATTGTATTATTGTAGGCTGACTTCATTAAGATATAATGATAATTTCACTTTTCAGGTCAATTCTTATCAAACTTGGTGTCCAAAGAATCTTTGTTAGATTCATGTTATATTCTGACAGAAAATGACCTTAAAACCCTTGCTTTCAAGGCCAGACTTGATGTTTATAAGCAACTAGGAGGGATCCTGGGCAAGGTGCATGTTTCAATCAGAGGAAAAGAGGTGGCCAAAACTGTGTATAATACCTTCCGGGAATTATATCCACTAAAACTCGGGGACACCGAGGGCTGATAATTTGCTCATTTTTCCCGCAAGAGAAGCGAGGGTATTATCAGCCCAGACTCAGACTGGCTGGCGGCAAGTTTCAAAACAAATAACACTGGCGTTCTATATATTAGACACTATATTGTATGATGCGCACGTATCGGATTACACCCCTTCTGCAATCGGAACCGGAACGTATTATAAAATATAATACCTCCGCAACTTCGTGCCCGCAAATTCCCTCCAGCAAGCTGTCGGGAATTATAGCGCGCAGCACTCAGTGGCGGAGGTATTATAGTATTATAATACTCAACTGATATCATCGGTATGTCATGAAGTCCGAACATAACAAACTCAATACACTTAGAAGTCGTTCGCATATTATGTAATCACTGGAGCGGGTTTCTAGTGTACTTTTAACACAATAGCTATGTGTAAAACTAATTACGGAGGGGGGGGGGGGGGGTAAAATTTGGCCAAAAGGTTATCACGTAATGTGTGAACGACCCCTTATTAAACGAACTCTTACAGACATAAAATTGTTTGGCAGTAAGTGCATGATGGAATCTCATAAATAAATCGTCAGAAGAATCCTTTTCAAAATAATACTTTTCAATCTCCTGTATTCTTATTTTGATGAATAATTATTAATTACATTAGGCTGCTGTGATAACACATGAAGGAGACCACGATATAATGCTGTCTCGTCTTTGCAAGAGATGGACATTATCTAGTGGCGCTACAAAACGTATCAAACCAACTCGCAGAAAAAGATTTTCACTCTCAAGTCACAAGTGGGGAATTGTTGAAAGCACTATGTCTATAAGATTCAACTTCCAGAACTTCAGGTAATTTTAATGTGAACAGTTATCTGGTTTATCACACCAATAGAAACGTTTGGCCATATTGATGTAATGACATTCACATGGACTAAACTTGTGTTAGAATTTGTTTGGACTGCAAAATAATTTTGCAGCAAACAAATTTTTTGGCTCCAAAATTGGTAAACGAAACTTCTGTTTCAGTTCCATTCTCAAGCAAGATGGGACACGGCAAGAGGTTCTCAAAGCATTGAATCTTTTCTCCAACACCGGTTTTAATTTCCAAGAAGTAGCACCCACAGCAAGTGCTGAGATAGTGTTCATGTTTATCAAAGGACTTCATGCTGACAGTAGAACCTACCACGGTGCAGGTGTAGAGAAGGCCCATGCCTATGCTCCAACCAACAGTGAAATACATTTTAACGATTTCCAGAAGTTCGGTATTAGTGAGCATGATCACGGAGGTAGAGCTGTTAGCATGTTTTATGTTGCTGCCCATGAAATAGGTGGGAATATTTGTATCTAGTAATTATTGTTTAACATAAATAAGTTAGTGATAATTGGTTTTAACTTAATGTCAAAAGAGTGACCATGTGATTTACTCGTTATTAATCTGTTTTAGAAAATAATTTATTAAATACAAACTCCAGGGCATGCTCTAGGAATTCTCCACTCCCAACAACAAGACGCACTCATGCAGCCAGGGTACCCTAAAAATGCGTTCCAGATCCAGAATATGCACAACGATGATACCATGGCAGTTCATACTTTGTACCCAGGTTAGCTTAAATTGTATATTCAAATGAGCATGTTCGATAAGTTATTTAAATAATGATAACAAGGAAAGTATTTAATTATAATTTAACTCTGATCGTTTCCTAACAGTCCATGATATTACCACTAACTAACAACCACACACGCTATAGAGTTACCTCAGTCTGGTGTCGGAGCGGTAAACATGTTTCAAAGCACAGTAGTTAAAGGAATACAGTACACTCCCAGAACCACATTTCCAACAGAATGCCACTCTCAAATAGATGCTGCTGTACGCGTGGGAGGTGAGATGATTAGTTTCATGACGTGTGGTATACGTCATGAATATTGGATATTCAGTATTTATGAAATACTGTGTTTATTGATCGTTAAGTTTCCACTACATTTAAGCTGCTGATTCTATTCTTAGACACATCAGAAAAATCCCTCAGATTTCGCATACATAGTATCCGGACCTTTTATCTGGAGAATGAGACAAGAATCAGATGGATGGTACCCATTTGATGGGTATCCGAAAAGAGTGACAGATGTGTTTCATCAGGCTCACGGTACAATTGAGGCTCTATTCATAATACCCCACGAGTTAAAGATTACAGTGTTTGCACTGTATGCAGGTAACTTGATAGCTAGATACACGGTGGTACTGAAGGAGGGGACAAAAGAACCCTATGTTTTACTTACCTGGGCGGGAAAAGAAAGGAAGGAAATTTTGACAAAAAAAACTAAAAGAAAAACAACAACTGTTGACCAAATTATCAAAGGAGCATTCGCATACGGAGCTGACAAAACCATACTAGTAGCAGACAATCAACTGAGTTATTTTGAGGTTAGTTTTAATTGTTGAATCTAAGGGCCCACGTTAAAATTGATAAATAAATATTTGAACAAGCAGGGGATATTTGGCTTTTAAAATTTAGAAAGAGAATTTATAGAATGATATTTTTGAAATCCATAAGCACTAAGCAGCTATACGCCAATACCATTTCTAACTTTGTAATGAGAATTATTAATAAGTTGTATAAACTATAAATCAGTTTGTAAAACCAAAATATGCAATTTCAGTTATCATGGAAGTTCAATAAGGCAGGGACCCCTAATTTAAAAGAGATCACAGAGAATACTGACATGAACAGTTTAATCGGACGAAAGCTTAATAGAGAAGCCTTTAACGCTGCAATGACATTGAATAAGAGAGATACAGAGGAGATTTACATGTTTGAAGCCAGGGTATGTTCAACTTTGCTTAGAGAGATTTTCATAATAAAAGTTTCGTTCAGTATTTTCTGATAGTTTGAATGGTAAATAAGTACACTGCCGGCTAATACATAGTACATACATCTTACATGGCAAGATCTCCATCCAAAAGGATTAGTCTGTGTCAACTGTGTCATCACTTTGTATTATACAACTTCGGCGGGTAACATTTCTCCATCCCTTTCGATCTGCAGCTAATCTTCTCATACAATCAATAGTGAGTTCATTCCGATCCAATCTCTGCTCAGCATCTTCAAGTCCCCATGCCATGCATGCCCACAGTATTTAGCAAGATTGTCCGTTGTTTCTTGCAATCCCTTAACAGTGTCATCCATTCCTACGATGTCATCAGCATAGTCCAGATCAACAACACATTTTTCTGGTTGTCTGGAACTTTGTCTGTGCTCAAGAGTAAAACCACGTGATATATTTTTAAACTTCTCGGCAAGTTCTAATCCCCAGTTAAGTAACAGGTTGAAATGGGGGGGGGGGGGGGGGAGGGGGGGCTTACACATCACCACGTCCAGTCCCTGAATCAACATCAAAGTGTTTTAATTGTTACTTATTTTGGTGGTCATTATTCATATTTTCCTGGTGGTTTTGTTCTACATATTCACATATTGTGAGCATGTCAGCATGTGTACCTTTATCGTTACTAAGATATAGACATCATAGGAATAGGACACGATCACATAAGAGTTATTATTATTATCATTTGATGGAATGCTACTTCCACTTGAAAAATAACATAGGTAGGATTATATTAATTTCACGGGCTCAGTACAATTGGATACCGATAACGTAGACTCACAATAATATTTTAATTTCTAAGCGAATCATTTTTGTCAGTATTTCGTATGAACTACTCAATTAATGATTTATTTTATATTAGCCCTACTTAAACGCAAGGAAATATTTTGGAGTGTTGCCGACTATATGACTAACTTTTGCACCTAAGCAGTAGCCCTCGGGGGCTAGAGGATACGGGAGCCGACTGCCACGCAGAGTATTCCTCAGTGTATTCGCAGAATGTTAACCCGCTCAGTTCTCGTACACGTCTATACTTATAATGTTGCAACAGGGGAGAGATCTCCCCATCTTTTAAGTGCTTTTAACGGAGAAGGTAGACAGATAACTGTTGCCCTCTTCCACGAAACTTGTACTTAACTTTTTTGAACTTAAGCTAAGTTCGCACTTAGCTTAAGTACGACAATTTCTGCTGTCCACGAAACTAGAGACACTTAAGCAAACACAAATTTAGGACAAACCTGTCGTCCACGAACGGGTATCATGCAGAGTACTTAACTGTCACGTGACTGAGGTAACGCAGGTCACACTAACCAATGGTGTGATAGCAAGTAGGAACCAAATTGAGCACACCCAGGCAGATTCTATTAGTATTATTGATTATTTCATTTCCAGTTATTTGGAAGAGGGACATGCTATCAATTGTCAGGTTATATGTGATATAAATGAGCGATTTCTGGACTCTGTTGTGCGTTGGCCCGGTAGTATCCATGATTCGACCATTTGGAAATTAAGTGGGGTCAAGACCTTGGTCAAAGATTTTGTCAAGAGCCAAGGGCTAAACTATAAGGGTTAGCTTCTTGGTGATTCGGGGTACGGCCAGCGAGAAATCATGATGGTTCCACTGCTTGAAGAAAATCTCACTCCGAAAGAGAAACGGTACAACGTTGCACACAAAAAGTGAAGATGTACTGTAGAAAGGGCCATTGGCGTCCTGAAATCGAGGTTTAGGTGTCTCTCTCATGTAAATATTGACTGAAGATAACTGTTACTAAGACCTTCAGCTTATTGAAAAACACTCCAAATTTACGGTTTATATGTTTTTAAAACCCTCGAAACTGTTTACTGTTCCTCAATCACTATTTTTAGTTATCACAAAATTCGATTTTACATTTAAGTTCGACTTAAGTACAGCTTAAGTGAGGTTTGGACTGGTCTTAACTTTTTACTTAAATCTCCCTGATTTAAGTCCACTCTTAAGTTAATTTGGGGCTTAAGTAAGTATCGATTACAATTACGCTTCCAACACGCACCATATATGGATGCTAACGCAACTTTAAGTGCACGCTAAGTTTAACTCCCAAAGTCGTACTTAAATATTTAAGTAGGAACTTAAATCATGCGACTTAAGTAAAAATTTGTACTTAAGACTCAGTTCGTGGACGACAAACGAAGGGTTGTACTTAAATTTGTACCTAAGTCATTCTTAAGTACACCATAAACTGTTCGTGGAAGACAGGTTTCTCGATCTACCTGTCAGTGTCGTATCTACCTACCTGTTGTAAGAGGACTATTTTAAGAAAAACTCCACACATCTGAGTATCTAGTAACCCGGGCAATATGTGTCTCTAGTCTCTACCACTGATGTCGTGTAATATAACCATGCAGTTGTCATGTCTCAGCTCCGGCAATAGTTTTGTAATGGAATCACTACCTTTTCGTAGCTCGTAGGAGTTAAATGTCTTGATTAGTTGCCAATATTATAAAATATGTAAGTAACTTGATGCTGATTACCTAGTATAGGCTATAGCTATCTTTAGTAAATCCACGTGATTAAACTGAAGGAACGCTTATAAACTCTCCTGATGATTTCCCCGTGTGTTACAAATACTCATACTCAAGTACCTTTATTGATTGAAATAAATTTTCGTGCACATACAGAATGAATGGTTAATAATTTAATATATATGTAGACCAAGCTCTGTGCACGGGATGCTTCCTGGAAGAATCCAGTTCTTTTAGCGGGGCACCCTACCTAAAGCCAAATTGAGATATAATAATCATATTCCTAGAGAAATAATCAGAAATCGAATACCAATCAAATAATATGATATATACCTATGAGTAGTAACCATATTTACTATGCAAAATGCCCCAACCACATAGTGTAAATTTATATAGAATTCAAATTCCATATCATCATTAAACCTCAATACCTAGTCAATATAATAGCCCAAGCAAAATTAAATAACTTCTTATATACCTTACTGTCATACTACAAATTAATTAAACATTTGAAATCTGTTGACCAGAGAATAAATTTCTAAGCCTAATGCAAGTGAAATAATTTAGATGCAATAATGAATGCCTAATGTGAGTATCATTTGTCAATGTCCTTGTAAAAAAGTCTGTACAAGAGATATGAGTAACTAATATAGAAGAAAAAACAGGAAGTTGTCGTCTGTTGTAAAATAAATAAAATATCTAGAATATAAATTAGAATATAAAATAACATTCAGTCAATGTGTCGTCAATAAACTGTACAATTATCAAATGTTAAAACTGGGTGATACAGTCACCAAAAAAAATACTAAGTATGATCTGATAAGTTAATAAATTAAATGTGGTCTATAAAACTACCACTAAGTATAATAGGTCAATAAATTAAAAGTGGTTTATAAAACTACCACTGTGGGAACCCCTTCTCCAGTTAAAACATGTCAGTCATGTGCAAAATCAATCAGAATGGTAAGGTGGTAAAAAAGGGAATATCTTTTCGATACATCAATTATATATGCCTCAGATTTAAAAGAATTAGAAGTTACTTAGTTATCGGCGACTATGATTGCAGTGTAAAATTTGTCATATGAATTGTCGACGGTATAATTAGGGTCTGTTGTTATAGATGATAGTAGCTGTTTCTTATAATAAGAATTAAATTTCTTTAAAATAAGATCCATATCATAATTTACACTAGGAATATTTTCACTTTTCCATACAGCTTCAAAAAGATCTTTCAACCAAGGCAGAAGTCCAGGAGAACCGTACTTTAACTGCTCATTATGAACCAGAAATCTGATAATTTATATTACATATTCTGATATTTATACATGTCAGGATTCATCAGAAATTCAGAAGCCTAGCGATTATAAAATTCAGATAACATTACTGATTACTCTTTTATACCGTGTTCAGTATTTTCAAGTAAATTAGCCGGTAAGGACAGTTTGCCTCTTGTAGTCCAAATTTACTTTCCTCATTGCTAGAATTCATTCCTGAACAAAAAATTTTAAAAAATTGTTCCAGATTCTCCCTCCTTGCATGTTGCACCCTCGTTGAGAGTGAGACCTATATTACTGCAAGCACATTGTTTTCAAAATTTGCAGGACTTCTCCTTTGGTCCTTAAATTGGCACAACAACATCTTGCTGGATTTATCATTTCACATTGCTAAATTTCAATTCTGGAAGCAAATTTCCTGACATTTTTTCTCGAGAGAATACAATATGCATCCCCTTTTCGAACTACACTTATTTCGCAAGAGCTGCTTGCAGGCCCTAATATGCATTTAAAATCATATTATTTTAATCGTTCTTAAAACTGTGTTTGAAAATGATCTCTATCGCCAAATTGCTTAGCTAGGCCTTTGCGATTTTGACACCACAATTTTCAGTTTTATACCTGTCACGGTTTTTGCGGAAACGTGTTGTCAGAAAAATGGCAACAGTAAAATGGCAACAGATATACCTATTATATCGTCTCGCTTTACATATAGTAAGATTTGCCGTTTGACTACATCATACCTAATACTATATGACTTTCCATCTGTGTTTCAGAACGTGTGGCAGGAGAAACCCTTCACAACGCCAGAAGGTGGTAACCGAAGATGGAAGGAAGTTCCAAACTGGTTCAAGATTGCTGGCTGGTGTCGTCGCAGAAACACATGATCCCAGTTGTAATGAAACTCTGAACAATTTTAATTTAGCTCGAAGCTAATGTACTAATGTATAATGTACTAATGTACAATACAATGACATTAGGGTTAAAAGGCCTCACTTAAAAATTTCTCTGTGAAATAATAAGCCTCTTGTTATTTAAATCAAAAAGTATTATTTTTACTGCTTTTTAGTTCGCTCAAAAGACTTTAAACTCTCGGGAATCTGGACAGAATTCAAAAAGACTGTGTCAGGTCCAAGAATACTGACGGCTTACCTGGATTGTGTGGGTGTCGAGATACACCCACTTATAAGAGGGGAAAAAAGAATTAATTGTATTATTCTATCTCAGATCCATTATCATATCATATTAGTTGATGGCCCAATCTTTAATGATCACAGAGAGGCCAGATTTAAATTATGGATCGAGCGCTCATAGATGGGTTTTGAAAACACCCGGAATTTCGGATATTACGTTTATTTTGCAATAGGGGCCAGTGGCTCTCGTGAAAATTGTATTTTACGTCTTATTATTATTTGATGTAAAGTGGGTTTGAGAAACACCCACAATTGCTTTCACTTCCTGTATCCTAGTAGGATAATTCACGATACTTCATACGAAGTTACACCCTTCTCCCTTTAGGAGTCCTGTCCTATAATCGAATGATAATTCGGTGAAACTATCAATTTCGTGGGCCTAAGTCGGGACAAAATCACCACCGATTGTAAAGCTATATTGTGGTAAAGTCGCGAGAGGGCAAAAATGCTACCCACTGTTCCAAATACAGAGCAGGTCCATTATTCTGTTAAGCACTTGGTGTGTACGTTGCGTTTATACGATGAACAATTTTAAAATTTTTTTTCGACCGCAGACTTCCTTTTGGCTTTTAGTGTTATAAATAAATAATTTGAAATGTTCTGTTTAACGTTCATGATGGACGATGGTGGATCAAATGCGTTGTTAGTTGTCAATAGATTTCACCAGTCAGCCGAATTATTGCGTGTGTTATGACCTAGTCGACAGAAATTTTGTCACTTTTAGTAATATGAATCTTGACATAGTCAGTAGAAATAGTGCGGTTTTAATGCATCTAGAGCCGTTTTAGGACGCCAAAATCGTCTGGTTTCCCCTCCAGCAGGGACCGCTGGCCATTCGGGGCCTGCCCCTAAACCCCCTGAGTCAGTCGAGGTGGGTTAAAACCCACCTTGCCTAATACACCCTACCCACGAGCCGCCTCTGCACCGCGAAACTTAACTTTGGGGTAACATGTCATTCAATAATGATATCAGAGCGTCATTGTAGTTCCTGAAAACATTAATCCTGTCAAAAACTAATTATTTTATAACCAATAAGTCCACATATTACCTCAATAACATATTACCTCACTAAAAACCATTGGTAATTCTGTCTGGAAAAGCTTCGTTAAATGAGCACGAGATTTAATTAGATCTACTGCAGTAGTGGGTGCTCTGGGACAAACTCAAAGGTAATTCTAAAATAAAATTACCGCAATTGTCCTAAACCGACATTCTCGTACATTTTACACATATAGTCATTAGTCATAACGTAGTGTGCGAAAAACAGTTCACGATTACAGAATGATCAAATTAACATATTTTGATCAAATTATCATATTTCCTTTTCGTGTAATTCCGTATTTCTAGCTTTGTTTATCACTTTCTCCCCCTCATGTTGCTTAGGTTTTTGCACTTGATGCAGTTTATCGCTTTGTCGCTTAAACATCGATTTTTTTAAACAGCCGATTAATCAGTATGACGATCCATATCCAGGTAAACAAACACGTGATTATTCTACAAATCGACCCCTTATTCTCATGAAAGGACTTTCTGATAAATGTCATGGTGCGAGACACGACTTTTGATCCACTTGTTAGCCTGGATCTTGTTTAGTTATTGTTTAACAGAAGCACCGCTCATGAGCAGTTGGAATGTAGCCGTATCTTTTCCTTTCAAACCTGTGGAAGTGAGGATATTGTATGTTATTATGTTATTATGCTGTTTTCTGACATGTCCGTATGAATCTAGATATACACGGATAAGACTAAGATGAGCTTCACAGAAACATTCAAAACTATTTTAGTTGAACTTCAGATACCGTGAGAGATATGACCGGAATTACAGGAAGGTTTGAACAAATGAAATGATTATTTTCATGCAATGTTCCTTTAATTCTATATTTGGGCAGTTCCACGATAAAGTTTCACTAGGTGATTTTATAAAGTTGGTCAGATGGCTTCAAAATTTAGTCTATTTGATCGACAATTGTCTATATTTTAATGCTCAAAGCTATTTTACAGCTAAATATAGCTTTAACTACCAAAAAAAATTCACCAAAGTCACACCACATTCACATCCTAAAAATGGCTTATTTCAAGACACGGCCATAACTGTCGATAATAACATGGAAACAACCTAATTTTCATCGAACAATAACATTTATGAATGTGTTACTTGATCCTGAAATCATGAAAACACCAGGAAATAGGGTTCTGGGAAAAAAATTTACCCCAACGAAGTGTCCCGTAGGTCACAAAAAAGGTATAAAAAGTTTTATTATGAAAAATAATAGGCATTTCTTTTTACCTAACGCCTTGGAGCTATCTCGCCGTGGCTGCAGGAGGTAGCATGCAAAGTTTTATCATGATTGTATGATGAGGTTTTGAGATATCGAGGGGGTGAAAGTGGTCCCGTAGGTCACAGGGGTGTGACCTACGGGACAGTCCTGTAGGTCACAGATAATTAAATCGAAATTTTGAGTGAGAGTTACTCACAGTATATGTTTTAACATGTATCAGAGTTTATGTAGCATTTTTCCGCTGCCACATTAACTCTTTGTTTTGATTTTACTTCCTCCATTTACACATACACATCACCTCTCACTTCTCAGTTTTGATGTTTCTATTTTGTTTCTCTGTGTGTCACTCTTTCTCCTGCATCAGATAATTACGAAGTTAAGAGTCTTAAGTTTTTCTCAGATGGCACAGGACAGCATTTTAAACAAAAATACACCCTCTGCCAAGTTGTGACATTAAACTTCCCAGAGCTGGAAGACGTTTCTTGGCATTTCTTTGCTACAAGTCACGGAAAAGGCCCCATTGATGGGCTAGGAGGTACCATCAAACGAAGAGTGACAGAGTATGCAATGGCTAATCGACAAGTTGATGTTGTCAGCACAGAGGATTTTGCTCGGATATCAAAAGAAAGGTGTCCCAACATCTTGATTGATTTTGTCCCCAAATCTGAAGTTAAGCAGTTCATCGAGAAGAACAGCATTCGAGAAGGATGGAAAAGTAATGGTAAAGATATACTCACGGCTTCATCAACAAGATCATGTCATGTGTTCAAGAAGAGAGGTAGTTACAGTATGAAGTTTGGAGCCCACTCATATGTTCCAGATAAAGAAATGAAAAACCATCTCTTCATTAAGGAAGGAGGTGTTGATCATAACCCAGAGTTTGAAGTTGATCAGCAATCCATTGGATCACTAAGTCCATCAAACATCAGTCTCATAGACGTGCCAGATTATGATATCACACCGAGTATAGACGTGCCAGATGATGAGAACATACCGAGCATAGACGTGCCAGATGATGAGAACATACCGAGTATAGACGTGCCAGATGATGAAAACATACCGAGTATAGACGTGCCAGATGATGAGAACATACCGAGCGTGTATTCAAAGGGTGAATGGGTCATGGTATCTTATAACAACGTGAAGTATCTGCCAGGTATGATTCTAGATCATGATGAAAAGGAAAAAGAGTATTTTGTTAGGTCAATGGTCGCAGGTACATCAGCTGGTTTCTACATCTGGCCCTGCAACTGTGATGCCCCTTCATCAAGCCTCAGTGAGTGTGACAAGTGCCGAGATGACTCGTGGATAAAATCTGATCAGATCACCGCTAAAATTGCTGATCCAACACCCGACCTCAGCAGAAGATCAAAGGGGTATAAGTTTATCCAAGAATAGTAGAACTGTGTATCATTTGAACTGAATGGGAATTTGTATAATCTATACAGCATGTGTAAAACGTATATTAAATATCAATACAATACCTGTAAGTTAGACATGTGACTTTTATTTTACGTAATTAAAGACAGGGTTTCTATTTCTTTAAAAACATTTATTGTAAAGGTAAAACATGATTGATTTGTCATTTTTTATGTTATGTCCCTTTTTAATTGATCTTCAACAACTTAGATGTATTTGGAAAGCAGATACAAGGACCAAACAGCGATAAAAATAGTAATTTCAAAAAGTTCCACTTTTGTCCTGTAGGTCACAGTCCCGTAGGTCACAACTTTTAGAGGCTGTATCTACCAAATACTTTGATAAATTTACAAACCTTTTACATCCTAGAATAGCCAAAAGGATTTCTGATACCTCAAAACTAATTTCGGAACTCTACAGCAGCAATTCGGGATAGAATTTTTGGCTGAATGTTCCAGGTCCAAAATAGGTTGCACGGGAGTGTCCCGTAGGTCACAGGCCTGTATCTCAGCACTGGTAAATACTATGAAATTGAGCTTCTACATAGCGTTAAATAATCGATTATCGAGGAGATTTAGCTATATAGCCAGACTTTCTTGGATAGCATGTAGTTACAATCAACTCTCAAAGTGGAAAATACGCGTATTTTGTCCCGTAGGTCACAGTGGAACTGCCCATTTATTCTATAGTACTGTTGAGCGTATGTATTCCGTAAAATCAGTAAAACAATTCTTCTCGGTAGATCCAATCCACCAGATACATCAACTGTAGCTCAGCAGCACGAAGGATAGCATACATTGAGCACCGGGAAGTAATGAACTCTAGAAGCAGTGATGGAACTGGGAAAGCATTAACTTGATGTTTTAGCGGGTGAACGTATCCTTTGAAAGCACACACATAATCATACTACAGACACTCTGACAAAGACAGCAATGTCTTCACTTACAATGGAGATCTCATCTGAGATAACATTAACCATGTACAATTTGAAAAACTACAGATTTGATGATTTTGGGAAAAAAAAATTTCAAATACAAAACTGATAGATCAAATAACCTTCTATTTACTAATCATGAATGCCTTGTAAACCACACTGCTCATCTAAGTAATCATCTTCACAGCTGCTGGAGCCTTGACTATAGTTACGGCAGAATTGAAGGACCCTTATAGAGGACCCAATGGAGAACCTTCACATGGAGGGAACTGTATTAATGATGATTCAACTTACGGTCAACTCGGTGGTAACAAAAACTGGTTGATTGTAACCCTTCAGGAGCAGGCTCAAATTACCAAGGTACAGAATTAAATTTACAGTTTTTTGGCTAGTTTACTAATATATTATGTTCCTTGTTATAAGACAAGGAACAAACTCTATAGAGACCTTCGTCCCCTTTAATAGCCTTCATAATAATATGTATGTTCAGTTACAATACCAGTCGATCTGAAACTTTCTTTAGTTTCGAAGCTGAGATATTTTAAACGTACAATGTACATATATATTATATAATATAATATCATTAGTAAGGACGTTCAATACAATAAAGAATGCAATCAACATCAAATATTTGAGCACAAAAACTGTTGATAGTAAAAATCATTCATAAAATAAACCAAATCCCTTCTCAGGTAGAGATATATGCACCAGACTCTGAGACCCCTCAGACTGCTATAAAGAATGCCCGCATTTATGTAAAGGGATCAACAGGCAGAGTCTTTTGCGGAGTAGCAAATCTTCAGACCCAATCCGGAATCCTGTTCAACGGAGTGAATCGTATGCGCTACAAAGTTAACTGCCAAGGGTCTCCATCCGGGAATCAAATTCACATCCAATCATCCAGAAACAGCAATTATATGAAAGTAGCCAGAGTTGTGATTTTTGGGATTGACGGAGGTAATATTTTATCTATTAATTTAATATTGTTTTAATCTTTATACACTTCCAATCTAATATCAACGCAGCATGATATATATTTGTAGCCCCCCCCCCCTGCCCCAGCCCCCAGCCCCTTCCACCACCAACCCCCCCCCCCCCCCCTCTTTGTAGTAATTCAACTTCCTGATTTCAAACGTTAGATGTAGCAAATATGATGAACAAAACATATTATATACCAATACACCACAGCTGCTGCTCCTGCACAAATATTCAATGAAGACAATGTAGGAGACCCTGCTGTACTTGAGAGAAGAGATGATGGTAAGGTGTTTCATAACTTAGTAGTAGGAACACAAAAGGGAATGTAAATTGATGAAATACTTTACCAATATTGTTGATTTATCAAGAGAGATACTGTTGACCACCCATTGATTGAACATTCAGGAGTAAAGGTGTGGAAACCAGAAATACAGGAGCCAGTCCCCTTCGAAGTGTTAGAAGAACTTGGCCAGAAAGAAAATGCAGTTGAGACTCCCATTGGTTATTTTGCTTATGCTGGTAAGGCTAAATGATTGAAACTTAAGTTTTGTAACTGCAAGTTCTTCTTATTAACAAGTTGTTGATTAGGATTGACACAGAAGAGCAATAAACACCCTTTCAAGGACAAGTACTACAACCTGGAAATAAGAATCCTTTGCTGCGTTACAGTAGATTCATGGTAAACCCATAAACGTACACTTAGCTTATCCCATTATATTCTCATAAAGGTTACGTGGACTATTCATTGGGCCTGGATACAAATGCAGAGGAAACCAAACCGGACCAACCTAAAGAAAACCAAACCAAACCGAATTTTGGTCAGAATGATTTACAAACAGCAGTTTCTTCATTTCTCCGCTTTAATGGCTTTGTCGAAGATGGTAAGTTTAGAAGAATGGCAGTTTCATATTCAGTTGTTCGCGGAATATTACTTTCAAATATCTGATCTCAGTTTTTAATAAAAATACAATTCTGTAAAGCTAAGTACAGTTTACCAGATTGCATCTTTGTCAGGAGAGATAACAGATGAAATGATAGAATTCATGCAGAAGGAAAGATGTGGAAATGCTGACCTAGTAATAGGTCAGGATGAGGATAAATGTACTGACGAGTCAAGTAAAATTAAGACACCAGCTAATCAAAAGGCATTAGTTTCCTTCCTGATACCAGGTAAATATTTCACTGTGTTCACATAAGTTTCCTACACAATACCAAGTATTTGAAATCTAATATCTGAGTGTGGTTAGTATGTGAATAGTATCTAAGATAATGATATCAGCATAATATTTAAAGACGAAAAGACAATGTTGAAATGTTGAAATTCAGGCAGAGAGTCGACAGAGAGAGCAGAACCTGAATCATATTATTTGGAAGTAGACGTAAAGTTCAACAATGTTAGAAACGGACGAAGTCGTTCTATTTTCCTTGGTTTTAACTATCAAGCTGAAAGTGCAAACGGAGGAGACAAACCTCTAGAAATAGTGGCTTTGAGATTCTTGAATAATAAGCTTTGTGTACAATTCCTCACTTTATTTGATGGTCAGTATACTTTTAAATCTATTCATCTTTTAAAATCAAACATTTTAATAACTGAAATATTGAATATGTCCACTTGCACAGTAGATATTCCTCATCACGAAATTATAATTAATATCTCAGGTCAATTTGTCTCAAACTTGGTTTCCAAGGAAACTGTGTTGGAATCATGCTACACCCCTAACTCAAATGAGGAGAAAACACTTTCTTTTAAAGTCAGACTGGACGTGTACAAGGACATGGCAGGGATTTTGGGAGTAGCATCTCTTTCAATAAAAGGAAAAGAAGTGGCTAAAAATGTATATAAGACTGGAATAATTTCTTCGGTAAGCTTTTAATTTTAACACTTACACATTAAACAGATATGGTGATGATAGCATCTTTAAAATTTCCACAGTGCTGATAGAAATAATCCGATCAATAGCTGCAACCATCATAAAGCGCTTCAATCACGTATGGGTAGTCATGATCAGGCATTGCCAGCTAATTGTGTGTCTCATGGCTATACGTTTTATGATTTGCTTATTTATGTTTTAAGCGAAAAAACAAGATGGATCCATCACCTGTATTTCACACAGGCTGTGGTGATGAGAGATCAAGGTGACATTGAGGTCACTTTGTCCCGAATTTGTAAGAGGTGGACATTATCTGATGATGGTTCAACTAGACGTATCAAACCAACCCGCAGAAAGCGTTTTGCAATCTCTAAGCATAAATGGGAAACTGCTGAAAACCTTATAAGATTCAATTTTCAGAATTACAGGTAAATTGAAAAATTTGTAAATATAGAGAAAGCAAAATCACATTGTACGTAAAATCACATTGTACGTAAATCACTCACCTTAACTTGAAATGCCAAAAAATGTCTCAAACACATTCCAGTCTCTGTTTCAGTACCGCACTAGGGCAAGAGGGCACAAGGACTGGGGTTATCGATGCATTACAACTTTTTTCTGATGCAGCTGGTTTCAATTTCCAAGAAGTGGTTCCAACAGCGACAGCTGAGATAGTGTTCATGTTTATCAAAGGTATTCATGCGGACCAGAAAACCTTCCACGGTAATGGTTAGTTTGCATGAGGCTGCAACACAAATAAATCTAGCATTCCCCTTACATTATATTTATTAATCAAAAATGTGAAAAACAATGATATATATAATAATCAAGGATTTATAGAAATGTGCAGTCGTTCACATATTACGTAATCAGCCGGGGGGGGGGAGGTGGGGGATATCATAACAATGATTTCGGCTAATAATGATCAGGGTAGCATGAAACGTAGTGAAAAGAGTTTTCCAGGGGAAAAAAGTCAAAAAGGGGGGGGGGGGGGGGTCAGGCCATATGGCCCATGATTACGTAATTTTGCTGTCAGGCGGGTTTTGATTACGGTTGACTACAGAGGGGGAACTGGGGAGGGGAGTAAACATTGCTAAAATATTGATTAGGTAATATGTAACGACCCCATATTAATCAATCAAATAATTGAAATGTATGAAATAGTAACATGCAACAATCGTTATATCATATATATTGTACATCAAACAAATTAAAATTTTTAACATGTTTATACAGGGTGGCCCAAAAGTGACTACCCACACGCAACCTCTTAATAACTCACGTAATTCGTCTCTTAATTGCACCAAAATTACTTATACAATATAACAATATACTTTTATACATTTTTAGGAGTCGAGAAAGCTCATGCCTTTGTTCCAACTCACAGTGAAATTCATTTCAATGATTTCGAGACGTTTACTATGGGACAAGCAGATGGAGCAACTAGCATGTTGTATGTTGCTGCCCATGAAATTGGTGAGGATATTATCTTGTGTTTTGGTCGAATAATTGTTTTGAGATTATTCTATTCTTGAATCTTCAGCTTGTGATTTACAATCGTTTCATAACCTGATAACCATGTTTAGAATATTTCTTATTATAAAACCCTTTCAGTATACAGTAAAGGTTAACTTAAATTGTACTGTACTGAGAAATAAACATTGTGTGTCCTAAGTATTAATTAAATATGCTTATTAAGGGGGGGGGGGGGGATTTCAGCCTCAACATAGCAGTTGGCCAATAAACTGGGACCCGTGACCACACTTTTGAGAAGTTCTGGACCCCAACCGCCAAAAGACCACTAAAAATAAAGAAAACTGCCCTTATCTCAGTTGGCGATTTTCGTGAAGTGACTTCACCAGAAAGCCTAAAGCTTTTTCATTTTTCAAAATTTCCCCATGAAATTTTCTGAATGGTTTTGGAATCGCCTCAGGACCTTATTGTTTGGGCCAGATTTTTGAGTAAGGCCTTTTTTAAATTGGTGGAAAAAAATGTTTTTGTGCAAAATAATTTGTTGGCCAAAAAAGTTTTAAAGGCCTAACCTCAAAAAACGAGGTCTAAGATTTTCAAAATTGAATACAACATTTTTAAAGGTCTATATCTCAAAATATTTTATGAGCGATCTCCTTTAAATGGTCCCTAGAACATATCCTGAAAGTTTCAGGGTGATTGCTCAAAAAATGTGGGAGAAGATAGATTTTTAGACACGATTTTTAGAATTTGCGATTGAAAATCGCTCGCGCAATACAATTACACATTGGGCTCATAAATGCTGACCTTAGACCGGCGATAATTTCGGCTAGGAACAATATTTTTCCATGGGACCAAAAGCAGCTGATAGATATCACTCCCCTCTATCAGAAACAACTATAAAGTCGATTTCGATAGAATTTTGATGAAGACCCCCCCCCCCCCCCCGGCCCCCTTAAGCAATTTAATTGCTTTAAATAACAACATAACTTAGGGCACGCTCTTGGAATTCTCCACTCACCACAAGCGGATGCTTTGATGAAAGCAGGATATCCACTTAACGTACGCGCATTTAGCTTCCAGCATCTGCATGATGATGATGTCAGAGCAGTCAAAACATTGTACCCAGGTACCTCTATTAGAATAGCAATGTAAAAGAAGTTATTATGAACTTAAGCGATCAAAACTAATCCATAATATACAATTTGCATTCTGGTATTGACATTTACTGTACAATGTTTTTCCAGAATTTTCACCTTTCATGATAATTGTCACACTGGAGTGTTTAAATGGAAAACCTATTGTATAAGTTGCAATAATATTATGATCCATGTTTGCAATTATTTTGCTATTAAAGTTTACATTTTATATCTTAACAGAACTCTCTGGTACTGGAAGACTAGAAAAGTTATCAACAGTAGCTAAGGAAACAAAATACACACCCAAAATCCCATTTCCAACAGAATGCTACTCTCATATAGATGCCGCTCTACAAGTAAAAGGTGAGAGTTTAACACATCATATTTAGCCTTTTTTCAGGAGATATCTGAGATAATGATGGTGCCAAAATGGGGGGGGGGGGGGGGGGGGTTATGGCACTTTTCTAGTTTTCACATAATATATGATATCAGGGACAAAAGGATTTTGCGCTCCTGAGATATCACGCTTTTGTCGATTTTTTAAACGTTTACCTCCTCCCTCTGGTCTTTATAAATCGAAATGAAATTATAGTTCTGTTTAGATTTCATCATGGTTTATTACTTCAGAATTTGCATTTATTGTATCTGGACCAACAATTTGGAAAATGAGGAAAGAGTCTGATGCGTGGTCTAAATTTGATGACTATCCTAAGAGAGTGACAAGTGTATTTCAACAAGCGATTGGTGGAGTGGAGGCTATTTTTAAAGTTGAAGCCAAAAGCGATATAACTAAATTTTCAGCTTTTGTGCTTCATGGCAACAACTTGATATCTAGATACAACATTCTCCTACGTGACAATGCAGAACCATTAATTACCATTAATTGGTCGGGGAAAGAAAGGAATAGTTTTTTGACTAAAGGAAAGACTACAATTGACCAAACAATTAAAGCAGCATTCACATTTGGAGACAAAACTATACTAGTAGCAGATGACTTGCAAAGTTACTTTGAGGTTAGTTTTGATTATCACAACATTTGGGTGTTGGTTGTAAATAAATCTTCATGGATTCATCACCAAGTCCATACTTCTCCTCAGTCAATCAAAAATAATATAATATATGCAAAGTAAGAAAATAAAGTTTCGAAATATTTCAGCTATCTTGGAGATTCAGACCAAAAGATGGGGAGCCATTGTTAGCTGGTATAAAAAAACTAACTGATATGAACAAATTATTTGGACGATCGCCTCCAAAAGCATTTAATGCTGCCATGACATTTAAAGTGGTTGGAGAAGACAAGGAAAACATATACCAGTTTAGAAAGGTGAGTTCAACTTTAAGCTTCACTTTTGATGTTTTTCTGGAAAATAGTCTTGTTTCATTGAGCATTAATGGTGAAGCCTGGTTTGGTGTTTAGAAATGTTTTAGATGGGCAGTTAGTTATATTTAGACCCTCTAGAAGATATTTCCAAAGGTGGTTCAGTGGTGTAACAAAGGGCCCGCGCCGCTGACCCCAATGTGTGGGGGGCGCCATCTTAGGGGGCGCCAAATCGTCGCTTGAATGCTAGCATAACTGCGCGTTTTGCTCTAAAAACACACTTTTTCAATTTTTAGGTTGATAGCATCTTATTTACCTGGGCCTGGAGGCTATATTGTCAATTGTAGCCGCTGATGCTAGTACGTCACTGTATTTTTTATGCTTTGTTTCAGGACGTCGTGTATCAAGAAGAACCGTTCCCAAATCACATCACCGAAGGCGTAAATGCTACGCGTACATGGAATAAAGTCCCAGACCATTTCAAAATCGCTGGATGGTGTCCTATAGACTGGTAGTTAACATAATATAATAAACACCAACATTTACACCAACATTTTTGTTTCCTATTTTGATGAATAATACAATTGAGCCATATTATTTTTGATATTTGTGATTTGAGCGAATAATATGCAATATTTTGGTCATTCGAACATCAGTCATTTTGCATGAAATATAAACTTAAATTCATAATTTAAAATTCAATAAACAATACATTTTTTATATATATAGAGGGGGGGCCAAAAGTCAGTACCCATACGTTGGGTCTTATACCACCGCCTTGTTTTATATTTGAGAGTTGTTGCTTTGCAGATGGCAAACTGTACCTACTTATTCGAGGAATCCGTCACCAAAATTTTGTTGAGGACTGCTTCACATAACATGTACAATGTACATTTTTTTTGTTGATAAAATTCAAACAATATACACATAACAATGATCCTATCATATATAAAAATTCGATAAAAATCTGATTAAATTTTATTATTTATAAAAACCCTTTAAGTAGTAAAAATAGCCAAGCAGAGAAACGATCGACGATGCGAAGCAAGAATGCTAGTTTGCGCGGCGCGTCAGAGTCCTCCAAAGGTACTATACAATGTACATGGCTTCTACCGTCCCAGCTTTCGATTAAGTGTAGTGTTTGATGCATGCATAAAATAATAAACTGTAAACTACTAGCATGGCATTAAAAAATATATTACATTAACTGTGCATAGCTTGCTAGTTTTAAGATTTTTTCCGTTTCTCTTCTAATTGCTGTACAAAAGCTTAATAAAAATATGAACACCGCGCATATGACTGGACGGTGCTCAGCCCATGTCAATTTTACATATACAAATTTTGTTGAAATTTGGTCACGTTTAACGGGTGATTCTCGTAAAATAGTTGACCATTGTTAATGATCTGGCCCGGCGCGCGCTACTTCGTAACACTTGCCGTTGGGCCATTTCGAGAAGAAAGCGGCGCGCGCTACTTCGAAGAAATTTAGACGAGTAACATCCGTCAAGTAAAATATCTGTTCTATATATTGTCGACGAGTCCAACTCGGCGCGCGTCCTGGTAGCTGTTATAAATCTACAAGGTCACGTCAGCTTACGTAAAGATTTACAATTTATGTTTTACTAAACCTAAATTAGTTTGAGCAATTTCGATCATGGTCATAATTTGAGCTATCAACGAATTTATACCTATTTTGTCATTTTAGACCTTTTAATCAAGGCCAATCTCTCCCAACTAAATAAGGTTTGCAGTAGTTAAGTATTATTAATTATTGAAAGGTTCTGGCAAATTTTCATTATGATTCATGTTTAAGAACTTGAGATTTAACGGGTGATACTCGTAAAATATCTGTTCCATATATTCAATATTGGACCGTTGATTCACATAGCCATGTGTATACGTATGCGTACTTCGGCGGTTGCGCGCTACTGCAAGCGAGAGGGCTCTGGTTAGAGCAAGACCGTTGAAGAGTCCAACTCGGCGCGCGTCCTGGTAGGTTATAAACCTACAAAATTATGCAATAAAAATCAACGAATTTCGTCTTACTGGGCCGCGCTCAGCCTGTCATTCCGCCGAATCTCTATTTGTTTTTGAACATGATAGCCTGAGGTCCCCAGGTAAATTTCGTCAAATTACTATGTACTATACGCGACTTTTAAAGTACCTACCATACCTCCAAAAGCCGCGTACCATCAAATATGGCACCTTATAGTACTCGGAAATATTATGACTGGGATAAAGTGGTGGGTTTTGGAAAATTCCGCCATATTTTTCCCGGTCATTAATTTTCCCAGTCATAAATTAACCCGCTATAATGTTCCCGAGTAAGGTAAACTAATAGTAATACATTTTGATGCTTGGTGGGTTTTGGAACATTCCGCCATATTTTTCCCGGTCATTAATTTTCCCAGTCAAAAATCAACTTTACGGGTGATACTCGTAAAAAATCAACCCGCTATAATATTCCCGAGTAAGGTAGGCGAAACTTACTGATCATTTCAAAAAGGTATGACAAATTTGGTACTGGGAAAATTCTCAATCTGTAGAAAACGATATGGTACAAAAATTTTGAATTAAATCCGAGCAAGTTTATTTTATCGTGCAGCACATGCACACCCCCTATCGCTACTGCAAGCGAGAGGGCTCTGCTTTTTCATACGTTGTATGATAGCCGCCGCCTAAGGTCCCAGGTAATGGGGGTCCCCGACAATTGGGGTCACGACGTGATACAAGCTTTGGTTAATGCAAAGGTTACATGTAACTAATTTTTCAAGACGCACGCGAAATTTTGTTGTTTGTACGAATATTACCAGTTAATAATTCAACTTTAAATGCAAACCGCAGACAGTACCTTACCTGGAAACCTCAGGATATTATATTTATGTTCATAATCATAGAGATTCTACGAAATGACAGGCTGAGCTCAAAGTGAGTACTTACCTGGGGACCTCGGGCTATCATGTTCATAAACATAATAGAGATTAGGCGGAATGACAGGCTGAGCGCGGCCCGGTAAAGTGAGTACATAATATTAGAACGTCGGCTCTTAAAGGGATGGATTGAATTTAATTTTGTAATTGTATCTTCAGGCCCAGGCAAAATAAAAACCATTTAATTTCTACTAACTTGGAAATGGAATTGTAAATCTGTTCACAGTTAAGCTAGGCTACATATTTACAAATGACAAGAGTTCAAAATCAAATCGCAATTCAGTTATATAAGTATCATCTTACTTCAAAAATGTAAAGCATAATTAAAATCCTTGAGGATGCAGCAATCTCTAAATCTAATTAAGTTGTAATTGTAAACCATAAACAATTGGCGCGGTGCCGTTTATATTGTTGGACTCGTCGACGGCCGTCCAATATATGGAACAGACATTTTACGAGTATCACCCGTTAAACTTGTACTTGTAGTAGTCCCTGTGCGTGGCGCTCTTTTTAAGCTTCATGAACTTAAGTAGCGCGATGCGTTACTGTGCTGCGCAGCGCACTCAATGAGGCTTCTCACAACTAGATCGGCGAGATGCGCTACTTGTGCCTCGCTAACTGTGCCTCGCTGAGCTGCGATGAATTGACATCGTCAATTAACATGAACAGAAGAGCGAGCTGTAGACTAGCAAGCTAGGTAAACAAATCGTCAAATCACTTGAATACTTTTGAAAGAGAATGACAAACTCAAAAACGTTACGCTACTGTATAACTATATCCAAGCACAATATCTAATATATAGCGTCAGTAACTTTTGTCGAGGTGCCTAGAAAGGGAGCTTAAACGATTCCCCGTTCAATTTTGGTCGGCACAGTGCACACGTCAACTTATAATTATTATTAAGCAAGTTATATATAACTATTTTATACTATCAAATTCAAAATTTGATGTGCTTTCTGTGGAGATATAGACTATAGTGTGCGCCTTAATTAATTTGAATGCCTTCGATCTAGAAATATCTAGAAATATAAAATGTGGAATTTCCTAAACAACATATTTTGAAGATAATATTCTGCTGGATGAATTGTAGAGAGCACAGCTTCCTCCGGTATCTGAATTGTCTGCGTATATGCTGAGATCCATTGAACCTGAAAGATGTTCAATGTAACTCATTGCACACAACAAAATGAATAAATAATGTACATAAATATTAAATTAGAACATTGTAGGGATATTGAATTGATACAGCCTTCTGTGTTCTGTGGCCTGACGATTTATTTCAATGTTGGAATGGAAATTCATAATCCTCATTTCATTAGCAATACTAATAGGGCCGGAGCACATCCCGTATTGTATTAAATTATTATTTTGCGATAGTATCTTTTTTTAAATAGGAACATAAAATGAAAAACACAATTTGTATACGATATATCACCTTACAGATAACACGATAGTGTTATCTGTTACGAAGTGCAAACGATATTTTTGTTGGAGATGAACTTACTTATAGTAATGAAGTTGAACACACCTTATTAACCACTAATAGGTGGGATGGTGCCCACGAAAGTTAAGCACAAATTTGTAATAGATCATAGATCGACCAGCAATATCTAATTGAAAATATAATAGTATTAATATTAAATTATCAGTGATCAATCATATTAACAATAATTATATATTTCCCACCTCGATAATTCCGAGATATTCTGTTCCTCTGTGCACTTCTTCCGTTGAAGTTCCTCAGCCTACTACTTTGGCAAGATTCCGAGTCTCTCTCAGCGCCTCTTCCACAGGACTCAGCATCCCTAGCTGCGCCTCTTCCACAGGACTCAGCATCCCTAGCTGCGCCTCTTCCACTGACATCCACCACACTGTCCACAGCTCTGAGAAGAAGTGGGGGAGGCTGGTACACTTTTCTGATACTCCGGGTTATTGAGCTGTCTGCCAGACTATGTCTGTCCGTCTGTCCGTTTGTGTCGCAGTTCCTCCTTCTGCCCTGCCTACAGATTTTGTTGTTAGAATGGTCACCTTCAAATGGTAAGAGTTTTGAAAAAAAAGAATAGTTTCAATATATATAAGAAGTTTTGAAACTGAAAGATTACACTTACACGGATGTGTCGAGATCAGAGCTGGAGAGGTTGTTGCCAGGAGACAGTCTTTTAAGTTGTTTTTTATGAACGCCTCTTCCACCGTTGTCAATTCCCCTTATATCGTTTTCTTCGCCTCTTCCACAGTTTCTTACGCCTCCTCCGTTTTCTAGACTTCTTGAGTCCCCGTTCTGCTGGACTCCGTCCAGACTTCCAGATTGGTCGCTCCTAACGCTAGAACAGGTGAAAGAAATATCCATTACTTGTCTTTTGGGAAGTTTAGGTGTTGAGGAGTATATTTTCTGATATAGTGGTCCATTGTTTTCTCCTCTTGGCTGCTGGGTAGGATGTACCAAGTATGCCGGTTGGGTCTTGTTCTGCAGAAGAACAATCAATAGTTTTGATTTGTTTTACAAACATAATTGTCATTAGTAACAAGTAAAGTAAAGAACTGAACATTTTCAAGGTAAAATAAAGGAGCTAACGTGAGGGTCGAATGCGAGCTGTATGTCTATGCCACTGTGAGAAGGAGTACTGTTCCTGCTTGAAGGAGGGGTACAGGAGGACGCTGAAATCAAGATTAAGCTAATTAAAAGTTCCCGAAAAAAACAAAACTCTGTTTCCAGAACCCTCAACTAAATGGGAGGTTACCGTGGTTACCCACTCATGTAACATGAGGAGACTCTGGTTACAGCTTTATAAATATCAAATATTCGGAAATTCGCACTCTTTATAACACTCTATTGTAGTCGCTTGTAGTTTGGTATTTGTTAAGGGGGGGGGGGGGGGGGGGGGGGGGGGGGGGGGGGGGAGCCTTTGTTAACCACACCTTCGCAGCAATAAAAATAAATGTGTGAAAGTTGGACTAATATAAGTATTCGGTTGAGATAAAAGTTGTTATACTTATTAATTTATTATCACTAGTATTTTGTGAGAAACTCACCTTTTGACCGGTTAGGACTCGTTCTCTTCGGTTTGGGCGGTGCTAAAAAGAAAGCTGTTCACACGTTAGAAAACAAATAGGAATTAATCAATTAGTTAATTATTCAATTAGTTAATTAGTCAATTAGTTAATTAGTCAATTAGCTAATTATTCGATTAGTTAATTGGTAAATTAGTTAATTAATTAATTAGCAATAAGTATATTGAAAGAGTAACTACAAACTGACTACTTTACTATGGTCTGGATTGTCATAGTAAGTGTTTTACAACAAATACTTACGAGTTTTGTGGAACATCTCAGTGAGAAATGAGTCCATAGCGAACCCAATATTACCTGCCCCACTGATAACAGGATGTCTCTCTCTGTCATCACCTGATAACAAATAATCAGTCGGCTGGAGGGGTGGGGAGTTAACTTAATGTGGAGATCAATGTTTGTTTTCACGTTCAGAGTTATGAGAATATACTTGACTAGATTCGGCTTTTTACGGAGAACCACGGCCACGGGGGAGTATCACCTCAATAAATCTATAAATGTATTTAATTGAAGTCGTGAAAATATTTAGAAACTAACGCTTATTTAAACTAATAACCTGAGTAGAGTCCTAGGTCAGTAGTGAAAGAGTCTGCTATCTCAGCTATTGTCTGGAGAGGAGAGAGGGGTCTGGTGGGGTAAGTTGGCAACTTGCCAGGAGAGTGGCTTCTATTGTCGGGTTCTGGTATAGCTTCGTAGTAGGACGACTGCAGGGGAGTTATATATCACCACATAAGGTTATGTAACCATGGTAATACTTCCATATAAGGTGGAGAACGGAATTGTGTTTTAGAGGCGTAGAGTTGGGGTCGTTTCAACTATTGTGAACATTGATAAAGCTCTAATTCACATTTAACTCAGAGGTAACGAGAAGAATTAGTTTTGTTTGAAAAGATATCACACAATATAAAGGTACAGTGTACAGTACCTGTGCTAAGCTCATAACTTCTGATTGGGTATGGTAAGGGGGCGGAGAGTTCATCGCTACCTCCTTTCTCAACCTAGATAATAGGAGGCGTTAGAAAATGCGATTATTGACACAACTTTGATTATAAAATAGAAACTGAAGTCCTAAGATAACATGGAGCATTAACAATTTAATGAAAGGTTTAAATTGTGACAAAGACGTATTGAAAGAGATGGGGCCGGGATCCAGGTAAATTACTGCAATATTTGCAACACACATCAGAAAAGTCACTATACCAATTCACTAGAATAAGGAGATATGAAGGATATACGATTAAAGTGTGATTTGACACCTCTCTCGACAATAAGGCCTTATAATTCCGTAATTATAAAATAAGGTTACTAAACCACCCAGCTTTACTAATGGGATCACCAATACAATCTTCAATAATCAAACATCTTACCGACAACTTAATTCTTTTTCTAGATTCAATATCAAATTGATCGTTGTCGTAATTGTTTATTGTACACTACCAAGATTGATATCTTCACAAATATTGACACCACAAAGTGTCATTAATGATGAACTGTTTTCAAAACTGCCATTTAGATGGATCGAATACATTTGAAAGATTGACTCCGAAAATAAGGTAACATGTGATGCCCACATAAGGTAAAATAAACCAGATTCTAACCTGTCCACCTGCGCGGCTAGGTTGTTGTTTTGTTGCTGAAGGAGCAGCATGTGTTTCTCATCAGTAACCTGAAGAGCAGGGCAGGATGTGTACTGCAGGGGAGTCTGGAGAGGGAGTCTCCCTTTCCGTGCAAACCAGTCCTCTGTTGTGATGGTCTCGTAGTCTCCCGCTGATTCGTACTGAATGTAGTTGTCAGAGTGGTGTGTAAATCTGTATAAGTGTGAAGGTTCTCGATGATAAGACATATGTAGCAACGAGGGTGACATTTCGATTGAGGAGCCTATGAAAATTTGTGAACAGAAATTTGACCGATTTGATGAATTTTTGCCCAGTGACCAATTATTCAGCTAACTGAGGATGGTATGAGACCAAATTGAGGTACTCCAAGTCAAAATACCCCACAAAATGGAAAAATCATATTCTCCCATTTCTTGTCCCATTTTCAGTTTTTGAAACGAAATTGGCCAGGCCGAAATTTAGCAGTTTTGACCGAATTCCTCTCCTGAAACCAATTAGCCACTCAACTTTAGATGCTAAAAGACACAATTGAGGTGCTGGAAGTTTGATTCCGGTCGGAGGAAGCTTACTTCAGAAAGCTTTACAAAACGAAAATTCTGATTTTACAAAGTCTGTCCCATTTTCAAATATGAAAATTTCTGAATTTCAGTTTTAAACTATTTTCACAACTACAATTAAATACATTTATTAGGTCCCAATGTCAAAGCGATAGAAGAGACTATGACGTGACCGTTTGTATCCTAAGCAACGCATCTACTTCCTGGGCTACAGTATTGACTTCGCCATTTTCTCCTCCCTCACCGCCATCTTCTCCTCCCTCTTTCCTTCACTATGGATCTGAATTCTGTTACCAATGTTTTAAACTCGTTTTCATTAAAAGAGCTGAAAGCTCTTAAGGCCAGTGTTGAGAATGTCATGAAACTTAAGAGGGATTCTGTTAAATGCGAGGACTTCTTGGAGTTGCATTCAGATTTTGTTCAAAACAAGAGTGTTCAACATGGCACGTTGATGTCTGAACTTGAAACACTTATGGCCAAGCAAACTGCTGTGAAAACTGCCACAAAGTGGCTCACTTCCACTGGAGAAGAATATGTATGGTCTTCCTCAAATGGACACACCACGACTAAGGAGCCAATCGATATTTTAAATTATCCTGGGATATCAGAGCTTATGCATGATATCAACTCCAAGTTTGGCTGCAAGCTAAACTCATGCCTAGCAAGCATGTACAAGTCTGGTGCTTGTGCAACTAGGTACCACAACGACGACGAGGTGTCTCTTGACCAGTCGCAAGGTATTTATGTAGTTTCATTTGGAGCTGAGAGGACCCTCGACATAATTCCAGAAAATGGGGATAAGCGATGTAACAGTAAATGCCATATCACCCCAAAGGACTGTAGTTTGTATATTATGAAACCGGGGTGTCAGGAATATTGTCTTCACAAGGTTCGTGCAGAGAGATCAGCTAAGGAGACTCGGTATAGCTTATCTTTTCGCTGCCAGATACCGAAGACAGATACAAATGTAGTCAGGGAGCAGAATGTCCTCACTACAATTCCTATGCCGCCCACCACCACCTCAACACCAACCCTTTACTACCGAAATGCTCCAAGAAAACCGAAGAGCAGAAAAACCACTGTCCTGTTTGGTACGTCAATGACAAAACTTGTACGGACAAATAAGTTGGGATTCCGGGGAAGGAAAGTAATCAATGTGTCCCAAAGTGGTGCAAAAATTAGAGATATCACTGAAAATATTCAGCATTTTCATAAAACTCATGCAGCTGCAGAAGCTGACGATATTGAAAAGATTATATTGAGTGTTGGTACAAATGACATAAAACATTCTAAGTATGGGGTTCAGTTCCTTAGGAAGTATCTTAATGACTTAATTGACACCACTAAGCAGTTATTTCCCGCTGCAATTATAATTATCCAATGTTGTCTTCCTATTAAGTGTTTATATTCCTACATAGCAAAGAATGTTCTAGATTTTAATAATCTACTTAAAGACTTATGCCTAAATAATAATTGCGTGTTCTTAGACTGTTTCTCAGACTTTTTAACTCGAGACTTTAGATCCTGTAATGAACTTCTATACCATGATTGGCTTCATCTCAACATGAGAGGAGTAGGTTTATTGTCCACTTGGCTTAAGTTTGTTGTAAACGAACACAGTTTTGACAGGGTTGTAAATAATTTTCTGGGAATTTAAATCTTTGATCTTTTCTTTCATTTAATATTTGATTAAGACGTTGCGCCTAAAATTAAAACTCAAACAAATCTCTGATTTAATCTTTTTCTCAATTTTATGCCTCCTATTTCAGGTACATTCGGTCACTGCCCATTTTCCCATATGTTAGACAATGAATCGTTTAGACTTAGAATAGGTCTTTTTGCATGCAAAAGGCCTCGTACACAGTCAAGAAATGCACATATACATATCAACACGTTTATACCTAACAAAATTTACACATTCAAGTCCCCATACACTCCACACATCAACCACAATTCTCATAATCATATGTTTCTCTTCTATTCTCTCATCATGACTTACCTTCTCCCAATTCTTCTCTCCACAACTAGGTCCATGAACACCGTATTCCCCCTAGATTCTAATATTCATTCCTCTCTACTCCTTGACAGCCCACGTTATCTTATACCATTTCTTGCTTGCTCCCACATCAAACTTTTCTTTGTAATTATCTCCTCATGGTTTATAAGAAATGTTCTTCTCCCTGGTAAGATGAATAGAGTCAAGTATTCCAGCCGCCTCAGGCGTCTAGTATCTTTATTCATTCTTTGGGTTTTCTCTCTTAACTTTCTTTTGATAACTCTTGTTAATCCTTCTATGCTTAATCCAGGTCCCAACTCCCTATCTGTACTCTACCAAAATGTCCAAGGTCTTATTCCTTTCAGTAACCTAAGCTCCTCCCATCCCCTTCTTGATGGTAATAAGATTTCCGAACTTCAATCCTTTGCTAACATAGAGCAGCCTGACATAATTGCCCTAAATGAGACTTGGCTCAAAAAATCTATTTCTAGCAACGAAATCTTTCCTTCTTCTCAATATGAAATCTTCCGCAATGACCGCACGAGAAAGACTCATCCTCAAGATCCTAATAACCCTAAAAAGTTTAGGGAAAATGGAGGTGGTGTTCTTTTGGCTGTTCGGTCTGATCTCGATGTCACTACAACCCGACTACCAGTTAGCCTAGGTGCAGAAATGCTTGCCGTTAAAATTGCTTTTCCTAACAAAGAGAGTATTGTAATCTGTACTTGTTATAGAGTAGGAACTCTTGGGTTACCTAATCATGATGTCATAGTTAGTTATATTCGCAAGCTAGTTTCCAAAAAGAATCCCCCTAAAATCTATGTTATTGGTGATTTTAATCTCCCCCATACAGACTGGCTATCTTCATCCAGTACCGTACCTATTGAGCAATCCTTCATAGATTCTTTCAGTGATCTTTCTCTCTCCCAGTTGATCACATCACCCACCCATAAAAGTGGTAATACATTAGACATTCTTCTCAGTAATTATGATAACACAATTGATAACTTGAATGTCTGTGATCCTCATTCCGTGTGCAAATCTGATCATTTTCCTGTCACTTTTTCAATTAAAAGCTCCTTTTCCCGCAAGAAAACTCCTAAACGTAAAATCTATAATTATAAGAAAGCAAACTGGGACATGATTAATCGTGAATTATGCTCGATTAATTGGCAAGTCCTAGAATGCCTAGATCCTGATTCGTCTTGGAAGTTAGTTAAAGACTGCATTATGAATTTAGTTGATATACATATTCCTAAAGTAACTATTAAATCAGAGTTTCAACCCCCGTGGTTCGACAGTGAACTTTTTTCTTCATGCCGTAAAAAAGATAGACTCAGAGCTAAATTTAAAATTTCTGGTTCTATTTCTGATGAGTTAAAGTTTGTTACTAGCCGTAAAGATTTTAAGAGGCTTTCATCAGCCAAAATAAGAGACAATCTTTTCAATAGTGATGATCCAGCGCTTATAACTAAGAAGTTTTGGTCACATGTTAAGTATAAATCTAACTCCTGCCGTATTCCTAATTGTGTTAGTTATTCTGGACAGCTTCGGTTCAAACCCAAAGCTCAAGCTGAACTTTTCAATTCTTTCTTTTATAACCAGTTTTCGGATCCTTCACTTTATGACACTGACATCTCCTATGTCAATGATGTTGATTTTGATATTGACTTCGATCATCGGGATGTTCGTAAGCTTCTTTCAAATATTAATTCAAATAAAGCCCAGGGACCAGATGGCATACACGGTAAAATTCTCAAAAATTGTTCCGTAGGTTTAGCTTACCCTCTAACATGCATTTTTCGTGGATCTTACAACAGCGGCTACATTCCACAAGAATGGAAACTTGCAAATGTTGTCCCAATATTTAAGAAAGGTAAGAAAAGTGAGGTTGAAAACTATAGACCAATATCCCTTACTTGTTTAGTCATGAAAGTTTTTGAGCGCATTGTTAAACGTAAACTGCTTTCTTTGACAAGTACCCTTCTTGATCCCAGGCAGCATGGTTTTCTAGAGCACAAGTCATGCACAACCAATATGGTTGACTTTTGTGATAGCCTGGCATTGTCTCTTAACGAAAACATTATCAATCATGTTGTGTATTTTGATTTTGCTAAGGCATTTGATTCTGTAAATCATGATATCCTTCTTCATAAGCTAAAGACCTTATATAACATTGATGGTACACTTCTCAAATTTCTTACCAATTACCTTCAAGGCCGTTACCAAAGAGTGGTTATTGGTAATGAGATGTCATCTACCCTCTCAGTTAATTCTGGTGTCCCCCAGGGCTCTATTCTTGGTCCCTTACTTTTTGTATTGTTTATCAATGATATTCCTCTTGGCCTTTCGGATAATACTGATATTGTTTTGTATGCCGATGATACAAAAATCTGGCGTAAAATACATTCATCTTCTGATAATACTAATTTACAAATGGATATAGACTATCTCTCTGACTGGGCACTAAGAAACAAAATGCGATTTCATCCAGCAAAATGTAAAGTGCTTATTGTTTCAGGAAAACCATCTTTATCTCCTCCATTCGCATATAATCTTGATGGCTCTCCTCTTGTGTATGTAGAGTTAGAAAAAGATCTTGGAGTCGATGTTACTCCTAAGCTAAGTTGGAATAGTCAGTGCGACAGAATTTATACTAAGGCCTGCCAACAACTTGGTATGGTCAGAAGAGATGGCCATATTGTCATTGATCAGAAACGTCGCCGGGCGCTTTACCTCTCCCTGGTTCGTAGCCAATTCGAAAATTGTTCCATAATCTGGCGCCCTTGTAATAAATCACTTAGTGATAAATTAGAAAGTCTCCAAAAGAGAGCTATTAAATGGATTCTGTATGAAGAGGGCCGCAGTTATCCACCTGAGCAATATGTCAAAAAGTGCAAGCTTGTCGACATTCTCCCTTTGTCTCAAAAGTTTGACTTGAATGATCTTATTTTTTTCCACAAAGTTCTTAACAATTTAATTCCTGTATCGCTGCCTCACTATCTCTCTTTATATCAGGGCACTTCTCGACTAAGACGTTGCCACCTCGACAGTCTGTCTATTGTGTCATCAATTTTACCTAAGTTAAGTCAGAATTCACACACCACATGTACCTCAAATAGCCCACTGGCAAAATCATTTTTCTACAGAACCCATATACTGTGGAATGGACTCCCTTTACAGGTAAGACAGATTGTGTCTACTAGTCTTTTCAAAGCTGAGGTCACTAAGCATCTATGGAAATGTTTATTGGATAGTGAAACAACAGTCTAGCCTAGTCTCTTTGCTCCCCATATTATTATTATTTTTGTTTTATTAATTTTGTATCTACCTTCCTATACTTTCAACATCATATCACACTTCACCCGCACACCTTCTCACACATTAATGACCATTTCAGACCTGTATCTAATGTATCTGGAATTTGACGTATTGAAATACCAATTTTGACTCTATATCCACAGTTATTCACCATGGATTTGTTTGTTCTTAAATAGTTTTTCATAAATTTTTGGATTTAGATTAATTCGATGTAATGGGTCCAAGTTACTGCGGACATAGTTCACTATGTGTTTACCGTGTTTGGGTGCCCATCATATTTTACAGATGGGGGCGATATTTTGAACGATTCTATTTTATATTCATCTATTGCTGTACTCTGTAAAATTTGAAAAGTATTTAATAAAAAGAACAGAAATTTGACCGATGTGATGGAATTTTTGCCCAGTGACCAATTAGTCAGCTAACTGAGGATGGTATGAGACCAAATTGAGGTACTCCAAGTCAAAATACCCCACAAAATGGAAAAATCATATTCTCCCATTTCTTGTCCCATTTTCAGTTTTTGAAGACGAAATTGGCCAGGCCGAAATTTAGCAGTTTTGACCGAATTCTTCTCCAGAAACCAATTAGCCACTCAACTATAGATGCCATACGACACAATTGAGGTGCTGGAAGTTTGATTCCGGTCGGAGGAAGCTTACTACAGAAAGCTTTACAAAACGAAAATTCTGATTTTACAAAGTCTGTCCCATTTTCAAATATGAAAATTTCTGAACAGAAATTTGACCGATTTGATGGAATTTTTGCCCAGTGACCAATTATTCAGCTAACTGAGGATGGTATGAGACCAAATTGAGGTACTCCAAGTCAAAATACCCCACAAAATGGAAAAATCATATTCTCCCATTTCTTGTCCCATTTTCAGTTTTTGAAGACGAAATTGGCCAGGCCGAAATTTAGCAGTTTTGACCGAATTCTTCTCCAGAAACCAATTAGCCACTCAACTATAGATGCCATACGACACAATTGAGGTGCTGGAAGTTTGATTCCGGTCGGAGGAAGCTTACTACAGAAAGCTTTACAAAACGAAAATTCTGATTTTACAAAGTCTGTCCCATTTTCAAATATGAAAATTTCTGAACAGAAATTTGACCGATTTGATGGAATTTTTGCCCAGTGACCAATTAGTCAGCTAACTGAGGATGGTATGAGACCAAATTGAGGTACTCCAAGTCAAAATACCCCACAAAATGGAAAAATCATATTCTCCCATTTCTTGTCCCATTTTCAGTTTTTGAAGCCGAAATTGGCCAGGCCGAAATTTAGCAGTTTTGACCGAATTATTCTCCAGAAACCAATTAGCCACTCAACTATAGATGCCATACGACACAATTGAGGTGCTGGAAGTTTGATTCCGGTCGGAGGAAGCTTACTACAGAAAGCTTTACAAAACGAAAATTCTGATTTTACAAAGTCTGTCCCATTTTCAAATATGAAAATTTCTGAACAGAAATTTGACCGATTTGATGGAATTTTTGCCCAGTGACCAATTATTCAGCTAACTGAGGATGGTATGAGACCAAATTGAGGTACTCCAAGTCAAAATACCCCACAAAATGGAAAAATCATATTCTCCCATTTCTTGTCCCATTTTCAGTTTTTGAAGACGAAATTTGCCAGGCCGAAATTTAGCAGTTTTGACCGAATTCTTCTCCAGAAACCAATTAGCCACTCAACTATAGATGCCATACGACACAATTGAGGTGCTGGAAGTTTGATTCCGGTCGGAGGAAGCTTACTACAGAAAGCTTTACAAAACGAAAATTCTGATTTTACAAAGTCTGTCCCATTTTCAAATATGAAAATTTCTGAACAGAAATTTGACCGATTTGATGGAATTTTTGCCCAGTGACCAATTATTCAGCTAACTGAGGATGGTATGAGACCAAATTGAGGTACTCCAAGTCAAAATACCCCACAAAATGGAAAAATCATATTCTCCCATTTCTTGTCCCATTTTCAGTTTTTGAAGACGAAATTGGCCAGGCCGAAATTTAGCAGTTTTGACCGAATTCTTCTCCAGAAACCAATTAGCCACTCAACTATAGATGCCATACGACACAATTGAGGTGCTGGAAGTTTGATTCCGGTCGGAGGAAGCTTACTACAGAAAGCTTTACAAAACGAAAATTCTGATTTTACAAAGTCTGTCCCATTTTCAAATATGAAAATTTCTGAACAGAAATTTGACCGATTTGATGGAATTTTTGCCCAGTGACCAATTATTCAACTAACTGACCAAATGTATTCCTATATAAGGTAACACCACACTCTCATTGTTATATTTAATGATAAACTAACTGCATCTCACCTGAGACACGGTAGATTTAGGTCTGCCTTCTGAGGGTACCCTGAAATGTATGGACATTTTAACTTGTATAAACTGTTAATAATCATATTCTACTCTTTTTTATTTAGATGCTTATCACTTATTTTACTTCGGTTTAAGTCGCTATAACATCGGATCAAAATTAGATTGCAATGTTGTCATATGTCGTGTCAGCTCTGCACGAATGGGTTCTGCTTCATATCTTCCGGTATTTCAGATTTACAGATAACTTGTGCGGTGTTAGAATTGACCTCATGAATAATTAATTAGGAGCTACCAGCTTTTGATCGAAAGAAATCCACTACCGGCAATAATTTATATACAATGTCATTTCGATTCAATTATTTTAAGCCGCGCACATGTGGTTGCGCACACTAGTCAGTAATAATAATTTGGCGCGTGCTTTTGAGCTAGACTCCGCCTGGATCTCTCAGAGGAGCAAAGGATGCAGATACTTAGGGTATATTCAGATATTCTCAGTTTTTTTGGCGAATGTGAATCTTTCCCTGATCTTGTAATTTGTCGAGATTGAGATATTACCAGGCACCAGCATTATTCTATATTGTAGCTTATTCTGACTTGAGCTATTAAAAACTAGCTCTAGGAGCTCATAAGACACTAACCTTGTGGAAGGTTTGCTGGATTTGGGTCTGAAGTATGTTTTTACCAATGCGGTCAAGTCTTTAATACTCTCTGATTTGGTGCCCTGCGGTGAAATAACTGTTAGAATGGGTTACTATTTAATATAATATATCGGGATTCGGGATCATATGAAAGAAGACTGAAGTCCTAAAAGTACACCTTAAGGGGCTGTAAAAGCTCAAAAGTGCACCCCTAACGGCTAGTTCTACTTGTGCCCACTTTTTTCCCACTTCTGGCTTTTACAATTTTGTTTTTTAATTTAGAAACGACTAGTTCTTTAATTGTGTATTCAGTCACAAAAAAGGGAAGTAGTTCAGTATTTGAGGCAAGTCACGAGGACACTTCTACTTTAACAGCTGTTACTACTACTAATACTATTACTACTAGTCTGACCGTAGTCAGTAACAGGGCAATAGCATGGCAATAGTGTGATTTGTTTGGGGAGGAGAAAATGCCTCTCTGTTGCAGTCATATTATGAAGGGGATGAGGAAAACTCTGATTCACCTGATAAAACACGAATACTAATAATAAAATGTAACGATTACAATACTTCAGATCAATATTTACACACCCTTCAAGCTCAACATATCTATACTATAATTTAAACTTGACGAAATTTCCCCGGCAACGGGGACATAGAAGAAAAAACACCGAAAATCGACCTCAAAATGACCCTCTGGTGAAATCAAACCCAGCTCGCAAAAGGAGTTGAAACCTCGCCATTTTTAGCAGGGTTGTAGAAAAAGGATAGGAATAGGCTATAGCATTCTTAGAATTTTGATTTAGGCTTTAGATTTTTTATAATTAACGTCGGAAGTGAGGTAAAATAACCGTTAGAATAATGTCGTTATTTTAGCAAAGGTTTACTGCGCTGTTGCGTAGCAACGTTAAAATGCACGTGCGCGAGCAAAAACATCTTAACTACGCGCGTTGTTATGCTGTATGCTACGTCATAATTTCAAAACTAGCTCACATTTACGCTCACGCTATGACTTATATTCATAACTTTGGTTGTGATTGGTATTTTTTGATGCGGTAAAAAGTATCGTTTTGGGAATCCGAATACTAACAACGCTGTCGCCATTGTTAGATAAATTCCATTATGTCTACAGTATAACAGAGCTATATGATGAAGAGAAATTAAAACATAACTGATTTTTAAAATTTCCTCGAACAAAGCTTTGTCAAGAACACACGATCCTAAGGATATCTTGGTGCTGTCAAGTCGGGGCAATATTGCAAAGAATCCCGTGTTCAAGGATTGTCTTCATAACTAGCTATTACTTATTTTCATAGCAATCAATTTTCATATAATAATTTCATATAATGATAATAATTTTGAATTAACGTTTTGTCAACCTACGTAAATATCCATTTATTAACCTATTTGATTTAGGATCTAAAGTCATTTGATAGATTATGTCATTTTACCAATTTCATTCAGCACAAATTTCCTTTTTTATTTATCACAATTCTTTCATACGTAAAAACTTCAATTTGAACAGATCTATCAAATGAGACGATGAGGGACCTGACATTTACCGAAATGATTCAAATGTGTAATTCATATATTTTCAGTGAAGCAGGGTTCGGGAACTAAAGCATATTTGTTGGATTGTTTGACCATTGACTAGCGATGACCGATAAATACCTATATATATTTATAACTTTGGTTGTGATTGAAATTTTTTGATGCGGTAAAAAGTATTGTTTTGGGGCTATATGATGAAGAGAAATTAAAACATAACTGATGCTTAAAATTTCCTCGAACAAAGCTTTCGACTAGCGGCGGGTTTCTAGTATCTAATATCGTATTGTCATCAAGATATCCAAGATAAAGTTCATAAAACACTGTAAGTGCTGGCATAACATTGTTCTATTGTTTGATTGTTTGTTAAAAGTTTCTCCAGTATTTATGTTTAAATCAAACAGTTAAAGGTCGTGCGTTTTTGTCTACAGAAAAGAGAACCTGCAATTCTGGACACATTCCCAGCTTGCATGCAGCACCCAGTAGCACCCAGTAGCACTCAGTAGCACTCAGTAGCACTCAGTAGCACCCAGTAGCACCCAGTAGCACTCAGTAGCACCCAGTAGCACTCAGTAGCACCCAGCAGCACCCAGTAGCACCCAGTAGCACTCAGTAGCACTCAGTAGCACCCAGTAGCACTCAGTAGCACTCAGTAGCACTCAGTAGCACTCAGTAGCACTCAGTAGCACTCAGTAGCACTCAGTAGCACTCAGTAATGGTCCTGCCCTACAGAACACTCGACGCTTTATAGAAAGAGGAGGAGGTCTGAAGAGAGGGAGGCGGGGTACAGAAGTGTCTAGTAAATATAGGTAGCTGGTAGAGTCTCACTCCTTATATCTCCTTTTTCTTCCAGGACAAACGTCTGGTAAGAGGCGCTTGTGCGACTGCGTTGTTGGCCTCCACATCAAACGTGCCCACTTGTGACAGCCTTCTTTTGAACTGGGGTTTTACTTTAGGTCTATCTTCTAGACCTTTCTCTAAGTTGGGGATTTTTAATTTTCCTACCTGAGAAAGTGTTCTCTTGAAAGGTGGTGGTTTTTTCTTCTCTAAATTGGCGGGAACTTTTAATTTGCCCACATTTCTCTGTTGACTCTCGTGTTCTGACTCACCAAATTCAGGGATTTCCAACTTCCCCGCCGTGCCATATTCTCTATCTTTCTCTGGCAAGCCCCATTTCACCTTACCGATATTTATTTCCTTCTGCTTCTCCTCCTCTTCCCGTTTTTCTGCTTTCTCCAGACGTTCCCTCATCTTTCTTTCTCGTTCTGCTCTTTCTCGTTCCAGTGATTCTCTCCGCTTTGCCTCACGTTCTGCCTTCACTAGTGCTTCTTTTTCTGCTTTTTCTTTCGTTTCTCTTTCTGCCTTCTCTTTCGCTTCTCTTCGAGCATTTTCTTTCGCCTCCTTAGCTTCTCTTTCAGCCTTTTCTCTTGCTTCTCTTTCAAACTTCCTTTTCGCATCTCTTCCAGCATTCTCTTTCGCTACCTTAGCTTCCCTTTCAGCCTTTTCTCGTGCTTCTCTTTCAACCTTCTCTTTCGATTCTCTTTCTGCCTTCTCGTTCGCCTCCTTGTTTTCTCTTTCAGCCTTTTTTCTTGCTTCTCTTTCAGCATTATCTTTCGCTATCTTAGATTCTTTTTCAGCCTTTTTTCTTGCTTCTCTTTCAGCATTATCTTTCGCTACCTTAGCTTCCCTTTCAGCCTTTTCTCTTGCTTCTCTTTCAGCTTTCTCTTTAGTTTCTCTTTCAGCTTTCTCTTTCACCTCCTTAGCTTCTCTCTCAGCTTTTTCTCTCGCTTTTCTTTCAGCTTCCTCTTTCGCTTCTCTTTCTGCCTTCTCTCCCGCCTCCTTGGCTTCTCTTTCAGCTTTTTCTCTTGCTTCTCTTTCAGCATTCTCTTTCGCTATTTTAGCTTCTCTTTCAGCTTTATTATCCGCTTCTCTTTCAGCTTTCTCTTTTGCCTCCTTAGCTTCTCTCTCAGCTTTTTGTCTCACTTCTCTTTCAGCTTTCTCTTTCGCTTCTCTTTCATCCTTCTCTTTCGCTTTACTTTCTGTGTTCTCCTGAGCAAGCATTTCAGCTTCCTTATTAGCCTTATATTCTGCCTCAATTCTATTACTATCGCTTTCTTTTTTAGCTTTCTCAAGACGTACCAGTGCTTCCTTCTCCTTTGCATCACTCTCAGCTTGTTCTCTAGCTTCACCTTCTGTCTTTTCTCGTGCTTCTCTTTCTGCTTTTTCTTTTGCTTCTATTTCTGCCTTTTCACTAGCTTCTCGTTTAGCATTATCCCTCGCTTCTCGTTCAGCTTTCTCTTTCGTCTCCCTAGCTTCCCTTTCAGTTTTTTCTCTCGCTTCTAGTTCTCTTTCTGCGTTCTCCTTCGCAAGCCTTTCAGCCTCATCTTTAGCCCTGAGTTCCGCCTCAATCCTGTACCGTTCGGCTTGTTCTGCTGCAATACGGTCTGCTTCAGCCTTTTCTATAGCCAGTCTCTCTATTTCTTCTGTCTCCTCTTCAGACCTCATCCTCTTTTCCTCATCCTCTCTAGCTAACCTTTCTGTACCTTCTTTAGCTAACCTCTCTGCGTTTTCTTTTGCTCTGCGCTCTGCTTCTTCTTTCTCGTTCTTTAATCGATCCCTTTCTGCAAGCTCTTGTTTCTCTCTCCCTCTCATCCTCTTTTTCCTTCTTCAATCTCTCCATCTCTTGTCTTTTTCTCTCCCTCTCCTCTTTCTCCCTTTCCAGTCTTTCTGTCTCCTCTCCTTCTCTTCTCTCCCTCTCCTCCTGTTCCTCCTTTTCTTTCTTGGCTTCTATTTTAGCCAGTCTTTCTGCCTCTTCTCGAGATAATCTCTCTGCGTTTTCTACTGCTCTACGATCCGCTTCTTCTTTCTCCTTCTTCAACCTTTCTTCCTCTTGTTGTTCTCTCCTCAGTCTTTCTGTCTCCTCTCTTTCTCTTCTCTCCCTCTCCTTTTGCTCCTCCTTTTCTTTCTTTTCTTTTATTCTTGCCTGTTTCTCTGCCTCTCTTTGAGCCTCCTTTTCTTTTCGCTCTCTCTCATTGTTCCCCTTATTCTCCCTAGCCAGCCTCTCTCGCTCCTCCCTCTCCCTTTGTAACCGTAACGTCTCTGCAAGTTCCTGCTCCTCGCGCTGCCTAGCAGCTGCTTCTCGCTCAGCATGTCTTCTGATATTTTCTCTCTCCTGTTCTTCCTGTTGCCTCCTCAGTTTCTCCATCCTTAACCTCGCTTTTTCGTCCCTAGTCACCCGGAGCTTATCTAAACGTTGCTGTTCCAGTCTTTCCCATTCTCTCTGCTCGAGGGCTACTGTCTCCTTTTCCAGCGTCTCCCGTTCCAGACGTTCCAGACGACGTTTCTCCCTCTCTGCTGCCTCTTTCTCGTCTCTCTTTTCAGTCAATCTTAATCTTTCTTGTTTATTCTTCTCGTATTCGTCTAGTTCATTGTCACCCGAGAATTTAAACTTTTTTCTGTTCACCAGGGCGGACTCATCAAAATCACAACAATATGTGAACTTCTGAGCATAAACGGGGCCCATATTCCAATAAGCAATAACGGGCTTTGCTCTTGGGTAGCTGACTATCTTTATTTCACGCGAGTTCTTCCCGTTCATTCCACGGCTCGTTCCAACGTTTACTTCACAGTTTAAGTAATTGTTCATTCCACCATTCATTTCACCATTTATTCCACCATTCGATCCATGCTTTATTGTATCGTGTGTTCCATAGTGTATTTCACCGTACAAGTAACTGTAACTATAGACACCACCCTCCTCCTCCTGGTAACGAGAGAGTCTAATAGGGTCCCACCTAGTAGGGTCCCACCTGGTAGGATCCCACCTCATCAACCTCCTGTTGTTCGTAGCAGTGGTGACCTCTTTAACAGCAGTTTCCTTGGTAGGACACGTGACTTGTCCCCGCTCTACAAACACCACTGTCTGGTACCGGGGGTAGGTTGCAGTGGGCATGGCTGCTCTGGTGTTGGTTATACCGTAGCCATAGTTTCTCACTCTGTAAATGTGGGACATGTTGGAAGGTTTGCGGAGTGGACCGTAGGAGGAATGTTTGCGGAGTGGACCGTAGGAGGAATGTTTGCGGAGTGGACCGTAGGAGGAACGTTTGCGGAGTGGACCGTAGGAGGAACGAGGTTGAGTTGCAGGGGAGGAGTACATTTTATCTACCGAGGTAAACTTGTGAATAATTTTATAATGAATAATCATACTATCGCAGTAGAGCATATTTACTTACTTACTAACATTTTTTCAAGGTTAGTATGTTAACGACAATGTTAGTTATTCATGAAGTTTTTCATAAAGTTATTTATAAAGTTATTTATAAAGTTATTCATGAAGTTTTTCATAAAGTTATTTATAATGTTATCTACAAAGTTATTTATGAACTGTTAAAAATAACAGTTTAACGATACAAGAAGTGTTATATTCTATAGAAAAGCAGCTACCAACAACGAAACATTGACACAAACTCTTCACAGCTAACCTTGTCTAAACAATCTCTTTTAAAAGAAAGGAATTCGCAACAAAAGTAAAATAATATTTAAATTTTGAGCATTTAAACAAATATGTAGATTATAGAGATGAATGGAAAGAATTTATTTGGAACTGTCAACATCCCCTAAAATGTCAATTATGGACATCACGCACTGATAACGGGTAGTAAGGGTGGTTCGCTGAAAGGTTAAATAGCACTAAAAGATAAAGGTGGTCGTTCTGATCGGAATGTTTCTTGGTATGCTACAACTGACGAGGATTGTACCAATGGCTACGTTTAGTAGAAACATTTAACCGCACCTATATGTTGCCTAATTGGATTGTATCAACGTGTTAACCTAAACGTTGCCTAGCAACGTGTTTAAAAAGTATCTGATAGTAGAAGTTGGCAAATCTAACCTCCCTGTGGACAAGGGACGATAGGAATGTTTGTTTTTGGAACTCTCCTGAGGATTTAGGGGGACCATATTAATATCCTATTTCAGGCTTTAGCTTCTCTTGAAGTCAGTTATACCCCTACGTCCCAACCATTAATTTAAATATCTCCGAACTTTACGATGGGTCATCAGTTTAAAGAAAAACCTGCCTCACTTGAATTTTGCCTCTTGCACAACGGCCAGAACGATAGAAAGTAAGAACCGACTCAACAAAGAGTCCCCCCCCTCCCCCACATCCCCCTCCCCTTATTCACGGATAAGTTACCTGTCTGATGTACTCCTTCAAGGGGTGAGTTTCGTCGTGGTTTTTATACACCTCCCCTTTCAGAAAACATTCCTGGCGGGATGGTTGGAATTTAGTTGTAAACGTTTCTTCAATAAGGTAAGTTTAGCAATATTTATCAAAATATAGTTCCCAATTGAGTACTGTGCAGTGATGTGTTAGCAGATAACCAAGTTGGAAATCGTCAGTGATTTTAGAGTCTAGACATTCTTGCAGATATATTTTGTGAACTTAGGGATACGTTTTTATAGATTAAATTACTCGAGATCATTAGAATGTTAGCGTGTAGTCTAATTGTTGTGATCTATTGGCGTATTATATCGAAAGATGGTCTGAACTAGTATTTTGTTCTGAATTCTTTATTTGAGTAGTAATCTTTATTTGTTAGGGAAAATATTGTTTTACGGGTTCCATCTCTATAAATCATTTTCCTACCACATTCCTTTATGTATACATCGACTGTTATACTGCAGTACTCATTTTCAAGCTAGTCTTTCTTATAAGTAGTAGTTACGTTTCATATTAAAACTGATAAATTTTCACTAAATCCACGTCACCAAGAAGATGCTGGAACCTCTAGATAACTGGAACTGCCGGAACAGATCAGAACTTCACTACAACACTAACAACACTTTTCCGAATAAGATCCTCCCAGTTGCAGACCACATCTTCTCTTTTCTAGGGGCTGTCATTAACATTTCACTGTTAATCACCATCTACATCAGGTCTAAGTGGCTGGGGACCACGCCCTTGTCATCAACTTTCTGTGCTAACATCTGCATTGCTCACCTCATGATGAGTGCTAACACTTTCTTTCTCTTCGAAAGCGGCAAAGCTCCTCTTAAAATATCCGGACAGAATTTCTACAACGGAACAAACCTCTACACCTACGTAGCAAATGGAGTGGAGGATGTGTTCCGTGTGGTAAGAGTCAGCTTTGTCCTCCCTATCTACATTATCCGGCTTATGTACGTGGTTATTCCTTACCGAGTGGTCCAGCTTTCCAGAAACGTGCTTAATTCGAGGAGGATCACAATCTTATGTGTGGGTATTTGGGCTGCTGCTGTAGGCTATGGTGGTATCGGGTACTACTATCAGTTGAAGGTTAAGGACGCGCATTTCAGTGGTGATAAACAATTGGAGGATTCGTTGAACAGATATGGCTTTGTTTTTCTTGTTGCTTTACAACTTATACATTTTGTTGGGGTGATAGTATCCTTCATATCTGTCCTCTACCTGATAAAGATGGTACTAAAATACCGTCCTTCCGCCATTATGTCTGACAACACACTGTCCCCCAGCCAAAGTACCCCCAACAGCACTCGTAAGATGATCTACCCTCACATAAAATCAGCCGCACTACTCCTCTCTCTCCTCTTCCTCTCAGATCTGATGTTTGATGTTAACTTTACCCTTCACTACGTACTAGCCATGAAACTATCCCTCTCCCCAGGTAGTGTTACCTTATATGGACATCACCTGTTACCTTATATTATATTATGTCCTCTATCCAGGTAGGACAGTCAAATATGTCTAAATTTAATTCTCTGTCGGAAATAATTCGAATTTAAGCGATGCCAACGGGAAATGGTCGTCCCAGAAATCATCCCGGAGAGAGTTCTCAAGATTTCCTACGTCAGCAAAATCCACTTTTAACCACTTTTAACCACTTTTAACCACTTTTAACCACTTTTAACCACTTTTAACCACTTTTAAACCACAGGCTGCTACCCGGAAGTATGGATAAAAATGAGGAACTACCTTGGTTCCCCCACCAACTTCATGTACTCCTACCACTGCCCTGACATTATACAGGGTATATCTACCTGCCTTATCTTCTTTCTACAGAAACCAATGAGGAAAACTGTTGGGTTTATGTGGAGATACGCTTGTTTGGTGGTCACATATTACATGAGAGTTGAGTCAGCTTAGTAAGCTTATTTAGCTTAGTAAGCTTAGTTAGCTTAGTAAGCTTAGTTAGCTTAGTAAGCTTAGTTAGCTTATTTAGCTTAGTAAGCTTAGTTAGCTTAGTAAGCTTAGTTAGCTTAGTAAGCTTAGTTAGCTTAGTAAGCTTAGTTAGCTTAGTAAGCTTAGTAAGCTTAGTTAGCTTAATTAGCTTAGTTAGCTTAATTAGCTTAGTAACCTTAGTAAGCTTAGTTAGCTTAGTAACCTTAGTAAGCTTAGTAACCTTAGTAAGCTTAGTTAGCATGTTTGGTGGTCACATTTTAATTGAGAGTTGAGATAGGTTAGGAGTTGGAACAGTGTCGTCTGTGTATAAAACTGGTTTTACTCAAACTTGAAGATGACATATCTTAATTAATCTGACTTAATCAATCGTAAAAATATAGATTTCTTTTAGTATAGTGTTTTATTTCTTTGTCCTCATTTTAGCGACGTGAATAATTTTAACTCATTGCATTGGATTTCAAATATTACTTTTTTATTTTTTGACGCACATTCAAAGATTCTCTTTTCTTTTCTTTCTGCGAAATTTAATTTGCGAAATAGATGTGAGGCTGAAACATTACTGGTTTAAATTTTGGATTTTTTAACTGATAACAAAGACAATTTTCTAACTGGACGATTGAAGACAGTTTGTTTGAGGTGATTATTTTATATTTTGTAAAAATTTTAAACTTTTCTAGAAACACAGTTATTCTTTAATTCGAGTGTTTGTTACTCAAATTGAATTTAAATAGAATATGTCGGAGAAGTTTAAACAAACGAAAGCAAACGATTTAATTAAAACTGAGGACTTCCATTAGTTCGTAATCTAATTATAGTAGCTCGATTTTTATGATTCACTGTAATCTATAATACTAATAATTAATTAGTAATTAAATACTTAAATAATTAATAGTCACAGAGGGAACAAGACCAATAATTGACCATTAATTTGCTTGTGAAATTGAGAGATAAGGTTTAGCCACGAGAACAAATTTTAGCAGGAATGTACATTGTGGATTATAACAACACTCCTCAACAAGAGGAGTCCTACCACGATATGGTTTAGAACTTTAGAGTGCATGAGAAGAAATTTTCTGGGACTTTGTGCAATGTTTAGAGTAAATAAAAGCAAAGAATGGGGTGGAAGAAGAGTGCCCACACAAGCAAGGAAGAGAGGGAGGTAAGGAGTGCCCACACAAGCAAGGAAGGGAGGGAGGTAAGGAGTGCCCACACAAGCAAGGAATAGAGGATGGTAAGGAGTGCCCACACAAGCAAGGAAGGGAGGGAGGTAAGGAGTGCCCACACAAGCAAGGAAGGGAGGGAGGTAATGAGTGCCCACACAAGCAAGGAAGGGAGGGAGGTAAGGAGTGCCCAAAAACCACAAACCACATGTTTACTCTCCACTACTCCAAATATCAATTAATACAAGCTATGGTTTTACATCATAACTTAATAGTGTATTACATGTACGTAATACCGATTAACGGTAATACCGTAAGCACAGTGCTTTTACCGCAATTACCGTAATACCGATTAACGGATTCGGTCACTTCTAGGTTTGTAAGTTTATACAGTGACTTTACAGTAAACAGATTACAAACTACCGTCTGAATTCTGAAACGTCATGATATGTTAATTTGTATAAGTAATATCTATAACATGTTTATCATAATATGATATATATGATTTAAGCATAGGCAACTATCCAATGATATACACGTCTGATCATCCAAACATACAAGTATGATTTAATATAATATAACCAAAACACACTAAATTTTATACAAAGCCAACAAATCGGCCAAATGCTGATTGTCTATTCTAGCACAAGTTCAAAATGGGTAAACTCTTGCCCTTTAAGTTACCTACACGAGTTTTTCAGTTTCCTAATCCAGAACACGTGTAATATCTCACAAGTCACGTGTCATATTGCAGATCACGTGACGTTTAATATCTCACATTTCCCAACTATGATCACACGTGGACACTCTCTGAAAGCCTGGTTTGTCAGACATCTCCAGACCACCAGCACCAGGACCCCCTCCACCCCCTCTCAGTGCACCAGACTCTATGTTATCTGTAGCACCAGACTCTCTCCTCCTACACCAGTACACTGTACAAACTACAACTAGAATAACACTAACACTACCCACACTAGATACTGTGTACAGGATTATAGTTAGCTGTTCAAGTGCTTCTTTACAACCTGTTTTCTGGTGACTTGTTTTATCGTCTGATCCTTTTGTGGCTCCCTCACAATCCTTATCACTTAGTTCTCCTCCCCAATCCTCACTACTCGCAGTTCCTTTTGTAGCTCCCTCACAATCCTTATCACTTAGTTCTCCTCCCCAATCCTCACTACTCACAGTTCCTTGTCCACAGTCCTCATCAGCTCCTCCACAATGTGAACAGTCTACTTCACTATTAGTCTGATCAGTAGCTGCAGTATTGTCCTCTGTTAGATCAGAACTTTCAGTGGGCTCATCTAGTTCATCAGGAGACAATGGAGATGGAGGTGCAGTACTACTACCAACCACAGGAGTTGGAGGTGCAGTAGTAACCACAGGAGCTGGAGGTGCAGTACTACTACCAACCACAGGAGCAGGAGGTGCAGTAGTAACCACAGGAGCAGGAGGTGCAGTACTACTTCCAACCACAGGAGCAGGAGGTGCAGTACTACTACCAACCACAGGAGCTGGAGGTGCAGTACTACTTCCAACCACAGGAGCAGGAGGTGCAGTACTACTTCCAACCACAGGAGCAGGAGGTGCAGTACTACTACCAACCACAGGAGCTGGAGGTGCAGTACTACTTCCAACCACAGGAGCTGGAGGTGCAGTACTACTTCCAACCACAGGAGCTGGAGGTGCAGTACTACTTCCAACCACAGGAGCTGGAGGTGCAGTACTACTACCAACCACAGGAGCTGGATGAGGAGTAGTAACCGTGGTAACCACAGAAGGAGGTAGAGTAGTCTGATGTGATCTCCTGCATCCTGTAGGAGTGACCACATACTCTGCATTACACGAGCAGGAGAGATAGGTGTAATAGTAGGTACTTGAACACACAGCGGACAGGTCACGTGTAACATTGTATACCACGTGACCCTCCACCTGACTACACCTCACCTCCACTCCTCCCACCACACCACTGTAGTTCTCCGTGAACTGGTACAGGAGTTTAGACTTCAGGTTAGTAACCAGGGCCAGCTTGTGGTAACCTAGTCCCCTACAGATACACTCTGCAGACTGTGTGTTGGGTTTGTAGCTGCCACTAGAGCTCCTTCTACACACGTTTAGAGGCTGGGTTAGAGGGTCACGTGACATCAGTAGAGCTCCTGAGTTGGCGGGGACTCTGTCTTCGCTCCAGATAGAGAACGTGTCTTTTAGTGTTGTAGTAATAGTAGTGTCTTTTAGTGTGTTCTCTGAAACTTAGTGTAGGGTAAATATACAGGATAAGAGGAAGCTTCAAGTGGAATAAGTGAGTAGTCACCAGTTCCTTTAATAGAGTAGAAAACGTCCTGTTAGATTCGTATCCAGACTAGGCTATTTGGAGATAGTATCGTAAAATAGTCTCATTTTTCACCTGAAGAATGGGTGCTGGAGGACAAAACGGTGATAATGACCCAGGGTAGAATAAAGTAAACTACTTTCATATTATATAGTTCAAGCAACGTGAAATGATGATAGAAACGGTTAATAACAGTGTTCCAGCAGGATGTACGTGATATATCCGCTCTAACGAGTTCAGCTGATATCTTGACAGTGAACTACTGACTCACTGTTCTGTCATGAGAATATATTGTAGCTACTTGATATTGTAACTACTGGTAATAACGACTATTTCTCACCTGTCATACCGTCACACTGCCAGGTATTGTTGGCTCTACAAATAATTATTAACCAGTCAGTTAACCCCGGCAGAATTCTCATTCCTTTTGAAAATATTGAGGTAAATGTAAGATGTAAAAGGAATGTTCTAACAAGTTGGAGGGAGAGGATTGACCTTAAATATGTTTACAATTGAATTAAATGAATAATTTTAGTCTATAATAATATTCTCTAAGTTATTTATGATACATTATTAGTAATACATTTTATGCTACAGACTATGGCTTCTGATTTTGTTTAAAAGTTCAAAGGATTGATCAGACCGACTGACAAGTTTCGGAACAGTTTTTATGATCTTTAACTGTATTTTATTATATTGTAAACTTAACGATATCTCCCCAGCAACAGCTAAAATACTTTTTTTAAGGGACTAAAAAGTGAACCTTTGTTCACAAATGGAGTTGAAATCTATCGATTTTTAGCAATGTTCTAGTATTATAAACTGAAATCTTAAACGATTATTTTTACAATTTAAATTTTATTGAAGTAACAGTAAATTTAATTCTCTGATCCAATCCAGAAAATTATATTTTTGCAATGAAGTCTACAGCGCAGATATTGAGAATTTAGACACTACTTTCAGAACTCAACAGTTAGACCTCAGTAAGTGTTAAGATTCTTCACGTGTAAAAAATCGCTGGCATTCTTCCAAAATGCAGTGTATTGTTCAGTGTATACCAATCCATCATTCACTACGACTTTAGAGTCTAGGGGAGAGAAATTTGTGAAATCCGGATTGGAATATGGTTTATTATTATATGAGTCGCATGGTTGCAATGTATTCTTGTGTAAATTGGTATTGATCCCGTTTGATGCGACATCAAACGTTTGATGTCGTTTGATGTCGCATCAAACGGGATCAATACAAATTTACACAAGGAGAGAAATTTGTTATAAAGTTGGGAATATCACCACTGAAATGGTCCTGCTAACCATAACACGTGACCTCCAGTGTAGTGTCGTACCCCGCACACTCCGCTATGCGCCATCAGAGGGGGGCGCTTCTTGTCCCAAATTGTAGCTCTTTTTTACGAAACATCGTCGGATATGGCAGGAAAATGTACCATATCCAAAATATTTGGGATACAAAAACATAATATCAGAAGACGTGACATTCCACATGAGATAACACGTGACAAGCACTTAGACAGGTAGTTGGCACGCTGGAAGAGAGAGAGCAAGCTGAACAAAGATAACGACCTAGTTTTGTGAGGAACGTGTAACCTCCTAGTCGGCATGGCAACCGTAATAGTCGCCATGGCAACCGTAATTAATGATGGCCAGACCCCCATCATAGAACTAGAGTATGTATCAGTATTATCTAGGACATGACGGTATTATAACTTACAGACCACAATGACGTACAGCATACAGGGGCTATGTAATACAAGTGGGATTATCATTATCCTCCCACTTTTGAGATAATGTGCATGACATCCTTAATACAATCTCACAAGGACCGTTAACATGCAATTGAATGTGCGATGTCTCCTAAACAAGCAACCTTCTTCAGGTGTAACTATTGCCCCCTGCATTGTATCTAAAATACACATCACGTGTGATGTTAACATCAAGCACCATTCACCCTGGCGTTAACATTACATTTGCTCCAGCTCGGTTGCGAGCCTTCAATAGAACAGAACAGTGTGTCTAACTTTACAACCAGTAAAGCAATGATTCAACTTTACTTACCGGAAATGGTGACCGGCAATTATATACCTGCCAACAATGTACCGGGCCTTTAGATCGATAGGTTCTGGGTGTTTACTGCAGCGATAATTACTCACCTCTCACTACTTACCTATTTGGCTAAGGCTACGTAATCAGGAAAACGTTTTTTAGAGTACTCTTACTCAATAGTTTTAATAAGCATCAAATTTGTTCAATAAAATTCGAATTAAGATAAGTCTTTATTTTCAGCAGGGTGATGGTTGCCATGGAAACTGAAAATTCCCATGAAATATGATACTCAGAACTTGACAAACGGATTATCTGTTATCTTTGCGAGCGTGACACAATGAGGGATATGATGTGAGCAATTCAAATGGTAAATTAGGAACAAAATGTCCAAACCTGGAGTGGGGAATAACACAACTTTGAGTTTAAAAAATATTATTTGAGTATTATCAATTAAATAACTAAAGTAATTACAAAATAAACACAGCTAACCTGACAGAGGTCTAGGTTGACGCACTTTAAGCAGCGGTATCTTAGCCCCAGTATAGGGTAGCATTTACACGCTCCACACTTAGCCTCGTGCTTCACTGAAAACAGTAAACCAATCAGTTCCCAATAAATAAATACTCTTGTAGGTACTACCCGTATTTACACTCAGAATTGAGTTGGATTATTTCCCGATGCGAGATTAGGGACGGGTTCTATTAACAAAGAAATTCCAGTGCAAGCCACCACTACTATACCCTCCCACCGTTACATCGTACGTGTTTTGAAACCCGAATTGCAATCTTGAATAAAAGTAAAGGGTCCCTTTCTCCATCTCTAGCTGAACAAGGGTTACAACAAACAATTGCAATTAATAAGTGTGATCACACTACTGATTACTGGTGGTGCTAGAAGCAGGGTAAATGTGAATTGTGAATCTACGGGTTTGTGATCCTCACTGATTAATGCGAGTGTACAAAGAACTTATTACTTAGAAGATTTATTGTACAGATTAGCTTACTTTAATATCTCATAACGTTCTGACAGATTAGTTCTGTAATCAGTCACATTGTGGCTAGAGGGTTATTTGTCACATAGCAGCTAGGTGATTTGTTTCGACTCAATTTTAGTTCTGACAATGTGAGATCTATTGAAAGAGCTTCAATTCCGTTTTAAACGTCGTAAGAAATATTACTCAGAATAGAATAATACCAGAAATAAAGTGCAATATGACACGGAGTTATCCGGTCTGTAACTGCTTATGGTATGTGGCTTATTATATCCAGTGTGCTGGATTAGTTCATTTACAGGTGCAGCCCCAATCTTTATAAAGGAGCAGTCTCAATCTTTATAAAGGAGCTAGCTACAGTTAGCTGATTCATGGTAATGTTATTTCAATTAATTAAGATGTGCCCTGTTCAATAAAGAACCAACTGGTAATATATTTAGGCACCATGGTAATTGTGTTGCCAGGTTATTTATAAGATTATTTAAGTATTAAGTTATTGGGAGATGGGATGAATGTAGCAAGGGATTGTTGTTATGATGATGCACATGACTTATTCAATGGTAACTAACTAACTGAATAACTCTTACTCAGTTGGAGTTGATCAAAATCAAATTGTTGAAATTATTTTATCTTCCAGAAAATCATCAAATTGGCATAATATTTGAACATGCAACATTCTATTACAAGAATCCGCAAGAATAAGGCATTTTAGCAAATTGTCTCTAACTATTATCATGCATTAGAGGCTAACCGACAGTTATAGTTATTGGGTTTCAATTCTCAAAATGTTGGATCAAGATCAAACATTCCAATATTTGGAGCTACTCTCATAATCCCACGAGACAAGCAGCCAGATTTATAGTCGTAATTTATTATTCCTGGAAATTAATCTGGAAGAACCATCAAATAAAGTTATTTTAGGGCCACGATTTAACCTGGTATTTAATATACAGACCTTTGAAGGAGTTTTTTAATCAATCAGCTTATTATAATTAATTAAGGTAAATTGCATGGTCTCCCCCAGGTCATTCCCTACCCCACAGCTACAACTGATATTCGGGTCTACCACTCACTGAGTACCACTGCTACTAACACTACTACTCTAACTCACTGAGTACCGCTACTATTCTAACTCACTGTGCTGAGATATGTTGAGTCTGTATAGAGTAGGAACCCAGGCTAAATACTCCGGTTCTGATAGTATCCACCTCTCATACTGTTGTAGTGTAACACCGCGGTGTAGGGGCATGTTGTTGAAGTAGAAGCAGCTCTGTGCTACAGTCTGACTACCACTGGAACCTGGTGAACAGAAGTAAAACAGAAAGGTAACAGAAGTAATTATAGATGGGGATGAGGTAATCTGAATAACCATTAATTTCGTAAAAGTGTGCGTTATTTTCAGCTCAATCCATTAAACTAACTCAAATCTTCAGTTTCTTCAAATACGTAATGTTAATTCGGTCTGCCATACTGTGTTAAAATGGATTGTAACTTCGCTGTTATGTAAATATAGTGTAATATTTATTTTTGTCTTCTCAAATCTTGTAATAGATTTCACCGACAAAACACACAGAACGTCAGTGGACCGCGACAATATGCCTGGTGGCAATACTGTTTTAACAATAATTATGAGTTTTAAACTCTTCTATAATGCTTACAAGTTCAGTCACGAATACTCGTCAAAATAGGACTTGGCAATGAAATCTGAGTTAGTGAGTTATTGGGGAGATGGAGCTGGACAACGCAATTTTTCGCGACTTTTATTTTCTGTTGCTTTTCAGGCTGCACTGATAAGTTGATTGCTGTCACGTGTCAAGAATATAAAGGTCCCAGCTAGCAATCTAGTCTCCATGATTAAAAACAACCTTTATTAAATTTGTAAAGAACTTTACAAGAAAATGTAAAATGAATCATACCAAACATGGAAGATATTCGAAGAATGTAGAGAATGTATCTACATACCTAGTGAAGTGTTCTCGCCACATGACAAGATGAGATAAGAAGAGAGATGTAACATGTGAGAGAGCTGCTTGTGTGTTAGCTCGTACCCTGACATCCTCGTCATCTCGAATAGTACTGCGGAGGAGATAGGGGGTTAGATAGCATCAACTAATCTCACCCATTTTACAGTGATATTGTTTCACACCGATTTCACCCTTGGGAGTCGAGCTTGTTCGTTGATTAGTGTATTGAAAACATCGTGTGTTAATGGTACATTCACAGAACTACACAACGATAATCCGCCTCCCCATCAGACATATTATATAAATATAATACTACCAATACTAATAGGTCTACTACTCACTAGGATAATAGGTATTTTACTTAAACACATGTTTTTGGAACGCTCTCTCCCTCCCCCATAAAGTCGTATTGTCTGATCTCATTTCAGATTCCGAAAACACAGAGAAATGATTTTCTCACATGTTTGTTTTAGTTTAATGTGAGATATCTATGGCATGCAGTGTTCATTTTGCATGAATTTTAAACCTTTGTCACGAGTATTAAATATAGGAGGGGCTGGCCTAATGACGTTTATCATACTGAAACATGATCTCACTTGCTTTACTCCACATTTAAAAAGCAGTTTAACTTACAACACATCTTCTACTCATAAGCTCTTTGTTTAGTAACTGTGGTTTTAGCTTCTCCACAGAAAAACAAACTATTTAAACATTCAGAATAAATAATCACAACTCTTTTTCCCAAGCAGCATTTTATCCAGTAAACAAGCAGAGCTCGCGCTAAACATCATGAAGGGCATCTAACATGTACTTGGACACTAACAAATCACGAGCTTGTCTCAACTTTACGTATACGATAGGTGTCACGTTACTTTATACTCTACTTAATAGTTAGAACTATATTTAGTGAAAATCTTAGACGAGTAAGAGGCTTAGTGGTGTGAGCTGTTTATACTAGTGTAACATGCAATATCAACTTCATGTAAAGTACCACATTGTACTAAGATAAATACTCATCATGCAGGTTATGAACTGTAGTAGCCTTAAAAAACTATCACAAGATTATCTGTTGGCTGTTTAATTTGTATACTAAAATTATAATTTTTATACTTAATGCTATGTTGCTGATATGATATTAATAGACTTTTTCAAAAGTGCTAAAAACACAATTAAAACATGATAGGAACTATTGTCAAAGATTTAACTAACGGTGATGTTTGGCAATAGTTTCAGAGTTACACAAAAGGATAACAGGAATATTCAGTTGAAGAGCTGTGAGGGCAGATTGAGGGTAGAGGATGGAAAACCAAGATAACATCAATCTAGCACACTCATCCTCGTTTATCATTACCTCGTCTCCCACCTCCTAATAATAATATACACTATCATCTTATTTGTTATTAGGATATATCAGTAATGAATGACATTGTATTGTAATGATGAAAAATGTCTGGATTTTGGAGCAACTCATAGAAAATTATATCATTGCCCCCAAAATGATTGTGTATTTTGCGTACTATCATAATTTGTGTACTATCATGACTAATTCTTACAATATTTTTTAATTTTGTGATTTATAATTCAGAACTAAAAGGGTCATAAAGCTGATAGTGACCTGTGCAACAGCCTGGAGAAGGGACGTAACAACAGAGCTAATCTCAGCTGGTTGCAATACTAAGTTAGGGTTCTCAAGACAGTGTTCTTCTACCACTGTCTTCCACATATCTGTAGTTACATGACACACTGAAATAGGGATAAAATCTCTTAAATTGATAGTTTCTATTCCCTCTAGGTCATCCATCATGTTGTGTCATTCAAAAATGAATTTTGAGAAATTAATAACCAAAAACATGGTAAATTTTCGATTTCAGATGTTTTGCCTTTAAACTCACGTCTAGTTTTCTTCTGAATGTATCTAAGTTTCATAGCAATCCTGTACACCCCATAGGGAATGTAGTTGAAGTCCGCTAAACTCCCCAGCATATGTTGCAAAGGGTCGGTTATGAATACCATATCCTGCGTATGAATAGAAATACATGACTAAACAGATTCTAGTATCTACAACGAAAACAAAAGTGTGATAAAATATTGGAAACACTTGCAAGTTAAACAGTTATTTATGTAATATTAATAAATAATAATAAATAATAAATACAACATTTATAAACCGCCTTATAGCTAAATCATATAACTCGATATAATTTAATCCTGGAGATAAACTCCAGTGCTTTCTAAAGCGGCTCTTACATTAACTGAGCTTAGTTTAATTGAAAATTAGACATGACAAGTTCATTTTACCTATGTAAATGCAAAATCAATCAAATGCTAGAGAAAAGAAGTATGTTTTAAGTTTGGTCTTGAAAGATGTAACTGACTCAGCTGATCTTATGTCGTATGGCAAGGAATTAAATACTTTAACTGCACAGTGACTAAAAGCTTTCTCTGTGTTTACATAGTTAGGAGAGGGCGGAAAACTAAGGTAAAAATAATCATTATCAAGACGTACATTTTTAAAACTTTGCTGCCTAGGAGATATCAACTCTTTTAAGTAAGGAGGAGCTATATTATTTAAACACTTGTAGGCAAGTAGGGCAATCTTAAAATCTATTCTAAATCTAACTGGTAGAAAATGAACTTTCTTGGACAAATTCTTAGGTGAAATGTCCTGGGACAGTCCTTCTCAAGAAGACAAAGGCACATCTTCTAATTATGAATTTGTGGAATGTCAATTACACAAAATTCAAAACCATTTTACTGAAGAGAAAAGGTCATCCAAGCAATATATACAGATAATTTCAGTAATGGTCATTGTCCAACCATAAGGTTAGACACTCTTACCAATACACAAACCAATTGGTTAAGTAATAATAATAATAATTCTATACAGTTACATAATTGAAACAATTATGGCCCCTTATTATTGGTTAAGTAAACAAAACGGTAACAATATAAATCTGAGCCGCATTCATAAAACCCCTTTGTTATAAAACATGCATTCCATTCGCAATTAAATATACAGGCTTATTCAAACAATATACATATAATATAGCAATGACCCTATATAAAAATTCTTTAAAAATGGTATAAATTTTAAAAACTGAGATAAAAAATAAAACCCTTAGAATAATATATAACAAATTCACATCAAAACAAAAAGCAGTTTAGGCCCCATCCAACAAGCACTCCATGACCTTTTAGGGTTTAGGAGTGTTGATCAGGTTAAGGTCCAAATCACTTATTGCCGTAGGTGGAAGAGTTCTGGTACCTCTGTAGAGATAATGCCTAAATATGGCACGGCAAGGAAATTAACAGAAAGATACTTGGCGGTGGCTACAAATATGCAAGTAATACAAACACGCAACAGTGTATTAGACAACATGTCATTGTAAGCTAATTGAAGTTCTCATCGATTCACGATCCACTATTCTGAACTGTCTGGATCAATAATAAGAAGTATCAAAGAAAAATTGGAAGCGGGCTGGTAAAAGACATAAAAGCAGCCTTTGGGTGCATGTTTCAATTGTAAGACTAACTAACGCAGATATGATACTGGTGTGGTTGCCACTCAACATATCCAACCAAGTGAACTCAGTGAAGCACATCCTTAACTGAATAAATCCCGAACTAAAGAGATCCACTGAAACACCTTATTGATGACCAATTGAAATCAGGCACTCAGCGCACTAACTGGAAAGGTAAAGATGTATTTCATTTTTCTTATTGTGGAAATCGTTCGATACTTCCAGAACACTTCACTATGAGGATCTAAAAATCATAAAATAACCATGAGCAGAAAAAAACTCCACCACCTATCAATAAAAGGATGGTCCAGCTTCAGTAAATCAGTGATGAAACATTTACAGTGAACAGCTTTGCAATCGACCATAAAACAGCCATACCAGCTGGAAGGGTATACAGAGCACCTAAAGTGAGCGCCACAAAGCACAAGTTTCCGCCCAAAACAACAAGGCAACTGAACCTTGGTTTTCTAAGCTATTCTATCCGACAACATATTGAATGAATTTCTACACCGCTTCCAAAAGCAGAAATTTGATTCCCACTGTGTATTTGTATGGCGAGGGCTCAAATTTCACTTCACCCTGTACTGACTGTCCAGATGTACAACAGATAAAAGGAACAAAATGAGTGAGCTAGTCTTGAAAGACCACCCTTTCCACAACATCAAAAACCAAGGCTATGGTGGTAACTCAATGTGGATATCATGGAGCAGACTTCGTGAGTGTCTTTGATCTAGCCACTGGAAATAACAAAGGATGCTGAAAATTCCTTCGAAATAGAGATAACAACTTTTAACAGTTTATTATAATTCCAACAACCAAACTAAACCATCCCTATGATTTGCGCGGGTTCAATGTTTGGACCGGACAAGCATATATGTTCAGGGTGACAAATTTCATTTTATGATTTAATGGAAATATATCTTATATGATATTCTATCTACTTGCCTGCTAGCGTATGATAAACCAGCGACAACGTTAACTAAAATTGTGATCACAATCTAATGCCTCGCCCCTTCAGGAGGATGATATAGTGACCCGGGTAGGGAACAGCAAAGAGAGCTACAACGCCCGAATTAGCGAGGGAGAGGTGCAGAGGAACCGACACAGAGTAGCAGAGATAAACCACTTCTTGGAGAACATTCGAGACGAACTGGAACAGTATGAGAACCTAGACAGATAGGCTGGGAGGTACTGAGGGGACTGTTTCAGGGTCTCTCAGGAGATCAGATTTGAGGGTGAGATTTGAGAGAACGTTTTGAACGGCACCTCGTTAGGGTTCAGAGGGAGGGAAGATTGGAAGTAAAGTTCCCTTAGTGTTAGAGGTGCAGAACAGTCAACCAGATTAAGACTTTAGAAATAGAAGTGAAAAGATCCCTGCGTCGATAAAACCGAAGACGTTTCATTTCTTGGGTTACAGTTTTACCACTTTTTACTGCTCGCAGTTGCGAAACTGTGAGAATTTTCATAAAACGTTATAGTCACTGTTATAGTTAATTTTGATGATGTACATGATTTATGAGTATGTAAATTTTCTTCGACACAGCATTATGTCTGGAATTTAATTAATGAATTTTTATTGAACTGAATAAAACAGCAGAATAACTAATAACTATAAATCCAACATTTTTAAATAACTTGAAAGGACCAAGTTCCCCAATGTTCCTCTTGGTGGAAAAACGTTTTTAACGATACGATTTAAGAACAGTTCGCAAAAAACTGAACAACTCTTTTAGTTCCTGAGATAGGGCCTAACCAGTTACTGTTAGGGTTTTTGGGATCAAGCGATTTTTTGAATTTTTAACTGATCTCTTTTATCAACGTCCAAAATTCCTCTTCACGTAGAATAAAACTGGCAAGGGCCCTCTAGGAAGAATCCCAGCATCCAAATTTTGAGTCTTGTTAAATTGTTAATTCTATCATGTAAAATCATGATAGACTCTTAGATGTCTCTTAGCTCAAAGACTAATCAATTATAATATAATTATTAATAACGATTTGAGGAGCTCTCTTTGTAAGATAGGGTTCCGAATGAGCTACTTTTCTCTTTGATCCGCCCTTCAATGACGTCACATTTCCCAAACAACCCTCTCTACCTCTCTCTCTATATCTCTCTGATCAGTCTAATCTCTCTCAATATGACAGTTGGGAATAGCCCGACCCAGTCACATTACACTGTTTTCTATCTACTGTACTGTCACGTCCTAGCTAAAATTTATAAACAACAACAACAATGGCGAACTTAGCAAGCTAGGATCGAGGGGCCGATCTCCTTTTCTTTTGCGGTGTGGCCACGGTCCTTTCGGTACAGATTTCCCTGCAACATATGCGGGATGCAGCCCCAGGCATATGCACTCGCCTCGTGTTATTTTCGCAGCTCTAATGAAAGCCACAACCATTCACACCATGGTTTGGTGAGTGACGGCTGCCCATCAATTTTGAAATTTTGGCCCAACTGGGATTCGAACTCGCAACGTCAGGGCCAGTAGACAAGCAGATTTATTCAAAGGAAATACAAATGTTAAGCAAAACAGGCATCGAAATGAATACGGGTAAACCGCCCCTAAAATGTCAGCCACCCCTAAAACGCCACTCTTGATTGAATAGATCCCATCTTCTTAGAAAGTATCTTACCTAATCATTTGTAACTCCTAAACATACAAAAATATCATTCAGACCCTGCCACATCCTGAAATTGAATCTAAATGATGCCATAAGGCCATTATTTTCACTTTGTACGAATTTTTTACTTTTGAAAAAAAGCGCACAATTTTATAAATCTGGAATTCATTAATATTAACTCAGTTTTGGTCTAGGATAGTGATATTTACATATTTTAGCAACTTTGTACATATGACTGGAGATATGGAAAGTTATACATTACTCAATATTACTACCCTCCCCTAAAATGTCAACTGGCCGCCCCCTAAAATGTCATTTTATCAGATTCTGGCTTTGAGACTACAAGCACCATAAAATGGAGGTACCAGCCTATTAAACATCATATTTAGCATCTAATGGTAATATTGGAAAGCTTTGGCAGCTCAAGGAATTAGTTTTATTTTATTAATTGCAATAAACATCCCCTAAAATGTCTAATTATCCCCCCTAAAATGTCATTTTAACCTGATCAAATTACTCAGGCTTTTCCTAAGATGCAATGCATACTCACATTTCGTTAATTTAGTTGATGTTAATAATTAACAAGTGCCAAAACAAGAGCTATTATCGCACACCATGCGAACAAAATACAAATTTGACATTTTAGGGGAGAAAAAATGACATTTTAGGGGAGAAAAAAATGACATTTTAGGGGGCATATCATAGGTTTACCATAAACTAGTAAGTACCAAAAACCGTAGTTTTTGACATTCAATTTTGCTAAAAGCAGTCAAATCTAGTCTATAGAGAAGGTCAGATCGATTACTGGGTTGGCTTAGTTAACTACAGGTCACTAAAATTGCCAAAATGCAGGATGATGTTAAAAATCCCAA